TCTTCTAGTGGGACACACGTTAGGAATACTAGTAGTAATGGTAGACAAACTTCAAGGCAAATTGGGGGGTGTGCATTTGTGACCCTGGATTTGAGGGCACAAGTACAGGTACGTCGAGAACCTGAGACTAGGGTCCTCGCATGAGACGGTTGTCAGGTGACTTTTTGTCCAATACAACCCCATTCTGGGAACAAGTCTGTCGACGTTGCCAAGAACCACGATGGCTTTTTTTTTTTTTTTTTTTTTGCAACAAAACGAGGTGTCATGGTGAGGCATCTCTAGAAGAAAAGACTATTACACTGGGGATAATTTTTTGGTCTCTTGCTCCCTCGTCGACGACTACATCAGGAGCGGTAGTGGACGGTGATGCGCCCCGTCTAGCCGTTTGGCCGCACGCCTATGAGAGCTAGGTGCTCGAGAATATTCTGACGGGCAGATTGCAACAGCTTGTTGGACGCGGTAGTGACTTGTCATTCCGTACACGCTTTCTGCAACGGGGGTGTAGCTGTAATGCGTTGATTGAGAAACATTAGACGAATTGACCCCCACACGCTTCCAATGCATGAGGCTTTGTTGATACCGAAAAAGACACCAGTGACATCTCCACCTAGTCATGCGGCGCTTATGCATCTTTGCGTCTTCTTGACATTCGATGCAGTCCCAGCGTCCCCAGACAGTGCTCATGCCTTTTTCGTTTTGTTGGTTAGTATAACAATTTGTTTTAAACCCCTTTCCCATTGGTGCTTGTGCGCCTTTAATATACCGACACTCTGGCTCTGCAATGCGTTCCCCCCTGTTAGTTAGAGCACGGAGTATTACGAAGGGCTACTCCGTACAACAACTTGGCAAAAGTTGCTAAATGAGTCAGACAATTTCAGAATGGGCAGGCAGCCTTGGTGAACAGGGCAGGTTCACGCCGTCAACCAACAAAGGTGGCGTCTCGGCTACCGGGCCATCAAGGTGAACCTGCTCGAATCGTTAACTGACAAATTGCCTTGCCTGGTTTGAGTCGATCTTATGCAGGTCGGGGGGAAACCCCGGGCATACGGAGTACAATGGAATGGATATAGCGGCTCCAACGGCTGCAAACGGACAGGGCTAGCGGAGATGGGCACAGCCGCGGTGGATGGAAAAGACCACATTAGGGCTCGAGCTGCCGTTGAGAGGAAGTTGGTCTTGTCGGGCGACGATGACAAGGCGGGGAATCTGGCATCCGGTGGTGGCTGCAGATCAGAACTGCGCCTAGTGATCGAAGCCTGGGCTGTGTGCGTTGAGGGTAGGAATCTAATCTATGTATGTATGTCTGAATCCTATTCGCTCTATTTCTGTAAAAGCCGGCCACTGTTTTACTGACTCTTCCAGTGCTTGATATCAGAATCACCCGCCACGATTGTCCCGTCAGGAAGAACCCTCTCCGTCGCCCTGACATGTGCCAGAAGAAAGGGATAGGCCAAGTCGCAAAGCAAAGAGGTCCCAACAATGATTACAGAGATGGGGTGAAATACGAACCCGTGTGCTTCGGGCCAGAACCACCATAGAAGTACGCACGTCCCAGGAAGACCAAGCTGCGTCCCGAGAAACCGGGTGAACCTATTAGAAGGCCAAGGAGCCGAGTCAGCCAGCAAATTCACTCACTGTAAGAAATATCACAAGCTATGACTCTAATGTTGAGTGCTGCGTCTCGCGTGGTACAGAGGCAATTTCATCGGCCCGAAAAGTGAGCAAAAGCAGACTAATTCTCCGGGAGAAACAGGAAGCACCGGCCAAGGACGGTGTGATAGGACAGCCCTACGAATATCGGCCAACTTGTATGGCCCGCCGGTGGGGAGGGGAGGAGAGAGTTGTGTGTTGGTCGTCGATATTGTTCAGCTTATGGGGTCACCTTCGTCTAAAATGGCCTGAACCAGAAAACAAAAAAGAAATGTGACAAAGAAGAAGAAGGCCCAACAGACGTGATGGCAGCTTATCCTCTCATATGCTGGGATAAGAAACGATGGCAAGAAAAGAGAAAGCGACAAACGAGACGGACTATTCCATGGCATCACCAACACCGACAAGGGCGATGCAGATGCAGAAAAGTGAGAGGCGGCCAACTCACCATATCGCATAGCTCTGACCACCGGAATGCCCTCGCTGAAGCAGCATGCCCAGTGCACCAACACTCATGATCATTTGTGCGACGCCAGCAGACCACCATGCCAGCTCGGTCGTATCTCTTGCTTCGAGACCCTTCCATACCTTGCCGGACTTGAGGCCTGAGCCGCGATGAGGCTCCTTGAGCCACCACGACGCGAATAGGCTGTTGGTGACGAGCCCAAAGGCGAAGACCAGGCCCAACAGCAGGGGCACATGGCGGGCGACCAGTGGCGAGGCGGCATTCGACCTGCGTCCGTACCTGAGGGTGGTGTACAGCACAGGCATGTCGAGGGCGAGCCACATGACGAACCCGGCGAATTCGAGCCACTCCTCCGTCACGTAGAAGGCGTACACGAGCTCCCATGAGAGGTTGATCCCCAGAGCGAGGAGCGGGATGGGCGTATCGCGAGTGCTGAGGGAGCGTTTAGTCATGAGAACGTAGCAGATGAGCCAGAAGACGACGCCGGCGCTGAGGAGGGCTGACGATGCCGGGATGAGCCAGCCTGGCGCTGTGGGCGGTGGTATATCGCTCGATCCCATTGTGTCTTGTCGTGATGAGGATTGCTGCCTTGATTGGCGGTCGCAATGGCCGTGGAAGGTGGTGCTAATGGAGAGAAAATCTGACTCTACCGTTGACCTATGTATTTACGAAGGAAAAGGGGGAGACGGCACTTGAGTGGTGAGATTCCTGCGGAGACGCGATGCAAGTGCCGACATGGACGGAGGATCTGGGCTCCAGGGCTGCAAAATTGAAAACGCTCGACTTGGACAAAGCACCTATAGGGTACGCTGATATTTGGCCAAGAAAATCAATGACAAGTTGACAACGCTCGCTCGCCACGGCCCGCGACGGTGGAAAAAACGATGATGAAATCAATTATTTATTACTTGAGTTTGCCTCTGCTAAACTCTGTGCCGTTACCCACGAGAAACTTGGGCAGGCAATTTGTTCTACCAGCTCAGCCCAGCAACAACCATATCAGCAACTTCGCATAAGAACCCTTCTTCACAACACGCTCTGAGACTCCTCACCCCTCGCCTCTTCTCCATCAAAAGATGGCACATTTCCCCGAATATATCCCAGCAGAATATCTGGTGACAAAGCCGTTGCCAAAACAGCCTCATCAATGGGGAGGCGTTCGGCACAGGCCTCGAATATCCTTTGACGGATACTCGTAGAGCTTGGACACGGCGTACCGAGAGAACATGCACGCAGGCAAGGCACCAGGTAGTATCGCCGAATCGGTGGGCTGACTGTCGATGTCGACCATAGGCTGACGCCTTCCACCATGTGAGCTTGAACGACAAGTCAGCCAGCGCTCGCTCATTTTCGCTCGCCCACGAAAGCAGAAAGCCACACAACTTACGCCCGTATGGTGTTTGAAAAGAATCCCACGGAAAATAAGTCGTCGACTCGGCAAAAACCATTTGAACCCAATCGAAGCAGCCCGGTATCTGTCGAAGCGTATACTCGCACCGGAAATCCACAGGCCGAGACACGTCCGAGGTAATCGTCTCGCTGCAATTCCACTGGCCGGGATCGTAAACTGCCCGAGTGCTTATCCAGTCTGAGCCGACTAAAAGTAAAAACGTCAGGTTGACATTCTCTTTTCTCAGATTACCCTGCAATTGTTTCTGGAATCTTGTTAGGGCCGAGCGCGACTCTGTGAATATCCATGCGTTGTCTGCAGGGAACCCAGCAGCATTTCGCCAAAGCGCCGAGCGCTTGGATTTGTCTAAACCGAGGTCCGCTGGCTCTTCCCTTGTCTTGTCGCGAATTTGTTCGTCATCGTGGGGGAAGATGACGACTCCCCTAATGTCGAGATGCTTCTTCATGTCGTTGAGAACGCTTTGCAGAAGTTGCAAATGGCCCTCGTGGGCGGGATTAAATGCGCCCGGAAATAACATAACTCGGTTTCTGCCTTCAGCGTCAATGATGGAAGATTTTACATCTTGGTTGTTAGTGAAGGGGAGCCCGTCACTTGGAATGCTGATGTTGCACTGCTCGCAGGCCTCGCGAATGTAATCCCATATAGTCTTCGCCATGTCTCTGTCGCACGTTGCGGAACAGAAAATGCAACCACCGGAGGAAAGATGTAGTGCTGCAACACGCAATGCGTGGAAAAGGTTTGGCGAGATTTGAGTTTCCAAGTGGCTGTTTACTGTCAACTGCAGTCGAGCGGCTGACAGCGAGAACACTTTTGCATAATGAAAGATAGATTAGATACTAGGTAGGTAGATGTAATTGCAAGAAGCTGTCTGCATCATAATACGATACAATGAGTCAACTGTGTGCCTACGTTGCACATTCCCGGTTTCCACAGAAATGGTGACTTGGCCCGGCACATACCCCGACCTTTTGATACGAATAAAAGACCCTGATCCTGTAGACCACTCACTGTTCATGGATATTGTGATTGCCATTCGCACAGTCGCATCGTGCAGTGTTTCAACGTACATCTGGCAGGCCTGGGGATTGTGGCCGGCATCTGTGTCGCTTCAACCATGTTTCAGTCTCATATTACGCTGGATCCTATATTCAATCATGAGGTCTTATGAACCGTGTTTGCTCGTCATCATATTACCACTATACAGACATTTACAATAGGCTTTTTGTCAGCTTATTTACAAATATGGAGTGGTTTGAACAGTTTCTTGTTACTCCCGAGATTAGCAAACACCAAGCCAACTCATTCAGGAACCCCCATCGTACCCAACTGTGCCTCCGACTCCCCCAAACCAGATTCGATAACATTCGTGTCCATGTTCCTCGCGCCAGTGCTGGTGCTCAGCATACACCACGCATTTTCTCGCCACATTGTACAGGCCCGTAGTAACAATGACGCACGTTCCGAGTAGTTTTTTCAGGCAAAGACTGCGTGAAGCATCATGGCGAAACAGAGAGCAAAGACGGACTGGCTGTTCAAGGTACCAACAGAAGTAGGTGAGCAAGTGACAAAGCTATTTCCACTGGCCCCCTTGTGAGTGATGACGCCTGCTTGCTTGCAATCCTTGGTAATAATGACTCGATCGGGTCCAGGAGAACCTGGGTGCTGTTAGCCAAATATAGTTATCGCCATGGCCCTCCATAGGATGGGTGGGGTTGGAAACTGGTGGGAAATGCAAATACTCACCGCCATCGTATACTTCACCGTTTGCGAAAACGGGAAATTCGTAGTAAGGCCCGCTGCCGGTGAGTTTAATCTTCTCGAGGTTCCTGTACTCGTGCGGATATTTATTTCTTCCAACTGAGCGGCCTTTCTTCAACAAAGAGCATGCTTCCCCGGTCGCTGTGGTGAGCTTTTTAGAGCTGTACACCGTGTCGCCGCAGGAGAACGTATCGCACACGGCCAAGGCAATAAGTGATAGGAAAAAGGTGAAAGAGAGTCTCATCTTGGGACACACAGTGCTGTTTCGTCAGGGTGGATGGGAATCGAAGTTCGGGTCCAGAGTGTGATGTGATGATCGATGGCATAAAATGTATCATAAGAGAAGTCAAGTTTGGTGCAATTGAATTTCGGAAGAGGCAGCCCAATTTACGTCACTAGTTTCTTTTCGTTGGCTGGACCATCTCTGATGACGGGCTGTGTCCATTGACGTTGCAGCTGAAACCAGCGACGACCTTGAGCATTGAATGGCCCAGGAACAAGATTAAGCCCACAGATTAGGCGCAGCCACCAGCGGCGCCTCCTTTGATCCACCGAACAAAAGATGCAAAATGGTTGGCGGTTTCGGCATCATGTATGTACCCTTTCGGTCCGCCCTAACCGATGAATGGGGCATTTTCACTCTTGGCTTGGCCCCGGTACCTTGCCGGGATGTGCCCTTTGATCGACATGAGAAGCGCGATGGTGTCGACAACTACTCGTGGTAGGGCTGGTTCGGTTCAAGGATGCGGAGCGTGAAAGGAAGGAAAGGGAAGGAAAAATCCACCACGGACATTGCTAGAGATATTCGCACGTTGGCCAAACAGGCAAGAAACAAGATTTCTCTCACACATGATACATGAAATGCGTGGTCGTCCCAGTTTACATGTGAATCTGCAAAGTAGTGTTGTTGCACTGTCAATGTTCTCAAAGGCATCAATCATGTGATCCGGTGTTCGGTTGCTCCTTCGTCGTGGAACTAGTACCACATGCAGTTGACGAGTAGGAGCCGGGCGTGAGGGGCTACCAGTTGGCGTTGGGCATTGGGCATTGGACAATGGACCAGACCTTGGACGTGGTGAACCTTGAACCTGCTGCACCCGGGCTCGAGATCCGCACCATCGATCCATCTGGAGCGGGAGATGTGTGTGTGGCTGTTGAACTTTGCGGATGGCAGGGTCCTTTTAGGCGATGGATGCCACTTTCCAGACATGCTGTTGCGTTATTCGTGGTGGGAGAATGGCAGTCATCATTTGTGATGCGCATTTGTGTACGGCGTTAGTGGTTGCAGGTTGGTGCATGGCAGAAACACAGGCCCAAGGCCATGCATGCATGTTGACAACTTGAGTGCATAATATACTAACGGTGAGCAGTTATTCGTCACAGTTCCGGAATGCGACTCGTGTGAAGGCTTGTCGGACTCAAAATGCAGCAAGCTGCAGCAAGCGTAACGCAGAGTTTCGGTACATCAAAGGCAGAACACACTGACAGCTCTGGAACCTCGAGGCATCATGGTCAACATCGCCAAAGTCAATATTGACCTTCCCCGCGAGCTTCGCCGCACTGCTCTGGAGCCGATGATGCCGGCAGTCTAGCTTCCTGCATCAGCTCGAGCTGTTCCCTTCTGTGGTCTTTGCTGGCCATCTGTCAACCAATCATTTCCCTAGTGTAACCGTCGATCTGCAACCCGAAACCGTCGTTCCTGAGGGTGTCACACGAGAACTGCCGCCAACAACTCCCAACGCTCAACCCGGGTGGCTGCAGCTTGGAGATGGAGAGGCCCGTGTTTGCTGTGGTCGCCCGGCGCAAGCATGTGGTATTTTCCCAATCGCTCCTTGCTGTCGCTCGCGCCAGAATTGTCATGTCGCGATGCTTGGTGGATACGTCACAACCGCGGATGAAAATGAAGGACAAGCATGGTCCGTAATGGAAACGCTGGGCCCCGATACCTACATACATACATACGTTCCTTGAGTTGCGGAAGACCCTGGGTGGATCGAGAACGAAAAGGCAAGCTTGGCTCACTGGCGTTTGTGAGGTACTAGTAGGTGATTTTCCTTTGGCCTGCCGGTATGGCATAGTGAAATACATATACTTATTTAGCATCCAGCCCTCAAGACCCCTCTGTTCGCCCAAGTCTTCAGAATTGGCACATTGCCTCAATCAGTGACGCGCGGGACGTTGCTTGTTTACCCGACTTGTCAAGTATGAGATCGAGCAGAAACGATGATCCAATAGCATTGTGGTAAATAGCCTTCGTCCCAACCCGGCCACCACCACCACAATCTCGCGACTGTCTGGGGTTCATCTCTATCCTCAGCTGCCGGTGGCATCTGACTCCAGATTGTGCCACAGCCTTGGCAACTCGGTCAACTCGACAGAGCACTTTTCCCTTCCTTGACAATAGCACGAGGGCCCGGCCAGTGCTCTGCATTGTATGATTATTGTCCTGTCATTGAATGTAGTACTACTGTTCTCCCAGCGGGCGCTCCGAGGTGGCCTAGGCTGTCTCCTCAGACACCCAGCTCGGCGACCGCAACATGTTCTAAAGTTGGTGGTCTCAAGTGCTTTGCTGTCCTTGGCTTTGGGCGCCACATCCCAGTCCTTAGGAAGCCGCTCGTCACATCGCGAGTCTCCATCTGTGCCGCATGTGGGCTTTGCGGCGTCTCATGCGTGCAACCGACCGCAAATTTCCTCAACAACGGCCTTCCTCGCTGGCACCCTCTTGAGTTCCCTCTCTCCCACTCTCACCTCTCTCACCTCCTCATCACTTCCGCCATCGCCGCCACCAGGCTTGATTCTCAGGAGTCAGGAGGCATCGGCTGCCTGGCTCGAAGTTGCGACTCGTTCAGCGTCAGAGCAGCAGCTCCCGCGGCGGCCTGTGAGCCTGCGATCACGGAAAGAGGGCCAGCCCAGAAGAAGCAGAAACATCGACATCTCTCGACGTCCTACGCGAGCGCTGGGTCCCCAGGTGCGATGCGCCGACTCTGACAGGACAGGACGCCTCTGACCAGCCGGTCTCGTCGGTCAGGCGCTGGTGCGTGTGTCCATGTCCCTTGAATCCGGGGACCATCAGCAGCTTTCCCGTCGCCTCTTCTGACCCGTTTTTTTCTTAGCTCGCACCCCTGTCTCGCCAGATCATTGGCTGTGAAGGTGGAGGCTGCCGCCGTGCCCCACCGGACAGGTCGGGTTTTTCGAGCTAAAAACTCGGCACGACCATGGATCCAAGACACCGCCAGCCTGCTCCCGTGCCACGGTCCAACAACGCCAACTCCAACTCCATCTCGAATGCAGGCTCCAACAGCGCCTCTCCTTTTCCTCCCGCCTCGATCGTCGTGCCGCCTCCTCTGCACTCGGCCCATCACCACCCCTTCGCGACGCACACCTTTGCACCCGTCTCCGCGTATGCCGCCGACCCTCGTCGGGCCTCAGACACCCCGTACTACCCGCCGGCCGGCCGCGCCAGCTTGCCAGCTCCGGAGCTTGGCCACAACCATTCGCAGTCGCAGTCGCATTCACACTCGCGCGCGCAGAGTGCTTCGTCGCTCCCTTCGCTCCCGTCTGCCAGGGAGCACAGTCGCGTAATGCCTCCTCCGCCAACCTCGCCCTCGCAGGGCCAGCAGGGGGGCCAGCCGCCGCCGCCGCATCATCATCATCACCAGCAGTCGCAGAGCTCCGTGAGCTACGGCCCGATGCCGACTCGACCGCCTTCTCTTTCTGCTGGGCCATCAACTTCGTTCCCGTCTGGAAGGGAGCTGCCGGCCTTGAGCTCGCTCTCCAGGTCGGGTGGCGGCGCTGGAAGTAGCTCCATGTCGATATCTTCTATGCTTGGCGGACCGCCTCCAGCTTCCCGTGATTCACAACCTCCGCCACACTACTCATCTCACGGTCCTCCGCCATCATCAGGACCGGGATATGGGCCTGCCATGCAAGCTTCGCCAAGGTTGCCTTCTGCGTCATCCGAATATCCCCCATTTCGCCGACCTCAGACCCCTGACCATCCACGACCATACGATCCCCGAGCCAGTGCTGCACCGTCACCTCATGGCCCCTTTGCGACTACACCCGACCTACAACGATACGGTACACCCCAGGGCTATCACCAGCGTCACCCGTCTGCACCCGCCGATATTTCGCGAGAGCCAGGGAGGATGTCTGCCGGTCCGCCACCGACTCAAAACAAACCGCCGCCGCCGTATGGTGGTATGCCGCCGCGGCCATTGGAGGTGGGCCGATCAGATGACCCTTATGCAAGACGAGACGATAGCCGGCCGCCCCCAGCCATGGAGTTTAATCCTGAACGGCCAGGTCTAAGGCCATATCCTTACGATGAACGGTTCCACCCCGATAGAGATCGACAGCCAGTTCCTGAGGCTCGTGAGAGAGAAGGTAGGGAGCGAGCGTATTCGGGAGGGGCCGATTCGCGCCGGCAGCAGCAGCAGCAGCATATGTCTCCTCATGAGTTGGGACATCGAGACACTCACCCTGGGCAGTCTGCTTATGGGCGTCCTCCGGAACACCGAGATACCCGCGATCAGTGGGGACGACCAACTACTTCAGACCCGAATTATAGACCGCCCCTCGAGCATCAACGACCTCAACACTCAGAGTACCCCCCTGCATCCGGACCATACTCTCACCACGGGCAGCCGTATCAGGCTTCTCCCCCCGATCGGTATCCGCCAACCTCGCATCCTCCTCATCCATCTGGAAACGCGCCAGCGCCACCTCCACAGTCCTACGAGGCTGACCGAGCTCGCATGGATCAAATTCACCCTCATCCACCTCAGCCTCAGGGCCCTCCCCGCCGTGAAGAACCACCACCACCCGCTCCTGCGGGCTATGGCACCTCGCATGGCCCGTCTTTTGATTCGCCTCGTAAGGAGAGTGACGATCATCACGGGCCGAATGGGCTACAGCGAAATTTATTGGCAGTACAAGATATTAATCGCAAGGGTCGAATGTCCCCTCTCCCGCAAGCAGTCCAAGGCGCACAACCACAGCAGCCTGGCCCTGCGGCTGAGCCAGGCATCAAGAGTGAATTTGGTCGCATGTTTTCCGGCATTGGAAGCGGCGTCAGTGGTATCGGCATGTCCAGCCCGGTAGCATCTTCGGCCGCGACGGCGTTCCCAAGCCAAACCTCACATCCCGCAGGTGGCAAACGCGAAGACATTGAGAGTGTCGGGGTGGACTCTGTCGTCGACAATATCAAGGGCCCAAAGCCTGGAAGGAGACGAAAGTTAAAGGATGAAGATGCTCGTGATGATGATAGTTCTGGCAGACTTACGCCTGCAGGCCGAGCAAACAAACCAATTTAGCTGTGAGCATCGCCCGGAGCTAACCAATAGTTTTAGTCATCATCACCATCACCACCACCACGGACAAGATTCAGTACCATCACCGCCGACTGCAGCTGCTCAGTTTAAGAATCTTAAAGGCAGTACACCGACAGCTTCGCCGACTGAAAAGTCCCACCACCACCACCATCATCACCATGGCCAAAAGACCGGGGCTCCCGCGCCGGCCAGCCAGACTAAGCCTGCGCCTCCTGTCATACCACCAAAGACCAAAACAGTTGTAGCCTCCAAGCTTGTCTTGGACTCGGTCGCCAATCGCGCAAGACATCATCTCGGAGATTTCATATACGAACCCGAACTGAAGCCGGGTCGACTACTTCCAAACACACCCACACACAGAGGCTTCTCGTCGAATCCTAAGCCGCTTCCCTGGGATATCATCAAGGACAAGGAGAATTGCCTACTGACGGTCAAGGTGCCGCTTATACATCTCTCTCCTGTAGCTCGCGAGGAAATCACGGCGCGGGCCTATCTGTGGGGCACAGACGTTTACACTGATGATTCGGACGTAGTTGCGGCTTGCATCCATGGCGGCTGGATAAAGGGCGAGTGGACAGACGACGTTGATACGGCCATGTTGGACCTGGAACAGGGAACAGCTGAGGGTGGCAAGCGCAAGACCAAGATTCCAACCCCAGAGCTGCCGAGTCGAGAATCAGAAGGCGCCATCACTACGCCGCCGCCACTGGGACCCATGGATATCCCAGCAAACCGGGATTTGCATGTCAATGTTTTGATCCTACCTCGACTCGTTAAATACGCGGGGTCTACGCGATTTGGCATTTCTAGCCGCGAGTTTGGAGGCCAATACGGCAGCCGACACTCGGTTCACGATGGCATAAGCTACATGATCAAAAGCATCCGATGGGTAGAAAACGGTGCGCAGCCCCAGGCAAGGCTACGCGGCAAAGGTAGGAGAGAGCGCATGCGTAAAGCAATGAAGGAGGTCACGGCTAGCTTTGGCAACATCCATGGGCTTGACGTGGAGCAAAGCAAGGAAAGCAATGCGTCGCCCCAAAGAGGCGATATCATCGGCAACTGGAGGAAGAAGGACCAGCCGGATGCGCCCGCAGAGGTTGTGAATGACAAGCCGGACCAAGAGCGCGCAGCCAGCGAGGGAAACAAGGAGAACCGCGTAGTAACGACGCAGCCTGGCAACTCGGAAGAGCCAGCCAAAGAGACGAAGAAAACGCCAGATCAAGATGTTGAAATGACGGAAGCAGATGCGGGGAAGAAAGAGTCTGATACTGTCGAAGAAAAGTAACCATTCTTTTTTTTTCCAGCTTTAATTTCCTCTTGCGACAATTAGGGATACCTAGAGGATGGCGTCTGGATAACGTGTTTATCGAAATATTCGCAAAATGTAAGAATACCGGTCATCAAGGAAGCAAAGCGACGAGGGAGGAGGAGGATGATGGACATGTGGCATGCCCGGCAGCCTTTATTGTACAGTTTAGTGTCGCGTTATGGTACATGTGATGAGGAAACGCCCGCCCTCTCAATTCAAATCATGATTAATTCAACGCCACACCCTCCGTCTCCATCATGCCGAGCGAGTATTCTCATCCCAGTTCCCCCGGCCGTCTTCGTCATAAGTGCTATACATAGGCCGTCCCTCTCCCACCGCTGGCATCTGGTGCCGTACACCCACCCCGTCAAAAGTATCGGCAGAGTGGATTGTTTGCTTGGATCAAAAATCCGTCACACGCCCGTTGTAGCTCCAGTCGCCGTCGCCTCCCCACCGCAGAGGTTCATTCTTCGGACCGCCAACCTCGCCCGTCTTGGGATTCTTGTCGCCGTCGAACTCGGGCGGCGCGCCGCGGAACAGAGCCGGATTCACACTCTCTTCTTCCGTGAGCGTATTGGCCTGCGCCTGCGTCTGTCCCTGGGTGGACAGTGACTCTGCGGGAGCGCCGGTGTTTGCGGGCTGGAAGGCGGAGGAGACGGCGGCTTCGCGTTGGAGACGCTCGAATTCGGCTTGCTGTGAGGCGGGGAGCTTTGGGGGCGCGGGACGGGTCTGGAAGGATGAGTAGGTGCGTGTGCGGGTTCCGCGGGTGAGGATTGCGCGAAGGGGCCGTAGGCGTTGCATTGTTGGCTTCTGAGACGATTGCGTCGGGCTGTTGTGGTGCTTTTGAATTGTGCTGATGGTTGGAACCGGAGTTGAGAAAGGCGAATGTGCTCGCTTGGATTGATGGCTTTCATGAGGTGCGGGATTGGTTGAGGGTGTCGCGTGTGGGGCCGGGAGTCGGCTGTCACATAGCCTACTTAGTACCTGGGTATGCGGTAGTGAATCTAGTGATAGCCTGGCGCTTCAATTGTTTGCCAGCGGACAAGTTAGGCTATAGACAGCCCTATCATCTGTTTGCATTGTGCCTGGTGAAGTAAAATCACAAGGTAAGTTATCTATCTACCACGATAGGCGGGCGACGGATGAACAGTGGCGCATTGTCATTTAGCTGCATCGATCTGTCAGGTAACGGCACGGAGTGTTTGGAACTACGGAGATTTTCTTCATCCCATGTACAGGATTCTGGAAGCGTCTGGTCGCGAAACTGTAATAGATACACGGTTTCTTGTGCCACCCGAGTGCTCCCTTGGGCTAGCGCATTGGGCCCCGAGAGTGTGGACCAGCTTCATGTTGGCATAAAGTGTCGCGGACTCTGGATCTAGAGATAAGCTGCTCAGAGCCGGGTTCCTGGTTCCGGTTCTGGGTCCGATTCCTGTTTCAAGAGAGTGGTACGTACTCAGCGTTGATAACGGAGGTTTAGACATGGAACTGGCGTCTCCGGCTCTTCGCATAGAAGGCTCCATCCACGTTGCCTCTTGAAGACATGTCTCCCGACCGGAATTGATGCCACCCACTTCATGCGTAGGACGCTAGCTGCTTCCATAATTGTCCGGTTCTCTTAATAGTATAGCGTCCGCTCTTCACAGCAGGTGCGAGGGTGCATGCTGCTGCTCAAACCACGACATGGAGCATGCATCAACTTCTCTCAGTCAAACGAAACGCTTGGCGCACGCACATACATACTGGTGCCATCGCGGTGCTCTCCTGGCAGAACACGTTTGGTTTCGCAAGGCTTGGCCGGCCGGGGTCGTGGAGACAAACGTTGAATCGAACACCCCATGATCCCGTGCCTCGATACGATGGATAGCCTGGTCTTCTATCCATGGCCCCGAACTCAACGCCTCTTTGGCGACCGAGAGCGGAACTCTGCCGACCCATGATGCTAGCATCGCCAGAATCAACTCCAACGTCTTGGTCCCGTCCACCCACCCCTGCTAGTCTTCCTCACCACGCTCGATGCTACCTTGGCATCTCCTTGACCTGTTGTGCTGGCCTGTCTCCTCGATGGCAGCACCAAAGCGTCGAATCACAGTCCTGGGGTCAACCACATGCGCGCGTGGAAGTCGGCAGCCGTCAACCGGTGCCTCTCAACACCATATATTCTTGCTCCCCAGCTCCCCAGCCTGCTGTAGTTTGCTTTTGAAGCTCTGGCAATACTGTAGTGTTTGAGGACTCACAAAGGCTCGGAACTCACAACGGGCTATTAGAGTTGACAGTAGGCACTGGCTGTTGTATCGCCTCCATATACTCCCATTCATTGGCCTTTAGCACTCGGATCCCGCATTTTGACGTTTCCCTCAGCTGGTCTCTTCGTTATCAATGACAATGGATGTGGAAGTCAAGTAGATTGGTTCTGAGAGAAAAGCCCGAGCCCTATCTGTCTGCCTTTTTAGGCCCGTACACCGACCAGATTGGTCCATCCAAACGAGTTTTTGACGAGGCCAACGGCACTCATTGAGTTGCCTCGACACATGAGATGGCGGCTCTAACTCAATATACTTATGTGTTTGCTCTTACAGCCGCATTTGCCGCTCTTGACGCTTGGAATATCGGTAGGCATCTATACAGGCGTGTCAAGGCGTAAGGAACAAGACTTCTGAGCTAACATGCTTAGGTGCCAATGATGTCGCCAACTCGTTCGCAACGTCAGTCTCTTCCCGGTCTCTGACCTTGAAGCAGGCCATGGCCTTGGCTGCTGTCTGTGAATTCTCCGGAAGTGCAACCGTCGGCAGTCGAGTAGCTGATACGATCCGCACCAAAATCGTCGACCCTCACCAGTATGACTCCTCGCCTCCAGTCCTCCTGCTCGCCATGATGTGCACAGTGTTGGCATCGTCGACTTTCCTCACCGTGGCCACCCGGTATGGCATGCCCGTTTCCACTACGCATGCCATGGTTGGCGGACTGATAGGCACAGCTAGTGCGTCCATTGGAATTCAAAATGTGAATTGGGGATGGACGGGCCTCTCGCACGTATTTGCTGCCTGGGCTGTTGCGCCTTGCATGGCGGGATGCCTGGGTGCTTTGCTATTTCTAATCACAAAGCATAGCGTTCTTATCAAGCCGACGGCGGCGCAACGGGCCTTCTATTCCATCCCCTTTTATACTTTTCTTACGGTTGCGTCTATTACCAGTAAGCGTTTGACGAGTTGACACCAATCAGCTGTGGGCATGCTGGAACTGACAACGTGCAGTGTTGATTGTATGGAAGGGCATACAGATAGTCCAACTATCAACCACGCAGGTTCTATTGTCCGTTGGCATCGCAGCCGCTGGAGCTACATTACTGCAAATGATTTTTGTCATGCCATATCTCTGGGTACGAATTATGCGTCAAGACTGGACCTTGAAATGGTATCATGTTTTTCAGGGACTTTGGCTTTTACGACGACAGCCACCTCCGCCAACTCCTCCTGGTTTCGTAAAGCCGCAGATCAAGGACTACTACCGTGGCCACCTAACCCCCGAAGAATTACATTGTATGCGAGCATCAGAGACGTTGTTGCAATCGGTGCAGAGAGGTCGCCCCGGGGAACAACCCGACATGGATAAGAACGACGATCTTATTCTACCGCCATCTGCCTTGTCACCAATGCCTTCTACTCGAAGAGATTCTCTATCAAACGATGGGCTTATTCCTCCCAGACCACCCGGGCCATCAACGAGTTTTCCAGTGATTGCCTGGAAAGCCAATCGCTTCCTACTTCGTGGCATCGAACAAGACGTCATTGCAATGCAGAAGCGCAATGCAGTTCTAAAATGGGATATTGAAGACATGCATTCTCGAGCAACGAGATTCGACAACCGAGCGGAATACGTGTACTCGTCACTCCAAGTCCTCACCGCGGCCGCAGCATCATTCACACACGGAGCCAACGACGTCTCAAACGCAATTGCTCCCTTCTCAACTGCGTACCAAGTCTGGTCAACAGGGACCATCCCCGATCTTGTCCATATTCCCATCTGGGTGCTTTGTTTTGGCGGCGGAGGGATTGTGCTCGGCCTGCTGACGTACGGGTACCACGTCATGAGGACATTGGGTAATCGGCTGACTCTCATTTCACCGAGTCGGGGATTCTGTATGGAACTCGCCAGCGCCATTACCGTCCTCACGGCGACTAAACTATCGCTGCCCGTGTCCACGACCCAGTGCATTACAGGAGCTACGGTGGGCGTGGGCCTGGCTAATGGGGATTGGAAATGTATCAATCCGAGGTTGGTGGGATGGATATACTTGGGCTGGCTCATTACTGTGCCAGTCACGGCGTTGACATCCGGCTGTCTGATGGGCTTAATTCTGTATGCACCGAGGTGGTGAACTTTTGTGTTTCGGGGTGTAGAATTCGCGACGTAGGAATGGAATGGCGTTTGGAGTTTGGAGCCAGTTTTTCTAGCACAGCAACCCTTTTTTTTTTTTTTTTCATCGTTTCGACGTGGCCTTTACGAGGAGTTACAATGAATCAATGTCAGAACGTGAGGGGCAGGCATGAGGCTTTTCTGTGTGAATATGATGTAAGATGTAAGTCTATAGAGAGGATAGAAGAAAAGTAAGACACAATTTGATAAATTTAATAAATTTAATAAGAAAACCTAGATTTAGCGATGCTATGAAGTGAATTTCTGAGGAAGAGGGTGGTCATGGATGTGATCATGTGGAGTCAAGTTGCGAAATGTGTTCATGCATCACTAACCGCTCACACATCAGCTTAACGCGCCCCTGCGAAAACATACAATACGGTAGAAAACAGGCATAAACAGATAAGACATATTTAAAAAGGCCAAATGTGTGAGGCACACCAGCAAAGAAGCTGAAAAGAATGCCAAAGTTGACCGCCACGTAGAGACACAAGAAGGTGAGGATGAGTTTAGCGATGAGTATGTGAAAGGGCCGAATGACGGCGACGCGGGCAAATAGCGAGAGTTTTGCACGCAGAGGAACCTTGGGAGGCAGCTTCAGGCCCTTCTTCTTGGGCGAGCCGGCGCTTGACACGTACCCAAGCCCAGGTCCTAAAAAAGGCATCAGCACAAATCCGCCAACCAGCCCTCTCGATTTGGGCCGGAAACGTCTGCGATATTGATGCCGATGGAACGGCCAGCACAGGCGACTAGCTGAACCTGCTCATGAAGCGGCAGAAACACCGGACAGCACTCCGAAATTGTGTGAAGCCGGCACCAAGCGTATAGATCCAGCAAGTTGCGCATTAAAGCTTGGTCAGGGAGAAGGGCGTGGTGCGCATCGTGCCATGTCACAATGCTGTTCAGGATGACTGATCTCCCGATCAGCTCATCCGGCTCGGCCCCACTTTTGCCAAAGTGCGGCGCCGTCACGGAAGATTAGGTGCGTCCGTCACGGCTTTGAACGAACTTGTTGCCTATTATCACTCACCACTCAACATTTCTGGCCAGTGATCGTCCACCAACACTATCCAGGTCCTGTAGCAGCCGTCTGTAGCTCATGGACCGGGTAATACAAAGACCGCGATGGATGAGGAACAAGGTTACCTTGGACTTTGGGACCATTCAAGCCACTGATGAGCTTATCATGCAGTGCTGCTTGAGGTGTGGCGTGTTACTGATAATATGATCATGCACACGAGCTTTGCCCCTCAACTGATTATGAATTGGCAGTGAATAGCATTTGTTCAATGTCCTGTTCTCTCCGAACAACTGTGATCACTACCCATTTTCGGCAACCTTATTCTGACAGCTGCTACCGCCGCGATGGCCATGTCGGTCTATAAGTTCATGTGCAGGAACCTTTGCCACTCATCTGGCCTGACGTATCTGCACCATTGCATCTAGCACTCCAATCATACAGCTGACCCAACAAGCATTGATTATGCTTCCCACTTGCTTTCGATCTATTATCCCTAGCGAATGTTCCTGTACCTGCAGGATAGAATGCGTTTTCCGCATGCGCTAGACCTAGGGTAGCATGTGGAGCGAAGGTTGGATCGTGGGCTCTCAGCAGCAAGGAAATTGACGTAAAAACCACCAGAAGAACCAACTTCCTCTGACCAAAAAAGGCCACTGCAAATTCGAGTGTTACAGTGTCAAGAACGCCTCAAGTAATGTGAACTGGTCCTGCGTTTCGGTGCTGAAGACCATGGTGTTGTTGCGTCCCGGTTTCCGGCAGAAGATGTCAGTTCATTAACCCCAACCCAGCAAGCTCTGCTGGTGGGGTCGATGCGGGCAAACGCCGGTCCGAAAATTTTCATGAGCCCCTCTATCGATAAGAGGAGGGGCAGCAAGACTCTAAATTCGTCGACCCAGGCTCATGTTTACGCCTTTCCACGATTAGGCGTTTTACACGTTTTAATCTATCGCTCACGGCGGTACACTTCTCAACATGCCGCACGAGATTCTCGTCGGTAGCTCGTGCTACACGGCTACCAGTGCACAAGAGATCAAAGCTCGTGCCAACAAGACCAGCCAGCCCAAGATCCAGCAGATCCGGGGCCAGTGGGTGTACTTTGTCGACCTGAAGTCATCCAACAAGGCTGTTCTGGACAACGTGAAAACACTCCTTCAGGATGTCGACTCCGAACCCCTCCTTGCTTCTGAGAGCACCAGCAACACAATTACCGTCTACGTCACCCCCCGATACCTCTCGCCATGGAGTTCTCAAGCCACCAACATTGCCCATGTCTGCGGCTTGAAGGATCAGGTCAACCGCATTGAAAAGGGCCGACTCATTGTCATCGATTTCGAAGAGCCCTATCAGAGTGGACAAGACGCCACTTTTCGGGATGTCCTGTACGATCGTATGACCGAGATATTCTCCTTCGAAAAGCCTGAACTTGACGTCATGTTTGCTGCCGGGGTTCCTGCACCACTTGTTGTCGTTGACATTTTCGCCGACGGAAAGGATCCTCTCAGCGTCCTCCGGGACTACAACAAAGAAAAGGGACTGAGCCTTGATGAATCGGAAATGGCGTACCTTGTCGACGTTTTCAAGAAGCTCGGCCGCTCGCCTCACGATGTGGAGCTCTTCATGTTTGCCCAGGTCAACTCGGAACACTGTCGCCACAAGGTATTCAACGCCAACTGGACAATTGACGGTGTTAAGAAGAATAAAAGCTTGTTCGAAATGATCCGAAACACACACAAGAAGACCCCTGATTATACCGTTTCGGCTTACAGCGATAATGCCGCTGTTCTTCAGGGTGAATCTGCGAATTTTTGGGCCCCCGACTACTCTACTGGAACTTGGACGATGACCCCAGAAGTTGCCCATATTTTGGCCAAGGTCGAGACTCATAACCACCCTACTGCGATTTCACCTTTCCCCGGTGCCGCCACCGGCTCTGGTGGTGAAATTCGAGACGAAGCTGCTGTCGGACGCGGCTCCGTGACGAAGGGCGGTCTTGCTGGTTACTGGGTTTCTGATCTCCTGATTCCCGATCATCGAGCTCCTTGGGAAGTTGATATAGGCCGCCCCGCCCACTACGCCAGCAGTTTAGACATCATGCTTGAGGCCCCTATCGGCAGTGCTCGCTTCAATAACGAATTTGGCCGCCCTTGTCTTACGGGCTGCTTTCGAACGCTTCTTACTCCCGAAACTCCCGCTGAAGGTGCTAAAGCTGAAGCTTCGGCATGGCGCGGATACCACAAGCCCATTATGCTGGCTGGTGGTGTTGGCACAGTTCGGCCTTCTAACGCGCTGAAAGAGGAGCGCTTTGTCCGCGAAGGTGCCCACGTCATTGTTCTTGGTGGCCCGGCCATGTTGATTGGCCTCGGGGGCGGTGCTGCGTCCAGTAATGCGTCCGGCGAGAGTAATGCTGATTTGGACTTTGATAGTGTGCAGCGTGGAAATCCAGAGGTTGGCTTATTCTGAAACTGTGTTTGAATGCCTTCATTTTGCTAAATTCTTGCACCAGATGGAACGCCGCGCCCAAATGGTCATCAATACCTGCACTGCTTTTGGCGAACAGAACCCGATTGCCATGATTCACGACGTTGGAGCTGGCGGCCTCTCCAATGCCTTACCCGAGCGTACGTTTTGATGCCTCACCATTTAGCGCTGCTTCTCTCCGTTCAATTTAGCCCCTAACATGTTGTACAGTTGTTAAAGATGCTGGTTTTGGCGGCAACTTCGAATTACGCCAAGTCGAGAGTGCTGACAGAAGCATGAGCCCTCTGCAGATCTGGTGTAATGAGGCTCAGGAACGCTATGTCCTACTAATTAATCCCGAAAACATGAATCGCTTCACTAGCATTTGCCGTAGAGAACGTTGTGGATTCTCAGATGTTGGAGCCGTTGCCACCAAGGATGCAAATGGAGACGCCAAGTTGATTCTCACAGACCGCGAATCCAAAGAATATCCTCGCCCCATTGACCTGCCAATGGATGCACTATTCCCACCAAAGCATCAGCAGGAACGAAATGTCAACACGAAGAAGGCCAATCTGACACCTTTTGATGCCCTGGCCAGTCTTCGAAAGGCATTTGGAGCTGACCTAGACAATGCAACGCTGGTGAAGAAAACGGTGGAACGGGTCTTCCTCATGCCAGCAGTGGGCTCGAAGTCTTTCCTCATCACCATTGGAGACAGAACTGTCGGTGGTCTTACGGCTCGTGATCAATTCGTTGGACCCTGGCAGACTCCAGTGGCCGATGTTGCCGTGACAGCTACTTCATTCAGCCTTGGTGGAAAGCAGAGAACTGGCGAGGCCATGGCCATGGGTGAGAAACCGACTCTGGCTCTCATAAACCCCGGAGCCTCTGCCAGAATGGCTGTCGCAGAGAGCTTGATGAACATTGGTGCTGCAGATGTAATGGGAGACTTGCGCAGAGTCAAGCTCTCGGCCAACTGGATGGCAGCTGTCAGCCACCCTGGCGAAGGTGCGGCTCTTTATGAGGCTGTCGAGGCTATTGGCATGGAAATGTGCCCTGAACTTAGCGTCAGCATTCCCGTTGGAAAGGATTCAACGTCCATGAAGGCTGTTTGGAAGGAACAGAACGAAGTGAAGAGCGTAACGGCCCCCGTCTCTGTGGCTATTTCGGCTTTCGCGGTTGTGGAGGACATTTTGAGCACATGGACCCCTCAGCTCCGAAGAGTTGAAGAGGTTGGAGAGTCTATTCTGGTGTTTGTTGATCTGGCAGAAGGTCGACGAGCCATGGGAGGCTCAGCGTTGGCCCAGTCGCTCGGTGCAATTGGAAATGAGGCCCCCGACATGAAGAACTTCAACCTCATTACCGACTATTTTGATGCTCTCTCGCAACTTCATAAGAGTGGCGTTGTCCTGGCGTATCATGATCGCTCTGACGGAGGTTTGATCACAACCATTGCCGAGATGATGTTTGCTGGTCGCTGCGGCGTTGACATGATGATGGATGGTATCTCGAAGAGCGGCTCGGCTGGCGACATGATTGAAGCCTTGTTCAATGAGGAGCTTGGTGCTGTCTTCCAGGTCAAGGCGTCTGATGAGATCAACTTCAAGCGATGCTTCGCCACCTGCGGCCCCCCTCCTGGCCTGATTCGCAAGTTTGGAGTCGTCAAGGCTAGCCCTAACCAGTCTTTGACTATCCGCCATGGGGCGACCACGTTTGCCAATCTTGATCGCACCGAAATGCAACAGTGGTGGTCCAAGACATCCCACCAGATGCAGCGGCTCCGAGATAACCCTGCCTGTGCCGACTCCGAATACGCCGCAATTTCCGATGTGTCCGACCCTGGCCTCTCTTACCACTTGACTTACTCACCATCCGAGAACATTTTACCACTCACATCCTCCATTACTGGATTTTTCAACAAGACTCCTCGAGTCGCTGTTCTCCGAGAACAGGGTGTGAATGGATATGCTGAATTGGCTTTCGCTTTCAGAGCTGCTGGGTTCGAGCCGGTTGATGTTCACATGACTGATGTCCTTGGAGGGCGGTCTCTTGCTGACTTTACCGGTATTGCCGCCCCGGGTGGATTCTCATATGGCGACGTTCTCGGTGCTGGCCAAGGCTGGGCCAGGTCTGTTTTGATGCATGAGAGCACACGCCGCGAGTTTGAGCATTTCTTCAGGCGTCCCGACACCTTTGCTCTTGGTGTCTGTAACGGCTGTCAGTTCCTGACTCGGATCCAGGAGCTCATTCCTGGCACGGCACACTGGCCAACCTTTGTTCACAACGAGAGTGCTCAGTTCGAGGGCCGATACAGCATGGTGACAATCCAGGAAGATGAGAGCAAGCCCTCCGTCTTCTTCCACGGCATGAACGGCTCATCACTCCCTGTGGTTGTGTCTCATGGCGAAGGAAGAGCCAAATTCTCCTCACCAAACTCCCTGCAGGAACTGACCAACTCGGGCATGATCCCCATGCGTTATGTTGACAACAGGCTGAAGGTCACTGAGAAATATCCTTACAACCCCAACGGCAGCCCCGGGGGTGTTGCTGGTGTCTCGAGCAGGGACGGCCGTTTTGTTGCCATGATGCCTCACCCTGAACGAACAATCGTTGCTGGCGTAAACAGCTACATCCCCCCCAAGGCCACCGAGGAGTGGGGTGACTTTGGTCCCTGGGTTCGAATCTTTAAGAGTGTCCGTAGATGGGTTGGTTAAGTGGTCCAGGGGCACGAGAATTGAAAAAAAAACAAGAGATGGAGCAAGCCAGGCATCATGAAAAGACAAAAATACCAGAGGGTTATTTTATTAATGATATGGGTGATTTTCCTTTATTCTACTGCACAGGTAGCAATGACAATTTATAGACATGGGCTCAAGCTATTGAGAATATAATGAATGACAAACCAAGACACCCTGTGATAGGGGTCATAGTTCACGTCGGATGGCCACCGCGTCGAGTGAAGCTACATCGCTAGCAAAGTCCGTGGATATCGTGGATTCATGCCACGCCACTCCTCGACTCACTTATAGCCACGCTCCGTCCGTCGAGTAAACACTCCCGCTCACAAAGCTATTCTCTGGGCCAAGAAGTAAAACCGCCACCTGCAATCTAAGCCTGCTGCGCATGTGTGTGTATACGGTCCCCGGCGCAACGGCGTTGACCCGGACCCCGATGCCCATTTCAATGCTTCCTTTGCCGCAGCTCTCGCAAGTCCCGTGACGCCGTGTTTTCTGGCACCATATGCGCCATGATACCCTATTTCTAGATTGTTCGCGGCAGCACCTGCGCCAAAACTTCGATGCCGGAATTCAAGCGCGGCAGCGTAGTGGCAGTCTCACCATTCCATGAACAAGAAGCCATGTTTACAATGGCGGGCCCCGTCCGCAATGGCCCTCAAGCAATACACGCACCCCGTCAGATCGACCCCTATGATGGGCTCCCACTCGTCGTCATCCAGGCCCGCGAGAGTACCCCAAAACCGTGGTTCTCGCCCATCACGCCCGCTTGTTGGCCGCGCCGCCTAACCTGCCGTGCTGCCCAATGATCCCGGCCATCGACTTGCTCACGCCTCGACACGTCAACAGTGTAGTGGAGGAGGCAGCATCGACGGAGGCGAGATGCGCCGAGAAAGAGCAGGGCAAGGGCTCAAGGGCTCCGAGTTGTTGGCGAGGCATCACCACCAGACTAGTCAAGAGGGTGTATGCCATGAAGAGCAACACCGGGGTTTATGGCATGGCGACGGGGCCGAATCGCAGAAACATGACGGGGTTGTAGTAGGAACGCAGCTCGATTACAGGTTACAATGTAGATTATCGTTGCTTACGCCCACCAGATGACCTGTCCCGCTCATCATCAACCATTGCTCCCACTGCAACAAGCTCCTACAGGGCTGGCCCGTCCCAGAATTCCCGCCGCAGCTTCACGAACCAAGCTTGTTTGTGAGGAAACGCAACCTGTTTCTCCTTGGAGAAGCCGCACGCGTCCAAGTGTCGCAGCACCCTGCGCCGAGGTCAGCACTTGTTCGTACGAAAGGGGGAGAGAAACATTTAACAGAGACAAACACACACACGCACCTCTGGTTATCGACCCTCGGCTCCAGACACACATTCATGGTCCTCTGGTCGGCCGTGAAGCAGTAGTGCACCAAGCTCGTGAGCCAGGCGGCCACCCTGCCCCTGGACCACTCCTCCCCAACCATGATGTGGACGCCGCGGTCCCAGTCGCCCGCCTCGTCGCCCACGTGGCGGCCGAGAATGTCCTCCTTGACCCAGTACAGCTCAAAGTATCCAAAGGGGACGCCGTCCCACAGGCCAATCACCGGGAAGGAGTGCCGCGAGCACAGGGCCGTCTCGAGGAATTCGGGGGTGTAGCTGCCCCAGAAGTCCCTGACCCGCTGGCTCGCGAACCACGACTGGAGGAGATCTCGGTCGCTCATGGAGGACAGGTGGCTCTGCTCCGGGGGGTTGGGCCCCAGCGGCCCGAGGTAGGGCACTGGCGAGGCCGAGGCCGAGGCGACCCGGAACGACAGGTACTGGCCCAGGCTGTCGATGAAGCGGGTGTAAAAGACCTCCCCCATCCGCGGGGGCTTGGGCCGCAACGGGTGGCGCGCGCCGTCGGTGTAGACGTACTGCAGCGGCGGCGGCGGGAAGTAGGTCGGCAGATGGGATGAGGAGAAGTACGGCCCGATGGGGAACGCCGGTGCGGCCGTGACGCTCGTCGGCATCGGCGCGCCCGGCACATCGGCGGCCAGCTGTCCGCCGCTGGGCGTCAGGGCACCCGTGGGTGTGAGGGCCGGCGTCTGCGACTGTGACTGCGATTGCGACTGCGAGTACATCGGACGCACGTCCAAACGCCCCGTATCGTCCTTGATGGGCGAGCCCGGGCGACTCGTGCTGGGGGAGCCGGGCATGTCAAGCCCCCGGACGGGCTGCAGCGTGAACAGGAACAAGTTGGCCGGGATCTGCCAGAACATGCGCTTCGAGACAAACATGTTGGTCCAGCCGTCGCCGCTGTCGTCGACGCAGGTTCCCACGGCGGTGTCCTCGGAGGCAATCAGCCCCATCCTCTCCAGCTTGGGGATTAGATTCCTCCCGCGGAGCACGCCGTCCCTCTTGATGCGAATCCTCCACTCGCCGACGGGCTTCGCGCCAGCGGGCGTGTCCTTGGAGGCCGCCGTGTGCAGTTCCCTGTCCGGAGGCGGTTGGTGAAAGTACCAGTACAGGGTGATCCAGAGCATCATGGCGATCTCCCTCGTCGGGCTAGCGGCTGGCTTGAACTCGGCGTCGGAAGGGATGGAGATGGACGAGATGAAGAGCGTGTCGTTCTGCAGCGTAGGCCTGGTGAAGGGCTTGGTCCGCCTTTTTGTTTGGGGCGGCAGGTTCTCGTCGTGGTCCTTCTGGCCCTCGCCGCCGTTGGGGCCCTCAAACCCGACCCTGTCTTCTTCGGTGTGCAGCACCGTCATCCAGCCTCCGGGATACGGATGGAGCAGGTTATGGTGATTATGGCTGCGGAATCCCAGGCCGCCAAAGACGGGGGCGACGGTGAACTTTTTGCCATCGGGCAAGTGTAAGATCTGGGGCGTCATGGTGCCGCACAGATGTTTTGATTCATACCAGCCCCAAGACAGACTGGGTTTGAATGTGAATAGTAAAACAAACAATGGAAAGAGAAAAAGAAAGGGGGCCGAGAAATATTTAGAGTGAAGGCCAGGGCTCACGGATGAACAGAGGTGAAGTGATCGAGGCGATGATGCCCCGCTCTGGGGTCCAGTCTGGAGTAGTTGGATGAGTGACTGCCAACTGGAGGGGGCGCTGCAGCGCTACGAGGAGAGGAAGGAAGAGAGGACTGAGGACCGAGGACTCGGGAGAGGCAGGTGGGGTGATCGAGGATTCGAGCCAGGCCAAACAAAGCCAACCGTGCCATGTCCTGCCGCTCAATAATTGCCTGGCTCGCCATCTCGGCAAGAGCACAAAGCGCCAAAATGCATCAAATAAATGGATAAAAACACAGCCTTGGTGTGATACTCCGAGCCGGGCCTGACCATGGCCCGGGTTGCGCCGAGACGGGCCAATCACGCGATGCGCGTTTCCAACAGCATGACCAACACCAGGAACCGCATTTGGCCAGCCGATCTTGACCAAGGCCTTCTCGGACATTGGGTGCCTGTCGGGGGCGGGGCTTGTGTGCACCGTGGGCTGACCGTGGATGCTCCCGTTGTGACAGATGTGACGAGAAGGGAAGTTCTATGCTACAGTGACGGGACGCCAGGGTTTTTTTGCGGCTATTGCGTCCGTCTTTGTCACAAGTGCGTCACCGCATGATTGGCCTGTGATGGCTGATAAATGCCATGAAATCTATTGTATGCCGACTACGCCGTGTTGCCAGCCAAACGTGGACTCGACACTTGATGCTCCGCAAAGGCTCATGTCAAGACGTCTTGGAACTCTCTGATCTCTTCCTTTTGCGCTCTTGGCCTTGGTCATGGCCCTGGCCCTGGTCATCGTCATCGCCGTCATCATCCTCCTCCTCCTGCTCTCGCTTCCTTTCCCTGTCACTCTTCTCCTCCTCCAATGCCTCTTTGACTTCCTCACCCCCCAAATCCTTCATTTCATCCCACTCCACGCCGTATTCCGTAGCGGCAAACTTGATCTCTCGTCGAAGACCATTGGCGTCATGTACGAGTTGGTCCCATTTCGCCGGGTCGAACCCCCGTTCTTGATACAGAGCGTTTTGCCGCCTTGAAACCGTCACGTTCATGGCCGCCTTGTAGCTCAAGTCCCGGCTGATGAACAAGAACCACAGATAGCCGCCCATGATGCTGGCCAGTCCCGCGAGGTAGGTAATGGGCTCGACCAGGTCCCAGCCCATGTCGGTGTGAAATGTCACATAGTAAACAATCCCCCACCAGCCTGCCAACGCCGCGAAGCCGCCCTTGGCGAGTGCATGAGCACCCTTGTGCGCCAATAGATCGCACTCCCGCTTCACCGTTGCCATCTGGTCAATCTCCTGCGACATTTGCCGCAGCCTCATTCGCATGTAGTATGTTCTGTCCTTGAAGCTCGGCACGGCAACTCGCAGCTCCTCGCCGTGCCCCTCGATCGTGACGGAAAACTCGCGGCCACGAGCGGCGTCTCGAATAAAGTCGCCAATCTCGGTGCTTCCACTCCAGCGGACCCAGTGAGTGTCGCCTTTGCTTGGCCCCTCACGCCCGAGACCAGAATAAGATGCAACGTTGGACCCGTTGCCATTCGACTCCCCCCTTTTCTCATCACTCTTGTTGCCGCCCGTGTAGTCTGCCTCGGCCCGGAAGATGATTTCGGGCAGTTTCTCGTGATCCTTTACCCGAAGAGGGGGGATTTCGGCCTGGATGAGCCTCTCCAGGTAGGAGAGCGGCTGCTGCGGATGGACGAGCAACGCTAGAGGCTCAACCGCTTCTTGTTTCGGCTTGTTTGTCTTGGTCTCGTTCGAATTGATGTATTCTTGCTCGGGGTGAAAGGGGATGGGGAGGATGAGCTTCAGCAGTCGAGTGGGAGTCGTTAGCAGACGGCCTGCGACGAGAAGTTAGCGCCTCTCGTGTCGCGGAAACAAGGATGAGCAGGCCCTTGACTTCCACAGACCTTTGGTTGCATCTCCCCCGGTCGGGTCAGGCGAGGTCGACTTGGGCAACGATCCACTGCTCTCACGATGCCACGGCCTGTCATCAACCTTTCGCTGTGTTGAACCGCGGCCGCGAGCCTCGTCCCGGGAATTAGTGTAATTGGTATGCCTTGTGCTGGAACTTGAAAACTGAAGCTTGAGAGCACTAGGCGCTATCATGGGCCACGGTGAAGCTCTCCAACAGCCAGCTTGCGGGTTGCCCAAGCTCACGGCGGGCGGCCAAGCCATCTTTTTGGCGGCCAACGTGGTGCCACGGATGACATGGCCCATGGCGCCGTGCGGAATTCAAGCCCGAGGGGCAGTTGTGCAGGCACGGCGTGAAAAGACCAAATATGAAAGCAGTGCGGTCCAGCAACCTCTGTTGGCGATGTGAGGTCAATGGAATCAATTGATGGTCGCGTGTGCAACCACGCTTGCTGAACGTGACGGTGCGCATCTGTGCATCTGTGCATCTGCTGGTATGATGACGTCACCAGTGCCAGGCGGAAGAGACGTCATGTGGTCGGCTCGCAAGTGCCGCGGCTGCCCGCTCCCAGGCCCAGGAACAAGACGGCAGTCGCTTGCTGGTGCTCACTGCTCACTGCTCACTGCTCACTGCTCGCTGCTCGCTGCTCGCTGTCTGGAGGCGCACGCAAACTTTGGCGAGGCGCCGACGGCATCACCTCTTCATGTTTAGGCTTCGAGCCGTGCACGTGGCTCCCAGCCTCCGACTGTCTACTGAGCAGTGACTTCTCCGTGGCGGCATCCTGATCGATTTGATTGCTTCATGTACCCCGCTGGCGACACGAGAAAGCAGCAGACAAAATAGACCTGCAGAGCTGCAGAGTCCAGACAATGTTGTACCAGACACTTGTAGACGGCTGTCCTAGCTCTTTTGACTTGGCCTCACTTGACTTACCGAGTCTTTTCATTATAATTCTGCCCCAAAAAAAAAAAAAACTCCCAATGTCTTTAGAATGTGTACATTCTACCATGTAATAAGACGGTGCATTTTGATGGTCCGCTAGTTACTTAGAGTTCTTCGAATTAGTAGTTCTACCCTTGCTCTTTGTGGCGGTGCCATGATATATTACGGCAGAAGTCTACGGGTAGTCAACCTTTGCCAGCGTAACTCCATAATTCTGTGAGTCTCTGGTTGTTCAAGTACATCGATGGCCATGTTCAGTGCCATCTGCTAGGAGTTGCTCTGCTTGAATGGCCCTCTGATACGTACCTTGGCCTTTGACGTCTTGTGCCAGTGTTCACATTGGCATTACATTATTTCGGTCTAACCTAACGACGATAAGATTCAGCCAAAGAGCTCCATAAAGTTCCACAGTGTGCTGTAATAGTCAATTCCATCACCATCCCTCGCTCTCTCGTAGCCCCCATGTACTTGTCCAGCAAAGTGTCTTTGCGTCTTTCAACCTTGATACCGCCTGCCCTAGTGTGTGGCATCTCGTATAATCCAAGTAGCATTCTCAAAAGTACCAGGTTAAGCCTACTAGACAATGCTAGGCCATTATAGTGCCATGTTTAGTTAGCTGGTCCTTTGCGATATGCTTCAGCTACTTGCAAAATCCAAAGTACACGGGCAAGCCTGTCAATCCCAGCCCTCTGGGGGAAAAGACATATATATGCTCAGCTTCCCAGTCTCTTCGTCTTCCATGTTCTACAAAGACGTACTCTAATTCGCTTTTCTGTATTACTACTGTTAGCTACGAAAACACCAACGTCACAGTCTCTTTCCACAGTCATCATGTCCGTGAGCTCGCCCTTGGCCTCAACAGCTTCAACCATGGCTCCTACTTTCGGTGCAAGGTTGACGCTTCCAATACGTTCCCGACGTGCAAGTCTTGCATCACGCCCCCGGCCCATCTATGAGTTTCCGCCCTTGTCTACGGAAACGGGCCATGCACGAATGGCCTCAAACACTATACGTGCGCTCGACTTGTCAAGCAACGAAACTTCTACGCCACTTGACTCGTCACTGCCATTCACCTCTAATACCATAACCGCTCTCGATTTGGCATCCGTCGACCACAGACGTATCCGACCTGGCCCACGAGGGCCACTGACCGAGAGCGCACTGTTGGCTCACAACTTGGCATACGACGGACCCTCAATCCTATCTAACTGGGCAAGAGTATCCTCTGTAGCTGGAGTCGGCCGCAATGGCGAACAAGCACCTCGACCGACCCCAGTTCCGGCGTATCTGTACCGCACCCCGGTCGTGCCTTCTATACAGCGTTGGTTCCCGAGTATCGTAAACGCTCGGCAACGAACGCGTTGTGACAGAATGATGCTACGTGCGGGAGTCGAGGCGTTGTATACCAAGGCCGCCCTCATGGCCAACAACTCGCGCCTCGAATGGGAGATGGACTTCATGGGATACTTCCGCTGGAAGCCATGGAGCAGACAAAGCGGCGAAGAACTTGTCAAATGGGCCCATGACCAAAGTCATGATTACTACTGGAGCTCCCAGGCCAAAGGAATCTTTGAAAAGGCCTCGCAGAGTGGCTTTCCGCACAAGAGATACTACCCAGCATTCGAGGGAGGAGCCATCTTGGACAAGTTCACTTTTCGCATCCAAAAAATGCTTCTAGACGCCGGAATTCTCAACCTCGTCGTTGCGAGAATCCACACGGACTATTACATCGTCGTGCCCGTTGGCCTGAGCCGCCCGGTGTACAACGCCAACGAGTTTAATCCACTGGAACAGACCTTTATTTCCACGTGGTATCCTTTCTACTTCCTCCTTTTGGCGGATCTGCCCGGCGAGGATCGGTACATGACTTTCCGTCGCGAGTTTATGCGTGTCAGCAACACCCTCAGGGGCTACTATATCGAGCGAACACCCTCTTGGCGTGGTTGCTCTAGCCTCTGATCGACTTCAATCGGCTAGGGGCCCAATGGACTCCAACTTGTCGTAATGGATGTATATGTCGGTGCCCTGGATGAAGATGGTAGCAAAGCGCATCACTTCTTGGAGAGGGGGCCTGTATCTTTTCTTCTCTGTTCTGTACATGTTTTATTAGCTCACATGAGAGCACAACCGGTGGATTCGGGGACCATTTCTCGTCACTCTGTCAATGGACACACTAGTGCTTGGATTGGTTTTGTATTCTGCCGGGCTTGGATAATAAATTGTAATAGTTGTCAAGACTCTTGTGGCGTTTCGTGATGTAATGATGAATGTTTAACGCTTTGCGCCGGTTTGTGGCTCGATAATGATGTTGTAGTGATCGTCGACTTCTTGGTGTCTGTCACCATCAAACGTTGGAGTGATCTGCGAGGTTAACAGTGGAGAACTTCTAATTGCGTCTCCAACTTGCAAATGTCAACGACTGGTTGGATCCCAGATGCCATCTGTCAATGCTAGCTCGACACTAAGGTGATTGAGATGCTGAACAGGTGGCCAATCTCATCCGTCCATGTTGGTCGACTTGGCAACCTCGGGCGGCGATGGCGGGGTTTTTCCCAACGGAGCCCCGCACTAAAAGACGAATGTGACAGGCCAAACGTGTGACGGCCAAGCCCAATCAATCTCCTTCTCGAATGCTCTCGCCATTGATTTCTTTTCCCAGTGTCTAGCGGTGTAGGCCAAATCTTTCCGCAAGGCCAAGTGTTCGTTGTATTGTCAAACTTCACCCACTCCCGACAATTGACAGTTGACAGCCGACAGGCGTTTCGACAATGGCTGACAACAAGGTCTATCGCGCGAGCACCACGGCCCCGGTGAATATCGCCGTTGTGAAGTAATTGTCTCCCCCACCACACCCAGTCTTGCAATTGAGGGCGAACCTCTGCTGATATCGTCTCGAATAGATACTGGGGCAAGCGAGATGCGAAACTCAACCTCCCGACCAACAGTTCCCTCTCCGTCACGCTCTCTCAAGCTGATCTCCGAACCCTGACGACAGCCTCCTGCTCCGCCTCCTTTTCCGATGGTGATAGCCTGATGCTCAATGGCGAACCCTCGGACATCTCCGGAGCACGAACCCAAGCCTGCTTCCGCGAATTGAGAGCTCGCCGTGCCGCCCTGGAAGCTTCCAACGCATCTCTTCCCAAGTTGTCGACCTTGCCCCTGAAGATTGTCTCCGAGAACAACTTCCCCACAGCTGCTGGTCTGGCTTCCTCGGCCGCTGGCTTCGCCGCCTTGGTCCAGGCCATTGCCAACCTATACGAACTTCCAGAGTCGCCGTCAGAGCTTTCCCTGATTGCTAGACAGGGTTCTGGATCAGCGTGCCGCAGCCTCTTTGGCGGCTACGTTGCGTGGAGAATGGGAGACAAGGAGGACGGGAGCGACTCCATGGCCGATCTGGTCGCGCCGGCGTCGCACTGGCCCAGCATGCGCGCACTTATCCTCGTTGTCAGCGCCGCCAAGAAGGGCGTTTCATCCACCTCTGGCATGCAGCAAACAGTCGCCACGTCCGGCTTGTTCCAGCAGAGAATCGCCCAAGTCGTCCCCGCCAACATGGACCTCATGGAGAAGGCCATCAAGGCCAAGGACTTTGCCAAGTTTGCCGAAGTTACCATGCGCGACTCCAATTCGTTCCACGCCTGCTGTGCCGATACATATCCCCCAATTTTCTACATGAACGACGTCTCTCGTGCGGCTATCCGCGCCGTGGAGTCAATCAACGCCAAGGCTGGAAAGACCATTGCCGCTTACACGTTTGATGCCGGTCCCAACTGCGTCGTTTACTATCTTGAGGAAGATGCCCCCACAGTGCTTGGTGCGTTTGCAGGAGTTCTGAATGGCGTTTCGGGATGGAAAGACGACAGTTCTAGCGTCAAGTCTGGCGCAAAGTTGGAAGATGGGATTGCTAGCACGTTGAAGGACGGAGTGAGCAGAGTCATTATGACTGGCGTTGGCGAGGGTCCGTTGAAGACGGAAGAGTATTTGGTGGGTGAGGATGGTCAGGCTGTGAAGAGGTAGGCATGCTGTGAGATTTGAAGCTAGACATGCCATTGTTCACCTAGACGCAAGCCATTATATATTAATGAAGTGCTGTAATTACTCAGAGGCATTGCATATTGGCAACTTTCTTCGACACACCAGGTGATTTCGGGTGATTCGCGGAACTCTCGCAACATAACGCGGCCTGAAGCTTGGTCGGCGTCATCACCACCAGCTGGCAGGGTGTCGTTGGCAGCTGTGAGCGACTAGCTATTCAAATAACCAGGCATGTTTTCACAACACCGTGTCATGAACGCGCAAACCCACACTTTTCCTCTTCACCATTTAGTTTTTTTCTCTATATTCTTTCCAAACGTGTGTTGCGGACCACGGTGCGAAATCATTGTCCTCTCGTTTATGGCTTAGTACTCCGTACGATTCCGGCACCACTTTGGCAATTTCGCACCTCTGACATCTCACTCACCATGGAACAAAAAGTCCTCCACAACGATACTAATGACCAGACGCCCATTCAGTTCGCAGATTTGATCAAGCAAGGGGACGATGTCGAGATTGCCGAGCTTGACAAGTCGGGCAACGTTCAACGTCGCTGGCTTCATCGCCCAGACAATACCATAGCGATTGTCAGTTTCACCGTGCTCCAACACTCACTCACTCACTCACTCCACCACCAACCCATGAATCAATCTACTGACATTTCACGCGGCAGCTGGAGTCCAAAACCGAGCCAAACGGCATCATTCACAGCTCCGTGCGGGAATGGAAACGATTTCTCTCAGACGCCTTTCTGCCCATTGGATTTCCCCACTCCGTATCCAACGACTACCTCGCCTATCAAACGTATGATTCTCTGCAGGCCTTCTTCTCGACAATCACGTCCCTCCTGGCCAACCGAGCTTTGCTCCAGGGCCTGGGGGTGGGAGATGCCGACTCCTCCGCCACATTTGCGATGCTCATCACCATCCTCACGGATGCCACGTCCCGCATCGCCACCATCGTGTTCGCGCACCGCTTCGGCCTGCGCATCGAGCCCGACGCCAAGCGGTTCCGCTTCCTGGCCGACATCTTCAACGACTCGGCGTTTTTCCTCGAGCTCTACAGCCCCTACTTTGGAGACTACGGCAAGATCCTGGCCCTCTCTGTCGGGCAGGCTCTGCGGGCCCTATGCGGAGTGGCGGCCGGTGCTAGCAAGGCCGCCTTGAGCGTGCATTTCGCCAAACACGACAACTTGGCCGAGCTGAATGCCAAGGAGGCCAGCCAGGAAACGGCAGTGGGGTTGATTGGACTTGTCGTCGGCACTCTGGTGGTCAAGCTTGTGCAAGATCATCAGAGCGTCGTTTATTTGATGGTGGCTTTGGTCTTTGCGCATCTCTGGATGAACTATCTCGGCGTGAGGAGCGTTTGTATGACGACGCTTAATCGCCAGCGAGCTACGATTCTGTTCAGGGAGTACATGACGACGGGGAGGGTGCTTACTCCTGAGGCCGTGGCCGCGCGGGAGAACATAGTCTTGTGGCTTCCTGTGGTAGGTGGTCGCCTTGCCGAACGGGTTTGCAAGATTGAATTTGCCGAGAGCTACCAAAGGGCCGCTGCGAGCTGCAACGGGAGACGAGTCAAGGTGGTAGATGGGGAAAAGTACACCTTGTTTGTTACGGAGCCGCGCGACGGCCGTATTGGAGCCATCAAGGTACTGCTTTGGTTCGGCTGCGAACCCAGACACGCCGTTTTGGCGTGGTTTAAAGCAATGGAGACTGCGTGGTCGATGGATAAGGAGGGCTATCACGTCGAGACCTCTGCAGCACTCACGCAGAGGCACGCGGATGACGAGGACCTGTGGAAGTCACTGGGCCGGCTGGGCTGGGATCTGGAGGCGCAGGCCTTTGAGACGAGTGCGCCTATTCGACTCCGTGCCCAGTCAGCTGCCCGGAAGGACGAGTAGCTGCGCAAAGATTGATGGATGCGAAAATCATGTAGAGTAGCTTACGATTGACTCGCCAGAATGGCGAACTAGACGATTGGTATGAGAACGAACGAAGAGGGGAAACTTCTCCAAACATGGGGAGGAGTATATTGTACAAGAGCACAAGCTCGTCTATAACGCACGCAGGCAACTGGTTTAGATGCCGCCCAACGCCAAATGGTATCATACAGGTTTTCGTAAACTCTTTTCTTCCTTTTGTACAGAGTGAAGGCAATGCCAGTATTCAGCCGCCCTTGGCAGGGGCGTCACGCCAAACCCGTCCATCGCATGGCGCGCATCTTGACGCCCTCCCAGGTATTCAGCTTGGGCCGCACGTCCAGATAAAAGCTCGGCCCGGCCTTATCCTTGGCGCCCGGCCGCCCGGCATAAAAGTCAATCACGTATTCGACGCGAGTGCCGCATCGGTCAATGACCCAGTCGTGGCGGTCAAAGGGCGCGGTGTATCCGAGGATGGTGTTGATACGGGCGGTCGGCGTCATGCGGTCGTTTTTGTTGGCGAAGGATTCGAGTTTTGGCCCGCCGCAGCTGACAATCGCCTCTTGTCAGCACTGGGCGGGCGTCGAGGGACAAACCGAATGGTTTGGAAACATACCTTGATTTTGAGAGATACGGAGCCTCCCACTGCTTAATCTGCTGCCAGGCGCGTTCGTTGACGGCATTATGAATCGGCACCACGGTTTTCATGTCTGCGACTCTCGCATCGTAGCCCTTGCGCTTCATGGCGTCGAAAAACATCTTCTCCGAGGGATAGACCCAGTTCCCGGAGGCGTCGACGCCGGATTCGATTTCGGCGTTGGGTGCATTGGCGGATGCGCCGTGGTCTACGGGACATGCCTCGGACCCGGTGGCAGATCGGGGAATAGTCGAGATTACGCGATCAGTGGTGAGAGGAGCATTGCGAGGCTTGACTTCGGGGGTGGCTGGTGCCGTTGATGCTGACGTCCAGGGCATATAAGATGTTATTGCCTGCGTCCATGACTTGGACTGCGCTTGTGAGGTATGGTCCACGGGACATTGGGCGGCGGCGGCGGCTTGCGACTTGGTAGCTTCGGCTGCGCGAGCTTGGGAGAGCCATGCGTCGCGGGTTTTGTGATCGACGGGGCATGCATCCTCTTTATTCGCGGAAGACATTTTGGGATCGATCTTTGATGGTGGGAGGCGGTGTCGAGCTGAGGTGTGTGCCAATTAAGGCGCATTTGCTGGGACCTGCGGTGAAACTATCGCCAAATTTTTGGCGTCGGCATCGGGAATAGTCGATGACGGGAAATTGATTGTTAACAGTGGAAAATCGAGCCGCCGTTTTACCGGGTGCAGTTTACCGGCATTTGCCGCCCCATGCCAGTGGTTTTAGTGGTCCGCAGCCAGTGCTTATAGGGACTAGGCATTCTGAGCTCTAGTGCTAGTTATCAATGATAGTAATTGATTGACTGGATAGCTTCACACGAATCCCCCATTATTATTCTTTGATAAAAGACGTAGTATTATTTCTAGTGTCATTTTCGCTATGATCAGTTGCATGGAATATAGACAAGAAGTACTAAAAAAAATACTACCAGGAGTCGATAACAGCTCCTTCGCCACAAAATGTCGCGTCGATCTTGAACAGGACCAAAACCTCAGGGATTCTCCACGCAGCATCGAATCGCTTGTATTTCGCCCAAATTCAAGATCAGAATCCATGGCGAGAGCATCTACTGTAAGGTGATATCATGTCATGGATGAAATCATACATACCGAGGCCGACTTGAACACTTACCAGTTCAAGGGCGACGAGTATTAAACGCCGGAGAGCGTGCCAGATAGTATTTCGGCCGATGGGTGGATTGCACCACAGAGCGTGACGGAGAGTAGCAAGGAGACCGGGATATTCCCCGCGATAAGGCCCTGTCGGATATTGGTTCTAGAAACAAAGTGCAAAAGTTCTTGCATGCAGGTTTTTTCTTTTCAATGTAACCCGGAATTGTACTCGACAACTCTTAACAGAGTTGCATTGTGGTGTGGTGGTGGTGTGGTGAGACGTATCAGGTACAAAAGCAGTCCAGTCCTCGCCATGTGCAGCCGCATGTCGCGTGACGTCGCTGACATCCATAACCCCCAGTGCCAGCCAGCTTCTTCCTTGCCGCAACCCGTCACCCTCGATCTTGGGACCCCAGATCAGAGGCCATGTCTGCACATCCACCACAATGACAGGCCGCAGCACGCCATCGTCTTCGTCGGTGCTGCTCCCCATGCCCGGGCACCCGGGCTCATCATGGGCAACGTATCGCTCCAGAATGGCGTCCCTGCTCCGACACCAGGACACCAAGGTTCTCATCGCGTTTTGGCTATTCGGTGCGCTGCGCCTGATTTCTCAATGCCTCTTTCCGCTACAGATCCCGTGACAGCTGCGACTAACATGACGGTGATGCAACAGGCCTGATCAATAATGTTCTCTATGTCATCATTCTTTCGGCCGCCCAAGACCTCGTCGGCTCCTCTATCCCCAAAGGCGTCGTCCTCCTCGCCGATGTCATGCCGTCATTCTTCACCAAGCTCATCGCCCCGTACTTCATACACCACGTCCCGTACCGCGTGAGAGTCCTTGTCTTCATTACCTTGTCGGCCGTCGGCATGCTCATGGTTGCGTTAACGCCGCCGTCGAAATCGGTCTCGGTAAAGATGGTCGGGGTGGTGCTGGCGAGCCTAAGCAGCGGAGGAGGCGAGCTCAGCTTCTTGGGATTGTCGCACTACTATGGACACATAAGCCTTGTAGGATGGGGATCGGGGACCGGTGCTGCCGGCCTAGTCGGTGCCGGCCTGTACGTCGTCTTGACGGAGTGGTGGAGATTCAGCGTGAGAGACAGCTTGTTGTTTTCTGCGTGCCTGCCTGCTGTCATGTTTGTGAGCTTCTTCTTCATTTTGCCGCTGGATCCGTTGCGAAAGTCTTCGCAGCAGAAGGACTATGAAACGGTTCCAGACCAGGATCTTACGGAAGAGGATGTGGAGGATATGCCGCAGGGAGTGGCTTCGTCTGCGCTGCTGGCGCCAGGCCCGTCGAATGTTCACGCAGCTTACTCGCTACACAGCCTAGAGGGGTCAAGCTCGTTGAGAAACAACTTGAGGCGCGCCAAGTCTCTGTTTATCCCATATATGGCACCTCTTTTACTTGTGTACATCGCCGAGTACATCATCAACCAAGGGGTTTCGCCGACCCTCCTCTTTCCCATCGAATCGTCTCCTTTTGAAGAATATCGCGGCTTTTACCCCTTTTATGGATTCTTGTATCAGCTGGGCGTCTTCATTTCTCGATCCTCCACTCCATTTATCCGCATCCACACACTCTACGTCCCGTCCGTCCTGCAGGTTGGCAACATGGTGCTTCTGATTCTTCAAAGTTTGTTCTTCTTTATCCCTTCGGTGTATATTGTCTTTATCATTATATTCTGGGAAGGCCTGCTGGGAGGGGCAGTGTACGTGAATTGCTTCGCTGAGATTATGGAGAATATCCCTGAAGAAGAGCGCGAGTTTAGCTTGAGTGCTACCACTGTAAGTGACAGTGGAGGCATCTGCGTCGCGGCATTTGTGAGTATTTTGCTGGAGCCGAGTCTTTGTGCGTATCAGCTGGCGCATGGGAGGGATTGGTGCCGTCGGATTGAGGCCCAACGTAGTTGATCGGATAGAGAGGCACGATATTGTGGTTAATTTGGTAGATATATTTTTCTGATATATCAATATATGTACAAGTAACTCAATTCACGTCTTGTACTCTGGGAGGCTCCAACCCCCTGAATAGCGAATGCCCAATTCCATTTAGAAATTATAGCAAGTATACAGCGCAGCGATCAATCATTCTCCATTTATGTATCAGTATCAGTGACGCAAAAAAATCCAAAGCGCCTGCATTTTGATATCTGCCTGTTTGCTGGTAATGCATTCTTGCCGTCAAAACAAACAACTTATTGTGGGGCACCGAACGAACTACCTTTGTCCGCCTCACGAACTCCATACATCTTCGATATATCATCACCATGTTTCTCCAAGACCCTCTTCTCGCTTCACTCAAAAGCCATGGGCAAAATATCCTTTGCCACGCCCCTCCCACAACCAACACGCTCCGAAGTGCTGGAATGGAAATTCCCGAGGCCACACAACCACCTCGTTCTGACGGGCCGATCCCGCGCGGCTTGGCACACATCCTTCGTCATCCCCCAGCTCAACCTCCTCCTCGACGCCGGCCTCTGTGTCAACAAGCAAAGGCCAAAGCACATCTTTCTCACCCACGGACACGCAGACCACACGCTCCTAGCGTTCGCCTTTGTGAAAAGAGAAGATCCCCCAGACGTGTATTGCCCCGCAGAAATGAAGCACATCTTCGACACTCATATTCTCGGCACGACAATGATGAACCTGGGAGGCCTCGTTGAGGTAGGTGATGCAGAGAAGCAAGGCTACAAAGTAGACGACGCGAATGGAGAAACAGACGTCGACGGGCGAACGCCCCAGGAGCGGGCATTTCTAAACACCCACATCACCCACGGCGTCAAGCACGGAGACACAGTCCCGCTCCGGCGACTCAAGGGCATCACAGCCACAGCGTTCAACTGCGACCACACCGTTCCCTGCGTAGGATACGTCTTCTCATCCACTACTAACCGCTTGAAGCAAGAATACAAATCGCTCGCCGGGCCCCAGCTTCGGGATCTGCGACGGTCGGGCGTGGAAATCACAGAACCTCACTCGGTGCCCATGTTTGCGTTTCTGGGCGACACCACAATCGCCACCTTGGCTTCCGAGCCGCCCTGGCTGCGGGACGGGATCCCCGTTGTCATTACAGAGTGCAGCTTCTTGTACGAGGCCCACGCCGCGCAGGCGGACAAAACCAAGCACACAAAGTGGAGCGATTTGGAGCCCGTCATACGCATGTGGCCGGGAACTACCTTTATTTTGATCCATTTTAGCATGAGGTACTCGGATAGACAGGTTTGTCAGTTCTTCACGGACTTGGAGGATGCGCCGACGAATATGGTCATCTGGGCAGACCCGGAGGATTAAAGCCACGCAGGGTTTTTGATGAACCGACCACGGGGAGAGGCACGATTACATGTTGGCTAGGAATACCAACTGCCGGACGCTGGTTATCAGCTCCGAGTAATCGACACTAAAGCAGTGAGGGCGCTCTGACACCCTGTTCGCGTTTGTGATCAAGGCAAGCCGACCACTGCTCAACGGGGCTGCGGGCCAAATCGCACGATGAACCTGGGTCCTCGTAGAAACCATCTGCCAGGTCACTGGTATCTTGTCGTTGCAGGCTGGTTATCTGCCTGCAGAGCTCATTGCAACGGTCTTGCTACACTGAGTGTTTGATTGCTGTAGCTACTGTGCCCATAGTTGCTGACATATCGTCCTCCATGGCAATAACGCCGGTTGGGTCTCGACTCTCAACACCGTCGGGCACTCGATCTCGAGCAGTCTCCGAAAGGACTAGCAATGGTCCGGAAAGGTCACTTCGGAGTGGTATATATCTCGATCTTTGCACCTACTCAGACAAGAAGTGGACGCCGCCTCAGATTTTGCAACTAGCAAGTCTGCATTTCCGCGATCCGGACTAGAAGAGACGAAAAGAAGAGAATATATTCTCTGCTTCTTCTTTTTTTTCCTCACTCCAAGTTTTATCGGTGCCGGAATCCTTCCGATATACCAGGGCAGGTCCCCGGCCTAGATTTGGCGAAATGTGTTTCCACTTCATCTCATGGCACGTCTGCCCAACCTGCCGCCGCACCTTCAACAAGCAGCGAAACCTCGTCCCCTGCTGGAACGGCGAGATCCGACCCCATTGCATCTACAGACACGGATTGTCATGTCGGAATGGCGACTACTCGTCCGAGAAGCCGGAGATATATACCGATCTCGCTTGTCGTTTCTGCAGGACGTCAGACACCAATATCCGCGAAGGGCCAGTCGCACATGTTGATGTGAGGAAGCCCCAGCTCAGAAAACAGACCAAGTGTCTGTGGTTGGCGAGGAGATCTTTCTTTAGAGGGAGCGGTTATAATAAACTCGCCTGGAAGCTGAGGAAGAGGTAGATAAACTGTAGGGGACGTGGATTATACAATGGCGAGGTTTCTGAAAATATACATGGACTGGTTGGCAAAATATGACACATTCGACTAGCTCTTCATCTTTCAAATTTGTCACTGCCCAAAAAGGACAAATACATGCATCCTGTGCATATGAACAATATATATGTTTATGTACGTTAGGGTATTATGCACGCCATGTGCCCAAAATCAACTCCGGTTGCTTCCAATGCACTTCCTGTGAATCCCCCCCTCCATGCTGTATAGCATTTTCCCATGGCCAAAAATTGGTTTCAGCCAAGGTGTGTGAAAACATAGGCAAAATTGCGCCCAAACGGAACAAAAAGCCACAGGTTTAGTTATGTAAAGGAGAAAATGAGGGAAAATAACTCAAGACCCCAACTCGTATCGTACACTATCGGAAATTGTGGGCGGTTTTCAATAAATCCACCACTCCAAAGGCTGGCGCATCATGGCATCACAGACTTGCCTTTTAGTGCCTGTGATGGACCAAGACGAAGCAAGTCTTCCTGTCCAATGTAGAAAGTAGGCTTCTCTTTCAAATATTGCTCGTGGAAAAGCTTCAAGTAGGGACCAGGCATCTGCGTTCCGACGTCGATCTTGATTTGATCGTCCTTTCCGGTCCATAAATGTCGGACAAAAATGCCGTTACAGCCAGAATCAGTTTGCGGAAAGCCGTTGGCCTCGGTGCAGGGCAACTCCCTGATATGTTCCGTATAGTTGTAGCGGACGAACGTACCAAAACCGCCCTGGTCCGTCGGGCGTCCTGGAGCATTCAACCGGAATTCCTTGCATTCGGGATACGGGCTGTCATCGTCCGGACATTTGTTCCATGCATCCATTATCTTGTATGTCATGGGGTTATTTTGCGAAATGATGAAACCAGTGTTGAGATAGAGTTTGCCAAAGCGGTCCTTGTTCCAATCAGTGTCGGGGTCGACAGCAAGGGCCATGGAGTTGGTATCAGGATAAAGCCTCCAGTAATTCATGAGCCACTCAAAGGGAAGGTCCAGGTAGTGGAAGATTGCGTCAGAATCAAGGTAGATGCACACGTCATGCTCCTTGAGAATTTTCGAAATAACGGGGGGTTTCTTCCAAGATGCCCGGCGATCACCCGGGTCAACGGTGTTAATGTAGTAGTACTTGTATCCGTGAATGCGAGCTATCCTCTGTTAGCCAGCCAGGACCAGGAATCTCTAGCCAGTGGGGGCAACAAACATACCATACACATAATGATTCAAAAGACCAAGGGACAGGCCGTGCACACCTTTGGGACTGTCCCAGTCCATAACGTCTGGGCCAAACACTTGGCCAGACTCATTGAATAGGCGGTTGTCGAGATCGATGATGCAGAGATTCTCGCCCATGGGCTGCTGCCAATGTGCCGCTTCGGGCAATCTCCACTCGAAAGCATTATACGGCTTAAAAAAGGGTTGATCAGGCGTAAGGGCGGGCTTATACATTTGTTTAAGGAAGAATTTTCGAAGCTCGTCATCACTGGATGTTGCTGCAGCTGGCGTTTTGGAGTCTGGAGAAGGCCTCTGTATCGGCGTGGTGCTATTGTCGTCGGTGGTTGAGGGACGCGGTTGAGAATGTTGTGTATGGGGTCTATTGAGGCAATGAAGCCAAAAAAGTCAGCACAGCTCAGCCGGAGGGAGGTCGGTCTCGTAACCAGGAGGACAATAAAGCGTGTGTACCTGACAGGAAGATTCCAGGAGTCGAGATGGTTATATACTAGGCCGACGAAGGCTGCGACGAAGAAGATGGCCCCGACGAGGATGGCCATCCCCTTGGTCGAGCGCACAGAGTTGTTTAGCATGCTGGGCAGGGCGATCCCATACCATTCGAAGACTCGCGAGTGGTAAGACGGGCAGGGCCGCGAAGGCGTATGCGCTCAAGTGCCCCTGTGCCGGCTCGCGACGTTTTTATCGTGGGGAACCTGGGAGAGGTTGAGCGCTTTTGAACGAGTGGAGTGTGGGGGTCTGGTGCCAGACAACTCGCGGCCTGTCTGACAACAGCCCAACACAGGAACAAGCTTAGGAATGTTGACCAGACAACTCGCGGCCTGTCTGACAACAGCCCAACACAGGAACAAGCTTAGGAATGTTGACGGAACGATTGGCCCTGGCTGTGGTTTTCAAGAAAGGACGAAGGGTGAAGTAAAATCAAGTCAATACAAAAGAGAAACACAACCCCCCAGCTCTGACTTTCTTGCTTTCCAACGTCGCTTGAGGAATTGCAAATTTAGTTCCGACAATGAAATGGCGAAAAATAAAATAAAATCAAAAATACGGACAACTGAGAAGGGGAAAAGGGGTGGGCAAGGTGGCAGGAAAGGGACAAATTTGAGTTAGGGCAACCTCAGGGGAAACGGAGACTTAAGAGAGGGCCGGACTGAAGACAAGCGCCAGAACTATGGAACCAGACAACTTGACGCCGTGGTTTCGTTTAATGTTCGGCTGCAACAGGCGCACACCGACGTCGACAGAGAAGGATGAGAGAGACAGCCGTCGTCTTGCCAAGATATTGCCAAGTTTGCCAAGGAGGAGCATATGTCTACGCTGCGTCGTAAGGATAATGAGAGAGGCGGTTTTCTACGGAGTACGTGAGGACCGAAGTGAAGGTATCAGTTGTATAGACATGGACAGAGTAGTCTTCGGGGCAACACCACGGACGCGAGATCGAGCGCGGTGTCGATATACAAACAAAGGCCAAAAGGCCACAACAAAGCATCGATCAAAAAAGATGGAGGTCGTTCGTGGACAAACCGGCAATAACTGCCTCCTAGGTACCTAGTACTTGGAGGAGGACGCGTACGTGGCAGGGATGACACAAGCCAGAAATCGGTAGCGCTACTGCACCTTCCCTGCTTGTTCCCCGCCAGCCGCAGGGGCAAATCTAAGGGGTGCCATTTTCAAACATTCAATCTTCTTACTTAAACAAGAGGTGCGCATCCTGCGTCCCTGGTCTGGCGTCTTTTTGCTGCGTTTTATCACAAACGAAATCCTGAACCAGTCCTACGGTTGGTCAGGAACCTGTCTTGGCTTTGACTTTTGCTCCCCAGTTGCGTATTTGGTGCATAACCCGAAGCATTCACACGAACACGAGCAATGGACTCTACTCCGTACTCCGTACAGCAGCTGAATCGCCACGACGGCTTCCGACGGGGACTGGTGGCTTGTTTGTCGTGAAACATGTGGTCAGCCGTGGGGGCTAGGTTGACCGCCCTGTGTCCATCACCCGGAGCATCATCGGTCGCTATAGCCTCTCTGGACAGTTAGGGTTTGCTTGACGGCTTCGGATGAGCGGCATGGCATTTGCCATCTTGTGTCTCCTGGTCTAACCTTGTTCTAGGTTGAATCACAGTGCCGTCATGTGCTTGCGCACCTCCACAGCTGGGCGAGGAGTCGCACTACAGCAGCTCCCGCGGTCGACAGGCTCTTCGTTGCAGACAGAGCATTGTGTTTTGCGCATCGACATGGGCTTCTTGTTACGAATCTACCCAAAGCGGAGGACCTCCTACAGATGGAGATCGTATTGTGGTAGACATGTTGGTGTTCTATGTACAAGTTAGGATCCACTTTCGACGTCGTGAGGCTCTTTTCATGCTGCCAAATTGCGGCTGCGAGTTAAATTTAGCAGTCAAGCAAACGTGGCATTCGGACTTCTTTTGCGCCATCCGAAATACTACAAATTCCAGTCTCGCTGAGAAAGGTTGTTTATTCAGCCGTATAATATGGCCTCATGCTATCAATCTCAACCACATTCTCCTCCGAGCCATGGCCACAAGGTCGAACCGCGCAGTTTCAAAGTCTCCTTATGCATTTTTTCCCTGTTAAGCAGCCACAGAGGCGCACTGTGTGCGAATATCGCTCAAGTTTCTTGCAGACGCCTCAAATCACGAGTGGTCTGCTTACCTCCTGCCTCACTCGAGCCTATCACAGCTAACGCCAAGAAATAAGACGGTATTTAGCGCAACGCCTCTCGGACGCCGCCAACAACAGGCTACATCCATTGCCGATCTTTTCATATCGCACCTAGAATCGGAGCCTGCTCGGTCAACTTCGACCTCGACATGTGTGGTTCCATGTTTGCCGACAGCTTTTCCCACATCATACGGCATTTTCTAGAGCGCCAGACAGTACCGACCGGCCAAAGACCTGCTGGTGACTCCGCTTTCCATTAATACCAGGCTCGCAATACTGTTTCCCTTCGGTTCCTGGTCCGTGGAGTTCGTAATGGCCGAGACTACGGCAGGAAGCTGTATCTTGCAGCGCTCAGCAGAATGAAACACAGGCGACATGAGGCAGGAGGAATGAGTTCCATTGGCCCTTCAAGCCAAATCTCCTACTCTATCAAAGGATTTCCTCAGACCGGCCAATGAACGAGAATGGCAAACAAGACGTTAAAGCAAAACCTTGAGGTACGGCAAGACAGCAATACTGAAACAAGTCCATTTCTCCATCTCTAACGCGTGAGTTGCTCAAGCGCCGTTAGCAGGGTCGAGAATGAGCTGGTTCAACAAGTCGCACCGCTTCATCAGCTTCCTGGGCAAAGTTGTCCCCTCAAACTCGTCTGTGATATTATACATCTCTTTGACCGAACCCCAAACCGGCCAATCCATCTTTTGGCCATTGACAAAATTGAGCAGTCGTCTCTGGAAGCCGTTTACTAGCTCTGTATTATTAACAGGCGCGATGTCCTCGTTGTTAAAGAAGTCTGATGCGATTGTTAGCGTACAAGTCTCTCCGCTTCTCGAAAAATCAACTTACAGTCCAGATCCTGTCCATGCACAGCCGGTGGGGTAGACATTATATACCTTCTTGCTAGGCTCGGCAAAGAATTGGCAAGATTGTTCGCATTGCAAGCGAACACAATATCCGTGGTCCAATCCCATGCCATCTTTGAAACCTTGCTGGCATCATGATATTCATCTTGCAGCATTTTGATGGTTTCGCTGCTTGCATACGGCAGTTGCTGTCGTACCATGATGGGGAAATAGCCTGGCAAACCAGTGTCGTGCGATGTTCCCATCCCTTCGAGCGCCATACTACCTAAGATCAAAGCATTCAGCCCTTTGTAAAATTCGCCCCTTCTCAGCATGGCCAGTGGCAGATCTGGGATGATTTTGCCGTCGGGCGCAGGACCGAAACCATGGAGCGGGCCTATCTGGCCGCCGCCACTCTGTGAAGGCATCTGGTTAATTAGTTGATCGTTGATTCCTATCATGGTTTCTTCAGGAACTGATCGTAAACACCGCAGAGTTGTGCAATTTGCAGTCTTGAGCACTAGGTTGAACAACTCCTTCTGTCGCTCGGTAACATTTCGCTTCGGAGGCGCAGCAGGTGATGACAAGTACGCCTTGGACTATGTCAGTCAATCGCATGCCTATTAGGAACAACTTATCAAACCTGTTGGAATGGGAGCTTGCGACGACCCGCATATGCGACCATCAGATAGTATATCATACCGGCCCCAGCGCTCTGCCCAATGGTTGTGATGCGTTTGCCGTCACCTCCGAAATCTTTGATGTATTTGGAGGTCCATTCTGCTGCGGCAAGACAGTCGAGCATGCCAACATTGCCGTCCATATCCTCACCTTCAGCATACGTCCAGCCAGGCATCCCCAGTCTTTGGCGACAGTTTCTATCAGTATTTTGTGGTCGTACTTGGAGAGCACAGGAGAAGGAAGAGCCGCACCTATAATTGTTTGAAACGAATATGAACTTGTCAGCATGGTCCCGAAACATTCTATCAAACAGGCCCATGGGCGAGAACATAATATCCTTGCTTCCAAAAGCGTATGCGCTGCCAAAAAAGTTGTGCAGCACAGGAACATCGTCACCTGGATTCACCCCTTCGGGCACATAGACATCCAGAAACAAACAGTCTTCTCGGCCCCATGTCGTTCCGTTGATTTCGGGATACGGAATATAACCCGGCGCAGAGGCGATGCAAGCTGTGCTCGCCCAAGGCACTTTACCATCCTGGACACCGTGTACTTTGGGGAGTTTGGTGTCTGGTGCCCGAAAGCGTAGGTTACCCGTTGGCGCGTTGGCGAAGCGAATATTCTTGTAGATTTTGACTTTATGCCCAGAAATGGTTGTGTTATGGTATGTAGGGATATGCTGAGCGTATCCGAGATCAACAATGTCGTTCTTCGGAGCGTCATTTGTAGGTTTGGCAAACGTGCGTGCCAGGAGCGCAAGTACTAGCAGAGGAGAAAGGTTCAACACGGCCATGGTGTATATCTGTCATCAAATGATGGAACTGTCGCCCTGCTCTCCCTTTTCTACGGCCACATCAGCAACTTATCGTCTTTTTAAGTCGTAAGCTGGAACGATTGCTTCTTGTCCTAATCAGGCAAACGAGCAGTGCATCATCTTAAGGCGGATTCGAATTGTCCAGGCTATACTCACGACCCTCATCAACAATGCTGGCTTCAATTAACCGTCCACTCCATCGAGGCAGTGCTAACCGTGTAAGATGATTCGCAGCCTGCCGCAACCCGAGTCAGGCGAGACGACTGAGGCTGTTCACTCTTGTGGCCACGAGTTACATTCCTCGTCTGTTTAGAGGAATCTCTATATTTGACACACGAGCATTGCGTCTACTAGTTGCATAGTCTTACGAACCGCCCGCCTCTCGAGCATTTGCATATCGTTCAGCAATCGGCCGATCGAAGAAGGATTGACATGTTCTTATCTCAATCTGACGGCGCTATTGCCCAAAAGGGAAAACGAGGTCAGCGCCACACAAAGTAATTACGCCGACTGCATTACACGTCCCTTGACTCAGCCTCTTGATACTCGGCAACACAACATTCATATCTAGAACTGTCACCGCATATCTGAATGGGATGCTCTCGTTTGCCTGTTAGGGCCATTTGGTCGTCCTGCAATGCAATAGTATCCTTGAACGAACCAAGGGCGCACTGAGCAGCCAGGCGTGAATACTCGACACACCACAAATACCAAGATGCCATCCGGGGTGTCTGGTGAGCCGGATTTTCGAGTCATTTCCTTCCGACCCCAGCGCGGAGAAGCATTTGGATCCGCCAGGAAATATCAGCGTCGAAAGACGCACCAGAAGTCGAAGACGGGATGTTTGGGTTGTAAATTGAAGCGAGTCAAGGTTGAACGCACCCCTACGTACACTAGTCCACACCATACTTGATATCTCCCCCAAGACTAACGATACTGTCAAAAGTGTGACGAAACTCTCCCATCATGTTCCCGGTGCCGAAGAAACAGTGCCTGGTGCAGCTACACCACCCAAGAGTTTGGGTCCGGCAGGTTGTGCAGCCAGGATGAGGCACGCTCAATTAGTTCGGGCCATGAACTAAACCGCCTCGGTTGTCTCGAATCATCACCCGCAATTCACGGCTTTGACCCGGAAATGGAGCAAACAGGCGACGGGACGCCGCGCAACGTCCTCATGAACCACTTCCATCACGTATTCCTGGAGCTGCAAGTCATAGGCGCGAGAGAGCTCTCCCCCATCCTGGCTCTTGGGTTATGCCGCCCATTCCTGATGAACTCCATCTTTGCTCTCTCGGCGTCCCATCTCCGCTTCAAATCTGTATCCAATGCGTCGCATCGCGTGGCCGAACACTTTCAACAAGCACTAGCCATCAAGAATTTCCAGGGTGCACTGGCTTCGCCCCTGGACCAACAGACTGCTGATGCGCTGCTCCTAACGGCCATGTTTCTCAACCTGCTGTCATTTTCGGCGGTAGAGGACGAGGATATCGGGAATTCGTGGGTATACAACAATCATCCTGACAGGCTGGGGTGGTTTTCGCTCTCACTGGGTATGAAGCCTCTCATCTACGCGACAGAGACATTTCGAGAGAATACTATTCTGAACTGGCTGTTTGACTCATCCGATGATGAAGCAAAGTCTTTTCATGGTTCATGGGAGTTGATGCACTTGCATGACGTTCCTCTTCATTGGTTGGACCTGGTTGGCTTGACGCGGGATTCCCAGCCTGACGCCAAGTTCTTTCACCCTATTAGGATTCTGAGTGAGACTAATAAGCTGGAGCCAAGCCCTAAGAATTTCTTTCTCTATGTGAGTATGATTGGGTCCTTGGACGTTGATTTCCGCACCGACCTGGAGAGGCGGCATGAGATGGCCATGTGGCTCATGGGATATTGGTTGGGGCTGCTACTTCGGTATGACTTTTGGTGGCTTCGGAAGAGGGTAAGAAGAGACTTTCGTGCCGTCTGTAGGAAACTGATGGACAATGGCGTGAGGGACAGGCCGGGCGCGGAGGGTGTGATGTGGAGGATGCTGGTGGATGACTTGGAGAAGGCCCCTTACTGGAAGAGTCTTCCACACGGTGGTCGAGTCTGCGAAGAAGTATAGATGGGGCAGGACGTGGTGAAGGTAGCATGACAATCTGAAGCGTGCGACCCAGGTGCAGTGTAGGATCATCATCATCGGATGCGACCATAGTATCAAGGTGCCACCAACATGCTACATCTCACATATTTGCATGGTAAGATATGTATGTATATCATCTCCAGCTGGCACAGCCAGGACAAGGCAAACCAAGACTAAAGGGTATCAATAGGTTTCAAGCTCGCGTCATCTGCTCGATATGTACTCCGTACGGAGTAAGTAGTGAGGGGAAGGAGACGGACAACGGCGCAGCTTTGGTTCGTCCCGATGATACCTGGCGCATGGATCAAGTACGAGTCGCACAGAGAATACGATGTGTTGCAAAATGTATCCATGAACAGAGCCGCTGTGGCGCTGAACCTTGGAAGTCATATGCATGAGGCCAGCAACCCCCGTTGGTGGCGATGTTGGGGGCCACGGAAACGGCAAGAAGAGGCCTGATTCTGGCTGTGTCTGTTCTCTCTACCGTCTGCTTATATTCGCTGCATTCACGATGCATCGGATATACGTATCCCAAAGAGCGTCAGGCTCAGAGACCAGCGCGTAACTCTGGCGCAGCTGCTCGAGATGGCTACACCCGGATGGATGCTTGGAACGACTTGCAACACGGTCAGCCGAGTTGGGCACCGGCAGACGCAAGTTTTCGAACAGGCCAATATCAACATGGTCCTGCGGCAGCGCAGCGCACGCTTGTTGCCGCACCCAACAAAGGCCGTCGATATTTTTTTCTTTTTTTTGCAACCGCGCGGTTTCACTTCTTCATCTCCACGCTTTGCTGGTTTCACAGCGCCTTTCTGCCGCCCTTTAGGAGTACACATCGGCCGGAAGGGTTCCTTCAAAACATGCAGCAGGCCAATAGCGGGAATCTCAGTCTGCATATTTTGCAAAAAGGGCCACAGGGAAGGGGCAGAAGGAGGGGGGATGATATCACGGCAAGTCTGCAAGCGCATCGTTGTCAAATGCTGTGCTTCCACGAGACGCGCGACCGTGCAAATCGGGTGCGACTCAGCCATCTGCCAATTGGCTGCCTCCGTTATGGTGTACTTTGCCGTTGTGCTTGTCTCCTGGGGATTTGCGACGAGCCGGGAGACAGGACGGGAGGATTTGCTTGGGACATGCTCTCCAGATGTCCCGTTCGGATGCTTGCTCTCTCTCTCGCCCTGCCGGTGAATCACCAGCGCGCGTCGCTCGAGTGACAAGTAAATGCGAACTGATTATTATTTTCTTCGCTACTCGGCGATTGAAACTTGTTATTCAGGGCATCCAGCACTGCAGTCATGTGCGTGAGAATGAGTCGGACTGATTCCTCGACGTTTCGCACAGCTGATGCCTTATAAAGTCAGCAACAGCCGACGCCTGTCTGAATTTGGTCCTCTCTTTTTGCTCTCTTTCTTTCTGTGTCACTCTCTACCGCGTCTGGGAGACTCAAAGCCTCGATATATATATGAATATACATATTTATATTTCCCTCTCCTCGAGCTGGCTCGCGCGCGTCTACTAGCTTGGGAAAACAACGCAGGCACCAAGTCCATCCAGCCAAGTTGGAGACAATTCTCCCCCCCCCCCCCCCCCCTTCTCACAGCGCCTGAAGGGACATCCCGTAACAGCACCATGTCTGGGCTCACCGTCTACGAAGTCCGCTTCGGAGTCGGCAACTGTCTGCACTACGGCGTCTTCGTGCAAACCGGCAGCGACGGCGCTGGCATGCTTATGGACGTCCGGGGCTCCGTCAACGCCGGGGGCAAGCTCGTCTTCAATTCCCGCAGCGAGATGCTCGCGCGCTTCGACATGAAGACCCCCATGGGCGCCATCGACGAGCACGACGTCTACACGCTGGAGAATGTCTGCCGCAGCGTCGATCCGCCCGACACGCAGTACGGTACCACCTCCTTGTCCGGAGGGTCCAGCCCTATTTGCCGCTGCAGCGAGTGGAACGACAGGGTCTGGGGCGCCATTTATTCGTCTGGCATCATCAAGGGACAGTGCTTGGGTCTCGAGGGGTGATACATGCATGCGGGCTGCAAACGTGGGGGCGGTGTTGTTGGTAATAGGACATAATTTGCAGAGGGATTGGTTGGTTTTTCGTGTGATGGTGTTCTGCTGGAAGTAGTGGAGAAAAGGACGAGGCATGAGTTTCATACTAAATGCTGATGAATTTCTGGAGGGTTTTTTCCCCTTTTGTTCCCCCTCTTCTCATGGTCTTGTATATCCCGGGGTGTGGCGATGAAAAACGTCGGCTTGCTGAATTCTACCCTAGGATGCGAAAATGGTGTGCCTCCGTGTTTAGCACGTCCTCGTCTAAACTGATGACGTCGGGCGTCGAGAAGACGAGATAGAAGTACTTTAATGTCTTGGCCAGCCAGAAGCTCTGAAGGGGGGTTGTGGGATTCGTTATTAGCTGCGCCGTGACGGTCTGCAAGCCCAGTCAGTACAAGACTCACCTCCATAGAGTCCATCTTGGGCAAGGGATACCGTGCAACGATGACATCAAACACGGCTGCATTTGCATAGTTGGTCCTCATTGTCGATGGTGGTGAACATGTCCCACGCCGTGTTTGGAAGGCCTTGTCGCCCGTGATTCTGTACAGGTAGAAGACGCTCTCGATGGCCTCGGGTCGCCGGATATATCACAGGTCCTTGCCGGCGGTGAATCCCTCTGGGAGATGCGGCTTCCGCTCTCCTCCTCTTGTGGTCCCAGAGGGCTTCCTGCCAGGGGCACTGAAAACGATGCTCCCAGGGCACCGTGTCCAGAAAGGCCCTGGCCATGGCCTGGTACTTGTCCTCGCCTCCTCGGAGCAGCTCGTGCATCTTGGGGAGGTGCTCGAACAGAGAGTCCTCGCCGGCGCCAGGAATGAAGCCATCGCCGCCGACCACGTCCTCGTCTCTCATCGAAATCCCCATGGGCCACGCGCCGGGGATGTCTCCAACGTGTTGGCCTTTGGGCTCGTCGACACACCAATGTCGATCCGGCAGACGGCCTCGGCGGCCTCGTCGAATTCATCTCGCAGGCCCATGATCCACAGCGTGTCCAACGAGCCGACCAAGGTGGCCGCCCATCCGGAGGACTGATCCCTCGGCCCGCCGCTCACCGGCAGCGGCGCATCCTTCATCCACGCAAGTTCCCGGTAGCTCTTCCAGTTTTCCCAAAACAGCCCACGCACCTCTATCAGCCGGGCTACGGCGCTCTCCAAGTCTTCGGGCGCAGACTGATGCTTTATCGGTACACTGTGCCGGTGAACGCAGAGGTCTCGGGAGAGACACTTGGCTGGTCGATTGGCGGCCGAAGTCGACCCTGCTCCAGTCAAAGCTGCTTGTGACATGCTGGACGCGTCTCTTCGGGGCGGCGTCGTTCATCCAGTGCTTCAATCTGCCCATGTGCGTCGGTGGCTCGGGATACACCACGTAGCGCAGCTACCAGAAAGCGAACACGACGAGGGCCGCGACGGTGATGTCTCTGCGCAGGGCGGCAGGGACAAACATGGCTGCCGGGGGGATTTCATGGCGAGCCGGGTGAGAACAAAGCAAAGGCTGCAAAAGAGATCACGGAGGGTGAAGATTGTTCCGCATCTCGTTGATGGAAATGGCAATCATAATAGCCTAACAGTTGCTTCAATGGCTGATGGCAAAAGGCCAAGAGGAGCGAAAAGGGGGAGGGCCTTGTTCCATTCCTATCACAGAAGGCAGGTCAGGCATGCCATCACTTGAGGTCCAGAGCAGTAAAGACTTGACAGGACTATACTCACTCGGCTATGTTCTCATGGGGCCATGGCTATGAGCTGGAGAACAAAAGCCCAGATTCGTTGGGCACGTCTCTAATGCGCCGTGGACGTTGGTTGAGTCTGCTGGTTCCATCGCAATGAAAAGAATATAGAGAAAAAAAATGAAGTAAAGAAGGAAGTAAAGAAGGAAGTAAAGAAGGAAGGAGGGAAGAAAGGAGGGAAGAAAGGAAAGAGCGGGTGGAAACGCCATTCATTTACCGGGAGTTGTGGAGATGCAACCAGTTGACTCTTCACTGGTTCGCTTAACGGTTCCCTCAGACTCGACGAGAACAACAAAAGCCGGCGCCACTCTCCGTTCAAAGCACAAGTCAAAACAGTGAGCTGCATGCAGTTGATGTGCATGCCGCTTCCTTTGTTGGCAGAAATTATGTGCAACGCTGGGTTTGCCTTGGCATTATTCGCAACTAAACAGTGGTTCCTGAAATGAACACGTCAGGAACTCACTTGAACCAACTACTTCACGGCCAGTGCTCAGCAAAGCCAGCAGAGCCAACATGCATTGTTTCAAAGAAAAGAGAATCGGGTGACTTTTTTTTAAAACGCCGTCATATGCATGCCCCAGCAAGACTTGCGCCTCGTGCAATCACACCACGCGTACTTACCGCATAACTACAGAATCCATGAAGTTCACACAAAGTTCACGGCATCTCCTCTACCAGGTGACCCTTTTCCCAACACATCGAGAGAGGACATGGGGTTGGTTCTCGCAGGGTATTACCATTTCGGTCCTCAAGCAAAGTATGCTCTCCTCGTCCGAGGCGTGTTCAGCCAGCGACCCTCTTCACTCTCCTCTTCCTGCAGCTGCCGGTGAATTCAGCGCCGCCGGCCTGCTTCGCGAGTCTTTGAAGTGAATCTGAACAGATGGCTGGCATCATGTTTCAATCTCGAGCGTCGAGGTATATAAGTCTCGTCATGTCTGCCCATGAGAGGAGTTGGGCGGCAAGGGCTCACACCGCGCTTCACACGACGAAACTGCACCCGACGGCATTTGTCCCCCCTCGCCAGATTTACCATATCCATTTGGTATCATCGATACGCAAAACACCAACATCATGTACACCGGCATCAATCCTACGAAGTCGACTGACGAAAACCGCACGTCGCTTGGCGAAGACGAAGGCTGGATTCCCATCAGGCTGGGCCGAAGACCAGCAGGACACCCTCGATTCCCCCAATCGCCCGGTCCCCCTCCGTCCGGGCCACTCCCTGATCGTCCAACCCCACGGTCAAAGACGACTCCAGGGCATGCTCAAGGTCGGGCCTTGCAAGCACAAACGATTCAGGAGGTCAGGAAGGGTTTGGTCAGGAAGGTTTTGGACACCACGTTCGACCAAGCGGGGAAAGACTTAATCGTCCGGAGGAGCCTCTATAAGTCTGGAGGAAAAAGGGGAATTGACAAAAATACGGGAAGGCCCTACAGAACGGCGGTAAAGGCTTTATTGGAGGCCCTGGAGCCGGGCCACCTGTCCGAGGAGGAGCAGAACGCGGTTTTTGAGCATCTTGAGTGGCCAGTCTTTTGCCAGGAGTGCAAGGAAGACAAACCCGCCTGTGAATTCGATTCATACTCTAGACGGTTCTGGGCCATTGAAGATGAAGAGTGGGTTTTCCTACACGGTGAAAAATGCACAACTTGCAAAAAAGAAGAGCTTTCTTCGCTAGGAATTCAGCACCAGAGCTCGTACTCCGTTCCAGGAGGCAGCCGAGGTAGGGCATGAGGCTCTGCCCTCGAAACGCCTGCCAACTTGCCGTCTTGCTTGGCAGCCCTGTCAGCAGTTCACTTTGCTCGAGGCCCTTTTTTTTCTACTGCCTTGTCGACTCTTTCGCAAGGCACCTCTGCATTCGACTCGGGTTTTTGGGGGCCGCCAAGGGGCCACGATGTGCCGGGACCAAACGGGCAGACAAATTGCCGGGACAAGGCTGCATTGCCAGGGCCTTCTGCCGGGTAGCCCAAGAAGGAAGGAGAGAAATAGGACGCTCGGTGGATTTCGTCGCAGGATCTGTGTGTGGGAAAGAATAGTTGATGGGGGATGAATAGAGAATCTTGAAATTGATGCTTGGCCCCGAAACCTGGTGATGGATCGCCCTGTGTAGTAGAGGGCCTTCTCGCCCGACAACTGGACGTGATGTCTGTAAACACGCTGCCAACACGAGCCGTCAGCCAGACTGGATCAGCAGTGTAACCAACACTTTTTACTACTCGCAGTGATGGTCGGGCAGAATGGGGGCTGAGCTTCTGCACATGTCGACTGCCATGATACTTGGCTTATGGCGCGCTGCTCCGTACTCCGTTCAGAAAGATGTGATCTATTATGCGGGCGTATAACTGGGCGTTGAGCTGTGGTGCTGTATCACACCGTCGACGGGTTGGTAGGCAACTCTGAATGTGACCAGACGCGAGATGTGAGCAATCCAGCCACTTGTACATAGGCTGAGTTTCTCGTAAAACTAGCTGCGCAAATTGTGAGCCAATTGGCACATTAGCTAGCCATGCAAGGCTTAGTTCCGAGTTCTCTCTAACGGTATGACTACTCGTTCTCACGACTGGAGATACCTACCGCGCCTGACCTATCCATACTTCAACTCGACCCCGTCCCGCGACACGTCAAGGTGCTGTTTGCCAGACGCGATAGCGCGGCGTGTTGGCTGGCAGCCGTCGTGAAAATGACAGTCACCGACGAGATACTCTCCAGCCCCCCATGTCCAGACAGCACGGGAACGGTTTCCGAGGCCTTGTCGTCGGGACAAGTGAGGACGTTGGAGTCGAGTCTGTGCAAACATAGCGCGGGTGACGCGTGAGCCACCCGAAACTTTCAAGGCTGATCAGCGCCTAATTTCTTCGGATTCCCGTCAATGAAAACCCCAGTCATGGGGGGCGCCGTCAGGTTCCAACGAGGTCTAGGGCGGTGGCTTCACATCCGGTTGACTCACAACGGGGCATTTTGACTCATTTGAATTGACGCCTCGCTGGCCTACCGCAAGGCAGCGTCCAATTCCAGCCGGCTTCTGGACTTGCGCACATGCGTGAACCCTTATGGCTGTGGGTCGCCCCGGATCGTGGAGGGTGTGGGATGACGAGGAGGGCCGCGAACGAGAACGCACGCTGGCTGTTGACTAGCGACATATTCGTTATGCTGATGCCGATGACTGCGTGGCTAGATTTTCTCCCTTCAATTGGATTGCAAGCCGTTTTGGTTCTTGTTCAAAATGCAAAGAGCCTATGAGGTTAGCGGCTCAGTCAGAAGGGCGGAGTTTGGCCGGTCGGCACTCGGGTCAAGTCAAGTCGAGTTGCTTTCGTATTCGAGGCTGCTGCTGATGAAAGACCATATAATAAGCATTGCTGTGTACCAACTGACCAAGATTTATTTTCACAGGATTTTCTTCTTGCAATCTTGGCCTTTTAACTGAATTTTCAACTGAACTAGTTCAAGAACTCTTTTGCCTTTCGAGACCTTCGGTTGTACAGCCGTCGTCTCGCAGAGCCTGGTTACCGACGCCGGTGAATACACACGCGTTGCAGCGGACATTGCAGCGCGAGACCAAAGACCCAGTGAGGCGGCTTGCATGCTCCCGGGTCCAAGCTGAGCGGCAAGGCACATCAGCCATGAACAACCCGTTAGGCGCGCCGGCACACGCCCTGCTGCCCGTCAACGTCAAGTCGAAGCAGCGCGCCGTTGGCAAGGCTCTGGACGAAACCATCCGCAAGAACAACAGCAACAACAGCACCGATACACAGCAGCCCAGTACAACGAGTGCGGCGCCAACCGTCGCGCAGAATCATAAGAAGCCCTACAGCTCCTTGTCCTCGTTTCTCTCGTCTCCCCCGTCCACAACCGCCGGCAGAGACCGGGACAAGAGCCTCCGCCCAAACATGCACTTACACCTCGACCCTGCGTCTGCCGGCGTGACGGGAGAGTCGTCCAGCCCGTCCAGCAGACGCCACTCGCTGGCCGTCTCGACAGCCGGCCACTCATCATGGTCGTCGACAGACAGCGCCCCCGGCCTGTTTGCCTCGTGGCGACGAGCGTCAACGTCCGTCCCGGCCGGCGCCGAGTCGGCCCCGCTGACGGCCGCCGACGCCGTCGTCGGGCTCATCGCCGCGTCGTGCCAGGCGCAGCACGACCTGGAGGCGCTCAACACGTCGGAGGCGCTGCTGAAAAGGCCCCTCGGCGAGGTCAAGTCGTTCAAGACGACGGCGCTGCTGCTGCACAAGTTCCTGCGGAGAGTCGAGGCCGGGACCCTGGCCCACCGCGACCGCCCCGGCCTGATGGAGCTGGACGTGCTCGTCGCCGTGCTGACCGCCTCGGTCCTGACCTTGTCCGAGCTGGAAGCCCGGCTGGAGGGCCTGGTTATGCAGGCCGGCGAGCTGGGCGTCAGCGTCGACGACATGGTGCAGCGGCACTCGCGGAGCCTGGCCAAGGACGCCAACAGAATCGCCATGCTGGAATTTATCATGACCCAGCTCCTGAACGTGCTGCACGTGTAAGTCCACAATAGCCTAACCCTTTTCCTCCACGTCAAGGCAGCGCGGTGCTAACCCCCTCGGGTAATCAGGAGCAGTAGCCAGGACGCCGCTCGCCACCGGGCCCAGGCCGGCCTCGCCGTCATGGACATGCTCCAGGCGGACGCCGCACTGGCCGGCCGCATGCAGCAGCTCCAAGATGCCGCCGGCGGGCTCGGGCTCGTCTCCCCTGAGCGCCGTGCCGAGGTCGCCTCCCGGCCTCCGCCGAGCTACAGCGTCCCTTCGCCGGGGGGCGGCGACGAGCCGCCCAACTACGACCAGGCTCTCGATGACGACTCGGTCGCTATCCAGCCCCGGGACTGGTCTGTCTACTCGGGCCTGAACCTCATGGACATACCTGCCCTGTCCAGCATCAGTCTTCCTCTGATTCTAGGCGAAATTCAAGACGCCTACTACTACACGGAGGAGTACGCGCACTCTGTTAGAGACGGGCTTATCGCGCTGGAGGAAGCTCGCAACACCCAGAAATCAAAGGCCCTGGCCCGGGTTCTGGGCATCGAGGAAGCCGGCGGTAAGGACAAGGACAGCGCTGCTTCAGATCATGGCGGCCTGGCGCATAGACTTGCGCTCAAGATGGCAAGGGGGAAATTGCTAAGCCGATCACACTAGAACAATGGAGCGTTTTCCTTTCTTGTCTTTCTTTGTTTTCCAACATTAGAACATGTCACGAGATACCAGGTTGTTTTTCTTAGCATGGCATTTGGGATATAGAGGCTCACTGTTATTATGTGTTAGCGTTTCATTTCAGTATTTGATGAGAACACACGGCGGGTGCCTTCTGGTATACCTCTTGTTTCTTTCTTGTTTCTTTCCCTTGTCGTTTGAATCCCATTTGCCAGGGTCCATCTTCAAACATAAAGTTTAGTTCATTAATACATTGTGGGACAAGATTGAACATGGGGCAATTAATTATGATTATAGCCCATTGTGCAGTGCAGTCTTGTCACTATTTCAATGTGTGACCCGCCGCAAATTCATTCAATCTTCAGCTCCTTCCGCTGATAATGCAACAAGCGAAATGTCCCGGTGTCAATGCCGAATGACGACCATGCTTATCCGCAGCCAAATATGTACAGCACCACATTAGATCATTATATGCCATCCATGCAACAAAATCCCAAGCACCAACTAGATTCAAGGAAAGCCTTCTCGGCCCCTCATCTTCAAAGAATCGACCAATTCCATCGCTTCGTAATTTGTTTGCGCGAGTAAAGACTCAGCCTTAGACCGGCACCACAGTATTCAGTGCTGTTACCAGGACACAAGAAGCTGCACTCCTTGTCTGTAACATTCTTTCCAGGGCTACCGTTACCGTCACCGCCTAGATTCAGTTTATCGCCACACCAACACTCTTGGCCGTATTCTACACCCGCATATTGGTACTTATTGCACTTGCCAAGACACATCCCGATCGTCATATTATCAGTGTTGAGAACTTGACTCTTGAGAAGCCGGCCGCCAGATGGTTCTGAAACGCACGCGTAGTAAGTAAAATTTGCATTGCCCTCAGAGATTACCGGGCCAGTAGGAGTGGGCGTAGCCGAAGTCGTGGATGTTTCGGTGGACGATGACACAATTGATGTACTATCGAGGCTTGTAGTTGACAGCGACGACACAGCTGTGTCAGCACTAGTAGAGCTGCCAAGACTGGAGGTGGCTGCAGCTAGTTTCGTTGTGGTTATTCTTGTTGTAGGGACTGATGTGACGGGAGTTTGGGTTTTGGTGCTAGAACCCGGGCTGAGCGGGTTAGATGCAGAAGTAGAAGTAGGCAAAAGGCTAGAAGACGCGCCATATTTGTATAGCTCGAGTCTTACACCCGCACCACAATACTCCGTTTTATCGCCAGGGCAGAGGAAATTACAGTCATCCTGATTGTCAGCCCTGACACTGCCAGCTTGAAGCTTGTCGCCACAGTAGCACTCTCGACCATATTCCACCCCAAAGTAAGCCAGGTCATGACAGAACTTGGCGCAAGATTCCAGTGTCATGTTGTCGTCTGCATAAGCACGACTGGTGAGCGCACGACCGTGTGTTGCTTCCGTCCAGCACCCCTGGAAATTCCAATTGCCGACCTTGGCCTTCTTGACGGGGCCTGTTGGGGTGGGTGTGGACGAAGTGCTGGTGACTGTCGAAATTTCTGCAATGCTTGTTGTTGTTGAAGCTGAAGAGGTGGCAACTGTGCTGCTTCCGGCAAGAGTAGTCGTGCTTGAAGCTGAAGCTGGTACAGAAGCCGTGGTCTTGACGGTAACCGAAGGCAGCGCGGATGTTGCACTGGCGGTCTTTCCGGCGTCGAGTTTGTATACATTAAGCCGAGACGGGCCACCACAGTACTCTGTCGAGTTATCTATTGGATATCAGCCAACAATCTACAAATATCCCGTCGTTGATCTTACCATTGCAAGTCATGCTGCAGTCCTTGTCAGGAGCAGGAACAGCGCCAGCGGTAAATTCATTGCCGCACCAACACTGTCGCAGCGCGTTAGTCAATATACTGGCTGCCTCGGTAAAGAATCCTCAGCTCACCTCGCCACCATATTCCACGCCGGCATATATATAATTAACAGCCTTGCAACCGTCAACACAATCCTTGACCGTCTTCTTTTCTGTGCCCACACCGTTCGTCAGCGCGCGGCCGTCTGTAGCTTCAGTGTAACAGCCAATGCTCGTGTATCCCGAAACACCAGGATTGACAACCGGACCGGAAGCAGAGGGAGGTTGTGTGGTGTTGCCATCCCACTTGAGTGTATCGCCAAATGTTGACATGTAAGTGCCATCGTTGTTGTTTCCGTTTCCGCCACAAATCTGCTTCAGGGCTCCCATGCAGTAGTAATTACAATTGGCATCGTCCACTTTTTGAAGCGGAATGGTATTGCCTCCCCAGCATTCACGATGATACTGCGTAGCACAAAACGTGTATCCCTTTTCATGGCACGCCTTTATACAGTCCGCACTGGTCATCGTGTCAGAGGCTAGGATCTGATTGGGCAGCTGGCGGCCAGGAGTATTGTCCCTGTAGCATCCAACATATTTGAATTGACCCAATCCATTCGGTAGAAGCGGCGGCGCTTGCTCGGCGACGGCATTGCAGAAGAATTGAATGAATTGCTTTCCAAGCGTGGCATCGTTGGTGTTCATAGTCCACTGGACTGTGCCATTGTACGGAGCCGTATTCCACTGTGCGTAGGGTACATTGCAAATCAGCGTGGCGTTGGCGCTCTCTCCTGCCCCAAGAGATGTGCCTTCGGCAAGGTCTACCTGGTTCAAGGCTCTGATGAGCCCAGCAACACCAAACGGGGGCTTTGACACAGTCAATGACAATTGAGCCGCACCCCTTGCTGCGCTGTTGGTGACCCGAAACTTGAGGGACCTAGAATTATTTTCAGTTATATTGCCGAATGAGAAGGGCGTGCCAGGTTTGTATTTGACCCATCCAGTTTCGTCCGGTGTTTGGAACTCGAGCAGCGCCTTTGGTGGAGGGCCTGACGATGCAGCCACCGAGATTGTTCGGTTCCCTCCGTCCGAAACAAACTTTACGTAGCAAGAATAGGTCCCGCTCTCGGATGTATCAAATTGGATGTTGACGGTTGCTGCCGAGTTTGGTGCAATGGTAGGCGGCAGTTTCTGAAACCTGAATTTGCCAATAACCAAATCTCCCTGGCCGTTCCAAGCTTGGAATGGACCATCAGTGCCGGTAGTGGAATACAGAACGGTTTGGACAGTCAGTATCCCATTACCCAAGTTGGAGGCAATGATGCTTTCCGAGATCCCATTGGGATCCTCGCCCGTGACAGCGTTCTTGAAAGTGAGGATCACAGGAGTGAGGTCTAGGAGGGCGCCGGCGCTGTGGCCTGTTCCAGTAAGTCGGGCATGAGTCCCGGTGCTGAATCCGGTGACCGAGTTGGTGGTATTTACGACAACGTCGTTGGATTGCAGGCCAACTTTCAAAGGAGAAAATTGAGCGTTGACGGTAAAAGTCTGGTCAACAGCTAGCTCCAAGGGCAAATCGGGCAACCCAGAAAGGCTGAAATCCTTGTTTTTGGCATCGTTGAGCTCGATTCCCGTCACTGTAACGCCAATGAGAGCCTTGCAGGTAACCGGCTTGGCAATACTGCTGTTCTTCATGTCGACGCCGCCAAAATCCACAGGCGATGTGCAGTTCAGGGGCACCTTGACAGGGGAGCCAAATCCGTAAACGTAGCCTTGGGTCGTTCCAACGTACACAATACCATTGCCAAACACGGGCCGAGTAAACTTGGTGACCGCGGGAATATTGAAGGATTGAATCAGGTTCATGGTTTGGCCCTGAGGCACAGCATCGTAGACTCGAAGGTTGAGGCCCTGCACATCCGTGATCCACAGGAGACCTGTGCCGGGCTGGCCATTGAGCGAAGTGGTTGTGCCGTGGCTGACTCCGAGAATGTAGGCGTTGCTGGTGGGAGTTTCGGCCACCTTGGAGAAGGAAGGGCTTCCATTATTGCACGAGAACTTGAAGACGATGGAGGGGTGTTGGATGACATTGATGTAAATATATCCGCCCTCCAGTGGATACACACCAGCACCGGCGTACACCGAGTTTAGATTTTCGTAAACCTGAATCACGTCGTCGAGTCCATCTTTGCCGTTCTTGTAACCACCGAGGTTGTCCAGGTTGAGAAAGTACGTCTTGCCGCTTTTTCCTGTTACAACACCAATTCGCTTGATCGCGCCGCACGAAAACTCGCTGGGCAAGATCTCCAATGGACTCGTGCCTAGATCCTTGTCGGCCCCGTCTAATTCCCTTTTTTCGTGGGGCATCATGAAGTCCACCAGCCGAAGAGTGCCATCCGCATTTATCGTCATGTGCAGTGCAGCCTCTTCCAACGCGGTCGGGGGGTTGAAGCCATTGACGGGCACATCAGCAAGCTGGGAGGCGTACCCGTTTCCCGTGGCAAGAAAGATGGAGCCCTTGTCATCAGAGGCGATGCCGCCGCCAGACATCCAGATGCCGCCGCCCTTGATGGTATTGGGAACGCCTTCGCCTTCGGTTGCCCACTTTTCTACAATTTTTCCCGTCGTCTTGTGCCAGCCAATGATCCAGCCAGTAAAGTTGTACTGGACGCAGTGGGAGGCAAAGCCAGCATAGATGAAATCGCCAGTGTGCAAAAGACCTGGGCGCTGGTGATGGATACCGCCTTGAAACATGCGCTCGGCAGTGTTCCTGGCAATGATGCCCTCGAGATCGACGGGGAAATTGGGGCGCTCGGAAAGATCATTGACGTCGAGAGCATGAATGTAATATCGACCGGCAGGCCTGCCCTGGGCCTTTTCACCACTATTCTGGTCGACATAGGTCTTGGCTGTCAAGTAGAGGGTATCCGTGGCAGGATCAATAACACCAGTTGCGGTAATGCCAATGGTTGGGTTGATATCGACGCAGCCATCGAGATCCGCAGTGAGAAACGGAATATGAAGGTTGCGGGACGCAACGATTTGTCCTGTTTTAGCATCGAGCTTGTACACATTGTTCTGGGTGGTGGCAAAGTACACAAATTGCTTGTCACCACCGCTCGGGGTATAGACAAGAGGCTGCGAGAAGATTTGCTCCGGTTGGCCAACCCACACACCAGGCAGTTTTGTTCTAAAGAGTTGACCAAACTGACTGCTGCCAACGATGGACGGGTCCATGTTATGGTTTCTGTGCATACACGTCGGTCAGTTACCCCATTTCTGCCGAATGGGTTAACAACATCGTCAACTCACGTTTGATAGCCAGCTCTAGAGTTGTCACCCCCCCAGGTGATTGTGTCCGTATCACCAAGGGCATTAGCCAGGCCAAAAAAGGCCGTGGCCATGGCCAGCAGCGCACGAGAAGCCATCATGATGGCAACGCAAAACTCAATGGCCAAGCAGCAAGGAGTGCAAAAGGTTCGGGGGGAGGGGACCGTACAAATACGAGCAAGACTCGGCACGACAAGGCCTACGGCAGGACCCGAATCGAGCCTGCCGTATAATATGACCAGTGAGCCCGTGCCTGCAGATGTCGGGATGGGTGGACCGTTGTTGCCGAAAAGCCCAAACTTTGTTGACTATTCTGGAAGTCCATGTATACAAACGGCGCTAAAGGCAGGCTCGACATGGCTCCCTTGACCATGGCGTTCATTTGCCTGTTTCTTTTGAATGTTGCCTTGGGGTGGGCCTTGACCGAGACTGGGAGCCTTTTTCGAGGCGACATGACTCTGGGCCGTCCAGCAATTGAGCGTCTGGGAAGGAGCAAATGCATCTACGTCTCGGTTACAACCGTCTGAGACAGTACGTGCCGTAAGCAGACAGGAGCGACTGTTGAAGCCCTTGGGGCGCCGTGATATCCGTGCCATGGTTACAACAAACCGCAGAAGCGAGAGAAAGAGAGACTCCAGCCAAACCCCTGGCTAATAAGCAACTCGTACCAACTCGGCTTCTTCCATGGTCTGTGCCTGGGCGGTGGCGCACACGTGCAGATCAAGCCAAGCTGCGCCAGCGATTCGACAGTGGAGCAGGCACTGGGTCAATTCTGCTGTCCAATGCAACTTTTGTACCGGATCAGGGTTCTAGCCAATAATAATTACTTATTTAAAAGATATATACTTACTAGAAAATTATATGATAATAAAAGTTACCAAGATCTTAAAGATACACTAGTATATTAAAATATACTAGTTACTCTTACTAATATAAGTGTATTTTTAAGTATCTTCAAGTATCTTCAAGTATCATAAAAAAGTGGGTTGAATACATCAATTAGACCTGCGCACATTCAAAGGTAAGTATGTATGCAACCGACCCTGGAACTGCCGTCAACTGGTACCTTGGCTGGTTGGTGTGCTCTGATGGCCATGCGAGCCGGAATCATGCCATGGTGAGAAGCACTGAGACGGCAAAAAAAGAAAAGGTCAAGGACAGCCCCGAGACAGCCTACAATAGGGGCTGTGTATCGATGCGTTCACGGTCAGCTCTGGAGGAGCCGGGTTGCGCGAGACCTGAACCCTTTGGGTCGATAGCTTGTGCGACTAGAACTAGCACGGTGCCCCCGGACTCTTTAGTCCCATTTCAAATACTAGAGGGCATTTTAGCTGGCCTGGGCTTGTTGGTTTGGTGCGTCCATCAATTGATGTCTTTGCACCCCAGGTGCCACTTCATTTCCGAGGACCTAGAATCCCTCCTGGTCCTTCCTCTCGGCTCCTGCGATGGTTCCTGCCATCGAAAACATTAAATCGACACTCGTACGACCTGTGTACACACACATGCGACACACACTTGCGCATACATACGCATCTGCGCATCAGCAACTCAGCAACTCAGCAAGTCCATCTCATTCTTTGGCCCTCGGCGGGGAGGATCCAGTTCGCTCAAAAAATGACTGGAAGAAAAAGCAAGGTCCAACAGCATTGAAGCCTAGCCAATATACCGTTAGCCGGCTACTCCGCGGTCGGTGCGCGGTCACGCCCTCTTCTGCTTGATTCTTGGTTTGGCTTGAGTCCAAATTCCCTGCAAACCTCTGCAGCTGCCAAGAGGTGCTTTCTCGTATTGCATCTTCATACATGTACAGCCCTGCGGGAGTGGCTCTGTCGGACATGCAAGCCAAAACGCCACACGACGGTTGGCGCCAGCAAACATTCAAGGCCAAGCTGGGGCCGGCTGGCAACTGGAGTGTATCGAGCCTGATTTGTTACCATCGATTTTGCAATGTTCCATCCTTTTTTAGGTTGTTCGCTTCCCGCCTCGCCAAGGATTCAATGAGCAACCTGGGCGGAACGGATCAGCGCATCATATTGAGATCGAGACTGCGATGCGTTTATGCGTTTCCAAAAAACAAGCTGGCCAAACTTGGCTCCCAGGGTGCAAGCTTGGTACTCGCCATCTGGGTGTCTAGGCAGCCATGATAGGTTCCGATTCCTCACGCAGGCAAAAATGACGACTCTCTATTTCGGTACGGCAGGCGCGGCAGAACCTGGTATGGATGCAGCCTTGCAGAGACGTAGCCGTTGTGCCACCGATGGATCTTTGTTTGTGTTTCCCCGAAAACCTGCAAACAGTCAGCTTCTCTGACGCTCAGCTCAGCAAGGGGACCTATCTTCAGGTAGAGACAGCAAGCCCGTGGTACGCCGTGCGGCTTGATCACCGACCCGTGTCCTAGTCCTGCTCGGTTCGAGATGTCGCAAAAAGCAATCAAGCAAATTGATGTCGCTGGTCGCCACAACCCAGATTGAGTTACCGACTTCTCAAAGCGGATGCCGATGTGCTGCCGAATACCAAGTAGATTTTTCCTACGTTGTCCAGCTCCAGAGATGGGCGCTCCTCTGCCACCCTCCTGCCGTAGATTATGCAGGCACATTGCATAGATTACGTTTTCCATATTCGGCTCGATAAGGACCCTACATGGAAAATCAAGTAGGCTTGCCGGTACTCCGTAGAGCTTTGACATCCAGCGGCTGGCTTCTGTACGACGTCCTGATGTCATATCGATGCGCAATATTCTGCCCGGTGTGCACAGGAGGCACAAGCCATGCCCCAATATCCCGTATCTTGATCCAGCCATATTGAACCATGCTCCCTACCTAGATATTTGTCACATTGCACTAAAGTACCCGTAATATTCGAGACCTACCGTCTCTCGGGACGACAAAATATTTCATCTTTACGTCTTTTTATACATCTGCTCGAGCGGCGTGCTTCCCGTCAAGCGACACACCATTGCCAGGTTTCCTGGGGGTGGCCCAGACAGCACCCACCCTATACATACTATGCACACATGGCATCTGGCGATATTGCAATGGCAACTACAATGCGCATCAACCTTCCCATACTCTACACTGGCTGCTATTACTTCTCGTAAAAAAAGACGCCGTTGAAAAACAACACACAGGAAAACATATGATTCAACAGCTGATTGATCAGTGTGGCCCAATCACATTGGTTGTAGACATGCGAGAATTGCGCACGTGTCTAAAAGTATAATTCATGGCGTGTAAACGGATGGGTGCATCGGGGCATTTCTTAATCCTCGGTTCCTGCATGAATCCCTGTACTGCAACCGAGCAGGACGATTTATGCGTAAAATAATTGCATTGATATAAAAACGGTCATAGTCTCATCATCATGACAATGCACAACAATACCTCACTGATACCAGACTTGATGCTAACCAAAGTGAGTCTTGGGTCGCTCTAAAAGTTGTCCGTCGAGCAGGATGTCAACCTTTTCATTATAGAAGCACAGCAGTCCTGCAATCCCGGCGCTTTCATGAGTAGGCAGCCTGTAATACCACACCAAGTCGTGGTGCTGCTTCCCGTCCACGACAATGCCGTAATACTCGGCGTCGCCCTTGTACGGGCATCTCGTGACGAGGCTGCTCTTACGCAGGACGGCGGGATCGACCGCCCCCGGCGAGATGTAGTACCTCGTTGGAAGGCCGGTCTCGTGCAAGTGGACGGACGAAGCGGCCTTTGCGACGGTCTTGCCGCCTACTCTGACTTCTATTGGACGTGAAGAAGGGAGAATATCTATTCGCTTGAAGGGGTCCTTGGGATGTACGTATACCGGGATATCTTCTTCAAGCCATTGATCTGTGACGGCTGTCAGAACGGAAGAGTCTGGTTTGCAGAATGGACGACGTCTACTGGCTCTTACCCATTGCGCCAAACTCCAAGCGCACAAGGCCTGACAACGCGCCAAGGCTCCTGTCATCCGTGAATCGGATCACGCGATCCGTCTTGGTCTCTTTGATGCCATTTCTTGATGGAATGGTAACCTCCACCACGGCAGCTCTGGCAACACCATCACTCCTCACCAGCTGTATATCTCTTTTGGAGCAGTTTTTGAGCTCGCTTAGGGGGAAATAGAACTGAGGGTAGCCATCGTGTTCCCACACGTGCACAGCCTTGGTCGAATCCACGATTGTAGTGTTGTTGTGGATCACACGCACTCGTCGTGATGCTGGATATACTTTGCGAGGACCATTTGTGAGTAAGTAGCTGGCTAGGTCGACAAGACTGTAGGTAAATGTGAGTGCTTGCGCTTTTTGGGAGCAGACTGGCAGATATCCAACGCATGACATGTGTATATAGGCAAAACTTACCTCGAGCCAAATGCTCCCGGTCTCGGCATCTTGAGGCTTTGTGAGGTATATAAGTTGCGTGTCTGTGGAAACAAGCTAGAGCAGAAGGAACGTGGCCATTCACAGCAAACGAAGGAAAAACACAAAGAAAAAACAGCAGGGAAATCGTGATCGCCGCGGCACCACTCCCTTTTAAAATGACCATTCGCATCGACCAGATGTCAAGTTTCGGCGCATGTGCGGAATAATTCAACCACCACCACCACCAACACCACCCCCCATGTTGGCACGCCCATCTACCCCGCAAGGGTCTGTAAGTGCTTCTCGCGACAAGCCATTCATGACGCAACTGCTCGATAGCTTGGTGCAAGGTAGGGCCTCCCTCCAGCCTTAGGCCCTGGAGCGCGGTCCAAAGACCGTGTTTGGTCAATAGGGCGGGCGGAGTATGGCACTGCCCCGACAACACCTTTCCCTGTCAGCTGTCTTGCCTTTTTCCTTGGGCAGCCTTTCAAATCTGGGTTCCATGGATTCCGACTGGGTCAAACACCCAAAAATCTTGTCGAGGCATCCATGCTGTGTTAGCAAAGTTGAGCAATGGCTATGCGACAGAAGCAACGCTATTGGATGGTAGCATTGCCAACGGCCACGGGGATTGTGGAACTGATGACAATATGATGGGCTGTGATGATGGGGAGGGGATTGGGCACTGTTTTCGGGGTTGGCCGTTTCGTACTAATTTGGTCTTGCGGCTACATGTACAGTCCCTCCAATTATGCAGGTCATCGTCATTTTTTGTAAGTCGCTCATCCCTGTTGACAGAATACAAAATACTTGGGAAAATGCCCAGTCAGAGTCTTCTGAATGAGCTGCCAAAATTCGGGAAGCCAACCGATTAGTTGGTGTTTTGAAACGGAAAGGGCCGAAACAAGTGCGGGAGTGTCTTGTTGCTTTCACCGCGAACCGACTCATAATCTCTGATGCCAGCCAGACGTTAGTCCGTATATCGAAGCACCTCGTCTTGTATGTCGTTTCGTGTGTATGCATGTATATGAATTTACGACCGTCGCCTTGTTGCAACTTGTGACGCTCGGTCTGAGCCATCCTAACCCCGGCGAGCACAGTCGGTGAAGGATTGCAGGCTGTGTTCCTCACCCACAATTCGTGCCACGAAATTAGATTTGAAACACATGGCTGACTGGGTAGTGATGATACAATAACTAGAAATGGCCCAAGGTGTGGTCACGCCGTGTTGCGGCATGTTGCACAGAGTGCGCGATTTGTGGTGAAGCCTGTTGGTTGGCCAAGCCCTGGTATTCATTGAACCGACAACGTACCGAGGAGGATAGCTCGATTTATTTTTATGTGTCGAAAATGGGGCACAAGGAAAAGTACCGGGGATATTCTGTCTGTCATGGGATTCTAAGTACCCTTTTCATTCCCTTGTTGGTGAGCAGAGCTTTTCACAGCGAGTGAGGCTTCATTGTCCGACTGTCAGAGCGTAACGGAGGCGCCGCTTACACAAAACCTGCTGTGATGCCTCTTGACGTGTGCTGCTCGCATTGGCTAAATTTATTCGTGCGCTGCTATGCTCTGGATGATTCATACACAGGCAACCCTGACACTTGAACTTCTGGTTTCGTGAGGAATGGACCAGACTTTCTGAGGTATGTGAAGCCGAAAATATAAGCAAACAAGCATCCAAATTTAAATGTTACTCAAGAAGCGGACGAAGAAGGCGTGAGTATAGAATGCTTCCAAACGAACCCATGATACCGACTCTTTGTAAAGTACACGCGCAACATGCTCCGACCTAGCCCGCAGGCCGAAGTTGATGGTGGCACGGGGCAAAGAATCATCCCCTTCAGTGTGATGAGTAGAGGCAAGGCCAGGAAGATCCATTGTCTAGGCCTGGGATAAATGGTCATCTGACTCCAATAAAACCACAGCCGCTGATCATCCCGATGCTATGACCACTGCGGTGATTTGCCTCGAACACCAACCAAAGTGTGTGTGCAACAGAAATTTCTCGGTCAGGTGGCGAGAGAGTATGAAGTATGCGAGGATCTTCAGGTAGCAGTAGTGTCGCCCGAACAAAATTAAAGCCGACATCTGGAGTCTCTAAAAAGCAGACGAAACCCCCCCTTCCCCCGGTGGCTAGAGTTACACCTAGGGTCGAAACGCCGCTGTCAAGATGGCTAGAGACTGGGTAATTGATGATGAGTCAAATTATTGGGTCCGTTCCTTTCAACCGTTACTACTTAACTCAAACCAGCGGATGGTTGCCCACTGTGGCGAGAGCTGGTGCCTGGGGAAGTGCTTGGGGCCGTTGTATAGGGCTGAGCCCAACATTGTTTCTTGTTCCTGGTCTTGTTCCTGATATAGCCCGAGGTGGGATAGAGAGAAATCACCTCGGCCAGAGTTGCCGGTAGGTGGTGGTTGCTTATCAGAGGATGACCTCTCCGTGTCTCCGCGTTTCGATCCAGAAAGAGACTTGCTTGAATCTGAGGAGTGGAAGACGCCCAGATGTAGTATGTCGGCTTAGCTCGGTAGACCAAATCCGTCCCACGACGGCACAGAATTGATTGTCAAAGTGTAAACTGGCTGGCTGACTGATTGGTACAGGATCCGTAGTTGCATGTGCCAAAAGGCCCGCCACTGACGATCACCGTTCTAGATTCCCAAGCCTGTATTTTTGTGGGGTTCTCTAGATTGTTGAAGCGGACTGGCAAGTTTCAACGAGCCGCACCTGCCTGGAATTCGATTTCACAATGGAATTGTACAACCATGCACGGGATAGTATTTTTATGCCCCAGGTTTTTGATTCCAAACCCAGCAAATCAGCATTTTCATGCCCAGCCTCACCACTCCGTACGGATCAAAACAGTCGAGAGAGCTTTACGCCTGCAAGCCCCATTCATGATAGAGATTGGCAACGCCGCACAGCCATTGATCCCCACCCGATCGATCTCTTCACCAAGCCAGTGGTTTGTTGAGGCATTATTCCGTCGCCGTACCAGGGATATTATCTGGAACGGCCCCGACACGGAAAGGGACGTCACCCGTCACCAGAATCAACTCCATTGATACAAGGAGAACAGCATAGCGCCAGACCACGTTTGTCAATGTTGGGGTTATTTTGGCGTCGGCTGCCCCATTCAGCCGCGAGTAGTGGACAAACAACAGGATCCGCTTGCGATGTTGCGGTCCATCCAGATGTTGCGTATTTGATGGTGTGCTATGGCTATCGATTCTAGTCCCCACCCCCTCCCTCAGCGACTCGTCGACGGAGTGTTATGACTCTGTGAGTGTTTGCTTCCGCAGGACTCTCAAGATAAAAAAGCCGATGTAGAGCGGGACTATCCCTACAACCCAACGACGATACACCTGTGCCGGAGACGGGTGGTTTTGTCCTCGTAACAAGTTTCATCACCGAGCGTTGCTTGGTTGAACCCTGTCAACTACCTACTTATCTCTAGCCTGTCCCATCTGTCTGTATCTTCAGCGGCACAAACCATACCTTCCATCCGCGACTCAACAATGAGGTCCTCGGTTGTTACTAGTGGCCTCAATTCACTACGGTCAGTTGGCTCACGACCAACAGCTGTATTCCAGGGACCATGGATGGCAACAGCCATTCCCAGACCGGCCTTGCCGTCAATGGAGCAGGCCCGAACTGGCGCTACGCTGGTAGACTCGCCGACGGCGGCCCACGAGCAACCCGAGGTTGTCGAGAACACCGCTAGACAGGCCAATGCAAAGAAGATTCTTCAGGATGCCGTCGCGGCCACAGGTCCGAGGCAAAATTGGACACGACGGGAGATTTCTGCCATTTACTACCAGCCGTTGCTTGAATTGGCACATCAAGCTGTGAGTCAGACCCATCCCGATTGCCCTCGAGTTGGCTTTCCCCCATCTAGACACAAGCACCAACATACTGACGCCGGCGGCCCAGAGCCTTGTCCATAGACGATTCCACAGCCCTGGCGAAGTTCAACTCTGCACCTTGATGAACATCAAAACTGGCGGCTGCACCGAAGATTGCTCCTACTGCGCCCAAGCCACCCGTTACCAGAAGGGCACTGGTCTCGAAGCCAAGCGTGTCGAAAGTGTCGAGTCAGTCCTCGCAGCCGCCAGGACCGCCAAGGATAATGGTAGCACGCGCTTCTGCATGGGCGCCGCATGGCGAGACATGCGCGGCCGCAAAAACAGCCTCAAGAACATTACAGAAATGGTAAAGGGGGTCAAAGCCATGGGCATGGAGGTCTGTGTTACGCTTGGCATGATTGATGCCGAGCAGGCGAAGCAGTTGAAGGAAGCTGGACTAACTGCGTACAACCACAATGTCGATACGAGTAGAGAGTTCTACCCGTCCATCATCACGACGAGATCGTATGATGAGCGTCTCAAGACGCTGGGCAACGTGCGAGATGCCGGTATCAATGTCTGCTCTGGCGGCATCTTGGGCCTCGGTGAATCATCCGAGGACAGAGTCGGTCTGCTTCACACCGTTTCAACATTGCCATCGCACCCAGAGAGTTTCCCGGTCAACGCCCTTGTTCCCATCAAGGGCACGCCGCTAGGAGACACCACCCCGATTGCCTTTACGAGCATGCTGAGAACGATTGCGACGGCGCGCATCGTCATGCCTGCGACGATTATTCGCATTGCCGCTGGCCGCAAGACCATGTCGGAGGAGAAGCAGGCACTGTGCTTCATGGCGGGTGCCAATGCCATTTTCACTGGCGAGAAGATGTTGACTACCGATTGCAACGGGTGGGATGAGGACAGCGCCATGTTTGGCCGATGGGGTTTGGAGCCAATGAAGAGCTTTGACAAGAAGCCCGTCCAAGGTGCTGGTGACATCGAAGCCGGCAAGATATAAGTAGAGAAATCACATGGAAGCGGCACAAAAGTTAATGGAACGAGAATTTTTGCACATGATCACAAATAGTCTTTTCATCTTATAGTTTGCTAGGCTCGGCCAAGGGCAGTGATGTTAAACCGCCGACTGATGGTCGTTGCACCCCGTCAGCCCGAGGAGACAAGTCTTTTATCTTTTGCTGCTCAAGCCACTCCTCAATGGCCGTACACAAACCACGGACCTCGGAGACTGTATTTGCCGCATGAAGGCATAGCCGTACTCGGTCAGTGCCTTTGGGGACTGTCGGGGCAACGATGGGGCGCACCATGTACCCTCTTTGCTGACAGTGTCTTGCCAAACTCCTCGAATGTGCCGAGAATAGGGGAATGATTGGTGATTCTGGCGGGGAGGTGTTGATTCTGAATAGTTGGGGCGGAGGACTATGTTTCTGACAGACGGAAAGAAGAAGAGTGTGAGTCTCCTGCATGAGAGACATCAGGTTGGCCAAGAGGCCGTCTGCTTGTCCGCTCTGCAAATAGTCGTAGACGGTTTGGATAGCAGTGAGCATGGGGTATCCCATTGCCGTGGTGTATATCAGGCTGCGTGCGTAGTTGATCAGGTACGACCGGGTAGCCGGCGTACAAAGAACAATAGCTGGAAAAAGTGTCAAAAAAAAAATCTCGACTGCCATGACATCTGACGAGCCAGAGAAGAAAGAAAAAGAAAAAAAACTCACCTCCAGCGCAACCCATTGCCTTTCCAAACGTATGGACTCGGGCCCATACTCGCTCCTCCAGTCCCAGCTGGCACACGAGACCCCTTCCTCTCTCGCCCATCCAGCCGGTTGAGTGAGCCTCGTCAACAATTACGTGCCCGTTCCCTCGGGCGAGATGCTTCTCCACGCATTCAACAATTTGCTCGAGTGGAGCGGCGTCGCCATCCATGCTGTATACGCCCTCTACCGCAACAAACACATTTGTCTGCCCGCTCCTCACCTTGTGGCCGTCCTGGCCCCTCAGCAAGGCACGCAATACCGCGTCCAGGGGTTTCGGCCCCGGGGTTTCCTGCTCACCAGGCTGGTCCTCGACGCGGTTGTGCGCAAAGGGTATGGCCCGCGCTCTGCCCAGCTTCATCCCGTCGTGGACGCTGGCGTGTATGAGCTCGTCGTACAAGACATAGTCCCCCGGCTGCGGTGCGCAGCTCAACAGGCCCGTGTTTGCCTCGAAGCCCGAGTTGAAAAGTAAACCCGCCGGAGCGCCGTGCCATTGGGCGATTTGAGACTCTAGATTCTCTGCGGGGGGTATGTTGCCATCCAACAGCCGCGATCCGCATGACCCCAGTGAGAAGTCATCCGAGGAGCTCTGGAGATGTGAAATGTAGGCTGTTTTGATGTTTGGGTTTGTCGAGAGAGATAGGTAGCCGTTGGATGAGAAGTCCACCGTGGCCGGTTCCCGGAGAGTCAGGCGACGCAGACGGCCTTGGTGCTCCCGACGCGCGAGCAGGGCCTTGAATGTGTCGTCTAGGCGGCTCTTGGAGGGAGCCATGATTAGTGCCGGCGAGACGGAGCTAATTGTCTCATTTCTTTCTAATTTTTGGAAAGGTCGGGAAGGATTGCTGCGGAAATGCCATGGAGCGATAACGTCAATTGATCTCTGCATTGACACATGTGGGCTGGACAAGCCCACGGCCCCATCGTCTGCAAACCATTGAAGATATGGCGGTTAGCGCTTTGCAGAGCTCAACATTGAATTGAGCCAGCATGGGGCACCGGGTTGTCGTTTCAATCCCGCAAGCCGAAAGAAACGCCCCTGGTAGTTGGCCATCCGTGCGATCCCGGTGGCCGACGAAACGAAACGCGACGTGCGAATAGCGCGGCCAGCCCCTGGAAAACTTGAGTTGACGTTTTCAATGTTGGCTGTCTTCGGCTCAACCATCTTGTGAATCGGCTTAAGCCCCTGTACTTCAATGTTGCGACATGGATTGACGGGCGTTGGGCCTCGGTTCTCCTTGGAGACTGGAAGATCGGAGTGATTAGCAGCGCCAACTTGGAGCATCCCCACAGGATAAGTGAACAGGTCCAGGGATACTCCGTACACCGAGTACCGAGAACCGTGTGCCTCGTACCTTGGGCTTGTACCTTGTACCTTGTACCTCCAGTTCGCGGCGACTCAACAAAACACCGCAATGCCAGCCCTTGTACTCCGTATAACTGCTTGGTATAACTGCGCACATCCGAGTTGAACCAACTCCTCAGCCCTTTCTCCATGCTGTGTTTGTCAGTTTCTGCGTCAGAGGCGTGACTTGCCTGTTGTATTGGGACCTCGAGGCACCATGAAGTCGCCGTTGGCCTCGCTGCTTTGGCGCTCCCTCCGTGTGTACCAGGTATTCGGCGCGAATACAGACGTCGGCAAGACCATCTTTACCACGTTGCTTGCCCGGACGGCCAAGAAGCTCTGGAAAGATGAGAATGTGGCATTTCTGAAGCCTGTTTCTACTGGCCCTGAGGATGAAGCTGATGATCGGTGTGAGTCTCTTTGCAGCCTCACTCTACTCGAGTGCCGTGAGTCCGTGACTAACAACACTTCTTGTGTAGATGACTGCTCTTTGAACAAACCATACTTGAGACCACAGGTTATATCTAATTTGATTGAGCAGACATGTAAGCCGGTTTGCACCAGGAGTAGCCCGCAACACCCTCTACCAATATGACATACCATGCAGCCCTCACACCGCAGCCATCGCATCTGGAAGAGTAAGAGAAACAAGCCCGCCAATTGCATCCCCGGAGGCCAATATCACTAACATGGTCATAGCCCATCCCATCAGAAGACGAACTACTGGCCAAGTGCCGTGCCTTTGCAGCCCAATGCGCTACTAGAAACGGATGGCTGTTCATGGAGACGGCTGGAGGCGTACATTCCCCCGGACCCTCTGGCAAGACTCAAGCCGACTTATACATCCCCTTGCGCGCTCCGTCTCTCATGATCGGTGACTCTAGGCTCGGAGGTATCTCGCAGACAATTTCGGCGTTTGAGTCTCTCCGGATTCGCGGCTACGACGTAGAATCCGTGCTCCTCTTCAAGGATGACGGCTATGGAAACTATCGCTATCTTGAGGAGTACTTCCGCAAGCAACACGGCATTCCCGTCACCAGCTTGCTGCCGCCGCCCAAGAAACACGACAATCCTGACCAAGATGCAGAGGTCATGGAGAACTACTACCGTCGCAAGGACTTGGCTGAAATCACCGGCCAGGTACTCGAGACACTGGACCGTAACCATGCGGCCCGGATAAGAAACCTGGATACAATGGCCACACGAGCCAGCAAGCACATCTGGTACCCCTTTACGCAGCAAAGCCTCGTCGGACCCAAGGATATCATGACCATCGACTCAGCCCACGGCGACTACTTCCAGACGCTGGCGCCGCCGACCTCGACCTCGACCTCGACCTCGGCCCCGTCCCCCGACACGCCCGTCATCCGCTCATCCTTCGACGCCTCAGCGTCATGGTGGACGCAAGGCCTGGGCCACTCGAACCCGAAGCTCACAATGGCAGCTGCGTATGCCGCCGGCCGCTACGGCCACGTCATGTTCGCCTCGGCCATCCACCAGCCCGCCATGGCTCTCGCGGAAACGCTCCTCGACGGCATCAAGAACCCGCGCCTCAACCGCGTCTTCTACTCCGACAACGGCAGCACGGGAATAGAGGTCGCCATCAAGATGGGCCTGCGGGCCGCGCGGAAGCGCTACGGCTGGGACACGACGCAGAAACTGGGCATCCTGGGACTCAAGGGCTCGTACCACGGCGACACCATGGGCGCCATGGACTGCGCCGAGCCAGGCATTTACAACGAGAAGATTGAGTGGTACCAAGGCAAGGGGCACTGGCTCGACTACCCTACCGTCCTGTGCAGGGACGGGAAATGGAGCGTCTCCGCGCCGGACGGGCTGCAGGAGAGCCTTGGCCCGGGAAGGACGTACGCCTCGCTGCGTGAGATATTCGACGTCGCGGGCCGCGAGGCCAACGGCGAACACGAGGCGTACAAGACATACGTCACGTCTACGCTGCAGCGGCTCAAGAGCCAGGGCCGCAAATTCGGCGCCCTGATGCTGGAACCCGTCGTCCTGGGCGCCGGAGGCATGCAGTTTGTGTAAGTAGCCTCCAGTCCGGAAACAAACTACCGTCCTTCAAAACAGTCGCTAACAGAGGCCCCAAGGGACCCCTTATTCCAACGTACTCTCGTCAACACGGTCCGCGAGTCCTCCCATCTCTTTGGCGAGTCGGCCCTCTCCGCGGACGAAGCGCAAGACCCTAATGAATGGACTGGTCTCCCCGTCGTCTTTGACGAAGTCTTCACGGGACTCTACCGCCTCGGCCGTTTCACGCCCTCCTCCTTCCTGGGCGTGCACCCCGACATTTCCGTTCACGCCAAGCTGCTCACTGGCGGTCTTGTGCCGCTGTGCACGACGCTTGCGTCGGAAAACATCTTCAAAATCTTCCTCAGCCCCGACAAGACGGACGCTTTGCTCCATGGACACAGCTACACCGCCCACCCGATTGGATGCCAGGTTGCTCTAGAGTCGGTCAAGGAGATGCAGGACATGGAGAACCGTGGGGAATGGGACTGGGCAAAGGCACAAGGGTGGACGCAGCAGCATTCTGGCCAGAGTGAAGCGCAGATTGACGTGTGGTCCACGTGGCCGAGGGAGTTTGTCGAACGGCTGTCGCGCCAGACGGGCAAGGTGGCTGGGGTATGGGCTCTGGGCAGCGTTTTGGCAATCCACCTGAGAGATGAAGCTGGCGTGGGATATAGTAGCAACGCCGCCCTGGGGTTGAGGGAGAGCTTGGGTCTGGGCAGAGCAGACGGAGAGGGCGGCCCCTGGAACGTGCATAGTCGTGTGTTGGGAAATGTCTTGTATGTAATGGCTAGTCAGGTAACGTCCGAGACGAGTGTAAGGCAGCTTTCCGAGCTGCTGATGGAGAGCCTTGCGGGGAAGAAGTAATTGTAATGACGATGCAATTACATACAACATACAGCTATATAACAATCCTTGATGCAGCCGCCATCTCTCTCTCACTCTCTCTCACTCTCCCTCTTTCTCTAGGCCAACCCCCCGTTATCTCAAGACTAAACCTGACCCCATAGCAACCATCAAGATGAGAAGAACTTCAAAGCCAAAAGAGAACAATGCCAATGGACCAAAAAGCCACAGTCCAAGCCCACGAGCAGCACTCCCCTTAACCGTGGCAGGAACCACACTGCCCGTAGGAGTCCCAGTGACGCTCGAATTCAGAGATGCGGCGGCACAATAATTCTGCGTCCGAGAAGCATTGGCGGCAGCAGACGATAATAGCTCCTATCACCACACTAGAGCGGGCTCAATGGTCGCATCCACATCCAGAAAGCTCTCCTGGAGCAGCTCCAGCATGTCCTCTCTTCTCATGAGGCTGCTCAGGAGACTCTTAGTGACAGAAGAGCCACACTCGTCATGCTTGTTATGGTTGTGCGCCGACTCGTCGCGCTTGGAGAAGTGAACGCCGGCAGTTGGAACCCAGCAGTTATCCTGAGCACGGCCAGCGCGTAAGGCGCAAACCTCTGTCTGTCGACACATTTCGGTGCACTGTTTGTCGGCTTGCCAACCTCGGGACTTGCGAGTCATGTAGAGATCGAACGCGGTCTGATTATTCTCAAAAGCGACGGTGACGTTGTGCCAGAAGGCGGGGGATAGCTCTGCTTTGGGCTCTGTGAGACGGGGCTCAACGATTTCACTATACGCCTCTTTTGCCGAGTAGTACTGTTTCCACGTTGGACCACTCGTCTGGAAGCTTTCGTCATCCATATCGGCAATGTAGGTTTTGGCATCAATGACTTCAAAAGTCTCTGCGTCTACGTCGTAGACCCGAAAGGACGGCATGCCGGCTGTGGGCGTTAGCGAGGGGCAGATGTAGGAAATCGCAACGGCATTGTTGTGAGTACGTTCAGTATAATTGGAGTAGCTGATTTCGAAATGATCAAGGTGGGTATGGCCAAAGAACATGGCCTTTATGGTCTTGGAGTAGCGGTTAACAATCTGATCGAAGTAGTTGGAGCCGTTGGGCAGAGCGTCCGCATCTCCCATGGGCATGTGGCCGATGATGTACACATTCTCGCCGATCACCTCCGCAGCATCGAGTTCCTTGATCAACCATTCAAACTGGCCATTGGGGTCCTTCTCAAGCACTTCTTGGTACAGAATAAAGTTGAGTCGGTAGTACATGTTGGTGTTGAGAGAAATAATTCGAAGATTGCCCTTGGGGTACCTGGTGGAGTAGGCACCAACGGCCCGGGCCTCTACCATGGATGAGTTACCAATCCAACGAGACCACGCCCTGGAAAGGCTGTCATAAACCCATTGAGTTTCGTTTCCTCTGGACACGGGTTCAAAGATGTTTGGTGGGTGAACCTCGTGGTTACCAGTAGTTCCATACACAATATTGAGGTTCTCAGTCATCATCTCATACGAGTGTTGGATGAGGTCTTCGTTATAAGACTTGCTGGTATTCCAAAGACCGTGGTCGACAATGTCGCCAGTGAAGAGAGAAAAAGCAGCCTGTGGAAACTCCCTTTTGATGAACTCGTACATGCTCTTCTCCAAAGCAATCGGAGAATCACATGCGTGATCGCCAAATGGTCCCGCGGGATTCCTCGTCTTGCCCGGCTTGTCATTCTCAGTGTAGGACCGACAGCATGTGGGTTTGCCACACTTGGTGTTGGATCCCTTCTCATATAAAGGGTCGACATGAATATCCGAGAAATGAACAATCTGGATAATGTCCCTGTCTTCGTCTTTGAGGATCTTGTCCTTGGCCCCATGGCAACACTTCTGGGTCGTAAACCCGATATTCCATTCATCGATTTTTGGGGCATCACACACTCCGAGAAAACTCATACAGAAATGGATACATGAGTCGGACCCAACTTTCATGGTTCTGATTATGGAAGCAATCGAAGGTGCCTCACGCTCGACAACTCCAGTGCAGAATTCCTCGTCGTAGGACTACAAAGTATTAGTTTTGCGCAAAAAAAGTTGTGGTGCAGCTGGTACTGACACTGTTTATTTTGCAGAGCTTTTTGCCCAAAATGACGAGGGCTGCGTCTCCAGTCTTGACCAAAGCCTTGAGGACTGAGAGAACCCTCTGAATCATCATCGTGTTAGCCCTCCCTACCGGCCAAAGTCCATGAATAATGTGGGAAATACGGGAACGCCAACCTTGCAGCCGTTGCAAGTCTTCAGTTGACCAGCTAGACTGGTTAAATCTCGAGTCTCGCGTGCCCATGTCCGTGCCTCCAATGATCGTTGAAGCTTCTCGTGGTCCAACTCTGCAGCTCTCAATCCAAGATTGCACGCCGCCAAGGCCGACAATATGGTCAAAAGACGCATCTTTGTTATTACTTTTGCGTATAAGGCGCAGAAACACACGACCGGCAGCGAAATACAAAGGCCAAGAAAAGAACGGGAGAAGGGAAGTGGTAGGGTCTCATGCCGGAGCGAGAATCAAAAGCACGAGGAGGATACCAACACATCTGAACGCATTACCCCATGGGACAGTCCCACCGGCTGATTTCGTCCGGGGCGACATGAAAAGCTCCAAGTTAAAGAGGCTTGGCATCGTGGCCAGGCTCATCCCGAGCTGAGCTAGGAACGCCAGCGTCACCGGAACCTAACTCAGTACACATTAGCCCACTTACTCAATTTAAGTAGTGGTATGTATAATATAACATATTGGTAGTAGTAAGTACGTGTAATATAACAGAGTAGATTCGATATTGCGGGGCTAATGAATCATGAAGGGGCCCCCAGAGGGCGATAGAAAGGCAAGATCGTGGTGTTGCGGAGTTGAGGAATCAGGATGCTAGCATGGGTCTGGGCACATGGCACATGGGTACGCGGGTACAGCACAATGCTTTTATTCTGGTGCACAACGCCCTGTGCATGGTTACTAGAATGCATAATTCGGCTCATGCAATAGATTGACTTTACATAAAGTATGTTCTTGTTGGTTACCTGCCAGGCACCTGCCAGGCACTGCGGCCATGTGATAAGCCAAATTTCCAAACACGGCTCTCGCCCTGCTCTGATTCGTCTGCGCCACCAGGAGTGCCAGGGCTTTTGTAACCGAACCACACAACAGACAGCTTCGCTTCGAGAGTGTAGAGCCTCCATGTCGCTTCTTCCAGCCGAGCGTACGAATCGACCAACCAACGGGGGAGCTGGCCGCTACAAGACCCGCCAAGGCCTCAAGTGCTCCATCTGATTCTGGGGAAGTGTAGTGGCGTCGGAGACAAATCGACCGGAGTCAGTGGCCAGACGGCTCGATGTTGCCAGGCTGCGATCTTCCAGATATCACACCACTAAACTTTGAAGACACGCTAGGCACGCCTGCCTTTAGTACCGGACTTACACCTCACCGTTCATCAATCCATTGGACTGCGTCTATTGGAGCAGACCCTCTTCGCTTCGAACCGAGCTTACCAGGCAACAAGGCTGGCACCCATTGGCATACGACCGAGCCATTCACATCGAGGTATACCAGACGAGGACCTAGAAGACATGATCTTACCATGCATGCACGAATGAATCCCATCAACTACGACCACGGGCCAACAGCGAACCGTGGCAGTATCTGTCTATCCGATGGCACTTTTGTGAGGGCGAAGCACACATATACCTATTGAAAGTACCAGTTAACCTCAAAGGTATATACTTCGACTAGCCCTCTGTCTTTCCTAGGGGCCATCCTTGGAGCTATAAAATCCGCTTCGAACATGGCTAGCTTGTTGCCCAGCTAATCCTTCGACTCTGGAGCGCCTTTTCCTGTTTCCCTTCTTTTCACATTCTATCAAACCTCCACGCTACATTGTTTGGCAATCATTCATGCCATTGCCTATACCATGGGTCGTTTTAAGGCGCCTTCTCACTTCACCTTCCGTCCACACGAGTGCCAAGCGTCTCCATGAGTGGCATATCAGCTTCATTGAAGATATCACGAGCACATGTGAGGCACATGTGTAATACCCAATGTTGACATTTGCCCACAGTGGCTTCTCAGGCATCGCCAAACTCATCATGTCGGACACCACCGCACTCGTTCCATATCCCATCAGTCCAGCTCTTCTTGTACCCAACCACAGTGCAGTTCATAGCCCACATTCAGATAAGCCACTTCTGGACCAGCATGGACCGCTACTCGACGCACTCGAGCTAGGCCGTCGATGTCGGTGCTCGACTTGACGATAAACTCGCCTTCCTCGAGGGCAATGACTCTCTTAGCAACCTTGGCCGCCATCTTGCTATTCCATATGCCTTCTTGAATGTGGTTGGTCTCCATGATGTCTATCGCCCGTCGTCGCACTTCCGGGTCTCGGCATTTGGAACTTAAAAAGAACAGTGCTGGCAGTATGCCAACTTCCATATAAAATTGCGGTTGGTTATCGGCTGGTACATCTGCAGCATCAAGCCCGCCCGCCTCTGTTGCAAATTCGACCATTTCGCGGAACTGATCTGTCCACAAATCCCACATCGATGGATCTTCACGGTCGGGTTGATTCAATGCCGCGATATTGATATACAAGTATCGTCTGTGTAGTTCTAACAGTGCAAGCGCCCGCTTGTCCGTTGAGTTCAGGCTGTTCCGGTCAACGGCCCTGCGAAACTCATCAAACGCCTCCGTCCAAGCGTCGAATCGGATGCCCAAAGCCTTGGATTGCGCCATCGTCATATCGCGTCTGTATTGCAAGGCAAGCTTGAGCAAAGAATCCCGCGCCTCTTGAATTGACGACAGTGTTGGCTTAGGTGTCATAGTTACCATGCGAAGCTTTAGCATGGGCGAAATGATGTCGGCAAGCTTGTGATCAATATCACCACCGATAGCCTCAGCCCGAGTTAGTCAGTTATAATACGCGTTTAGGGCCTAGAGCTTACTCACGAGAAAGACTTGAGTCGATATACGAGCAAAAAAAGCCTCCACAAGCCTAATAATGGGCTCAATAGATATTCCCGTAGCGCCGCCAACGTATCCGCCTTTTCTGACCTGCTTCATAGCCCCCTCGATCATTCTGCAGCCGTATTTGAAGAGATACATGGCATTACTTATATTCCTCCGGAGAATCTAGTAGCATGTCAGTCTTGCGACCTTCTTGTTGCCAGCCGACTTGCGATTCTTACCTCAATGCAGATAAATATCGTGCAAGAAACGAGTTGAATATGGAGATATGACGGTCGGTCAGCCCCGGATTTAACAAGCTCGGTAATCGCCAAATTGTATTGACGCAGGCCATATGGCGTTTCACCGCCCACATCATGGCTCCAGTACCGCTCATGATATGATGACAATGCAACCAAAGCATGTCGGATGCAGGTGTTAGAATGGGCCAGTTGGAGGACTCGGCTACTCCACAAGTCGTCTGGTGCGAATGTTCCGAATTGTACAGCAGTGCGCTCTACGAAAAACCGCAATGCCCGGACTTCTTGGGTTGTGCCGGATGAAGAAGCAATGCGAGTCAGAGTCAGAGACGGTGTGGTGACGCCCGTCGCCGGAGGACCATCATATCCGTCGCAGATGCGGCCAGTCTTGCAGCCTATAGAAGACTGTCAGCTTGCCATCTTGTCTCAAAATCGGCCTATGGGGGTTACCTCACATCTTTCACACGCGGGGCGTCCCTCGTCGCACTTGATCCTGCGAACTAAGCTCAGATGTCAGCATTCCTCTTCACGCGATAAGAAAGGAGAGAGCACTATGCAGACTTCTATTGGACACTTGAATTAGAATGAGGCTCTTGGACGAGCAGCGGAACAGACATTAGACTAACTTGCATGTTTTGCAGCCAGTTCGTACTTTGGGGGCCATTGCCCTCTGGCGTTCGCCTGGTTTGACTCGAGGCATCCTCAGCAGGGGGCTTGTGTCATCGAGACACTTTCAGATACATGTACACTTTCGTTGCAATAAATGGCTTATTTTGTCGATATTTGCGCGATCTACACATGGCAACCGTGTACTGGTTTTGCGCAACGGGTGTGCCATGGACCATGAGGACGACGTAAATTTCAGGACGTATCTCGTAGAGTGAAGTGGTCAAACTCTACTCCACAAGTTTATGGTAGAATTTCCCCACAGAAAGGACAACTTCAGATTGGGGAAGCAGTCTGAAGCACCCTGGTGAACCTCCACTTCACATGCCGAACGACGGCACTCTCCGATAATGCAGTGCTTTGAGTTCTGCTCTGAGCTGCTCCAAAGCCCCATAACAAGGCAGTTGTGCTGTGAGGCAGGATCAATAAATTTGTCCATCTTATGGGATTGGGTCGTTATAGACCGTGACGATTCATTTCCTTGGCGTTGGCCAACCCTGGGCATTTGTGTTGTACTGTACACATTGGTTGCTAATAAGGCCGCCATGTCAATCTTTGCCAGTGGAAGCAGAAATTGCCGCTTCTAGCCTGCGTCAGAAATATTCCCTGTCGGGCCAGCAAGCACGCGCCATTCTGGAGCAATGCTGTTCCTCGTCGACAAATACTGACTTGGGCATGGGATCAGGGATTGCGAAGTCCAATATCCAGCTGTATGATGCACCTACCAGTCCCCAAGGCTCATACCGGATTGCTGCTCGTCGTCCGTCGACGGATGGACATGTATATTCCGCGTAAAGACGCTGTGGATTGAGGCGTGTTTGAAAATCCCAAGGGGCTTGTTTATCCCGTATGTCGTACCAGTATGGCCACTTCCGATCTGTGGCGAGCGTGAATATCACTCGTGGTTGAGTCGACAGATATTTTCCCCGAGTATATTGAAGTATAAGCATTTTGATACAGATGCCTCCAGATTACAGTTAGACTCAAATGAAATAGCAGAGGACACTTGAACCCTGATTGCGTTGGCGGAGCTTCTGAAAGTCGACCAGATTTTGCCAGAAAGGTGGACGGAGCGTTCCTGTGTGCACCATGCTTTGGTTTCTCTTCACAATAAGTGGACAGCCGAGTGTGCGACCAGAGGACAGCTACTCCAAGGCCGCCGCATATGGAGAGAGGCGGTGTGTGAAGCTATTCAACAGACCGCAGTGTCTTGCTACATTTGATGCCCTGCAAACTTTGAACTTTGAGGAGGAAGGAGCGACACCTGTTGGTCCCATCAACACAATTCTCAAGGCATTAGTCAGCGTCAAGGCAACATTCACCGTTGGCTCACTGAAGCTACAAAAACGGATTCTCTTCTCCGCATCCCAGGGCTGACAACCAGTTGACCGGGGATTTGCAGCGAACCGAACCGATTCATCTGCCGCGCGTCTGCCATCGGAAGTAGCCTCTGCAAGATGCACGAGCACAGCAAAATACGAAATGGTAGGCTGCAAGCTGCTGTTGACGGCTAGGCGCATGCCGCACAGTGGATTCCAGCGCCCCCAAATGTTGGAACTTGGGGACCCATTGAGACGAAGGCCGACCGTCGACGTTACTACCCTAGGTATCAAACCGTCCGGTCCCGTTGAGCGGACTCTTCGATCCAGGGGTACCGCGAAGTGCCGCTGATGGACTCCGACTCGTGAGCTCCCTACGCCATCGGATCAAGGCAGGACCTGTGTCGTCATTGGTGCGCGAGATGCGGTAGACATCGACGGAAGTGGCCTGCCGATATCTATTCCCGAGCAGCCCACCCTTTCTGACGTTCCGTCTGGCCAGTCCGCATCAGCTGCATTCCCCGCGATGTCGAGAACGCTCCGTGTGGGGTTGATCAACAGCCACTTACACACAATGGATTGCAATTTGAAGACGGAAATGAATGTTGCCTGCCAGGTTAGGCCTATGGCTGAGACATGGATTTTTACCAGCAGACTCTGTCCACGTCTTGTAGCCATAGAAAAACCCGAGAAAGCGGGCCGGGAGAGAGTTGAAGCCTGCGGGGTCGGAACTTCGCCCAAATCAAGCCAGTGGCCACATCTGCCAGTATATATATATATGGCGTCAGGTTGGTGCTTTAGCTAGTGGTCGAGGCACATCTCAAGCCACAGCCAGCTTTCTAAATATTTCTGTGCCAAAACTGCACCATTGTGAGCCAAACCTGGCGTCTTTTAAAACCTGGAAGCTGATCGTCAACTTTGGCATGGCGCTGACAGAGTACGTGTTCTCGCCATCGGCCGCGCTGGCTATTGTTGGCTTGATATTGTCATCTTACATTTTCGACTACTTTGTGACGAATGGAAAGCTGCGCGGGATCCCAGCGCCGTTCGGCGCGCAGTTTTCGAATTTATGGCTATTGATGGTTTGCCGACGAGGAGATCGATTCAAGACCGTCGACGAGTACCATGCGAAGCTGGGCAAAGTAGTGCGCATACAACCGAACCATGTTAGTATCGCAGACGATGCAGCGATTCCTACCATCTATGGTCACGGTAATGGATTTTTGAAATCGTAAGCAAAATCTGGAGTCTCTATGGAACAGATCACACCAGAGTCGCCAGACCACGTGGGCTAACGCTGATGATTAGCGAGTTTTATGATGCTTTTGTGTCCATTCGCCGTGGCCTGTTCAACACACGAGTCAGGCACGAACACACCCGAAAGCGAAAGATGGTCTCTCACACCTTCTCTACCAAGTCTGTGGTTCAATTTGAGCCGTATATTCATGAGAACTTGGACTTGTTTGTGCGACAGCTTGACAAGCTGGTTGAGCAAAGCTCCCACAGGACACAGGGTGGGAAGCCGGAAGCACACCTTGATGCACTATTGTGGTTCAACTTTCTCGCTTTCGATGTTATCGGTGACTTGGCATTTGGCGCGCCGTTTGGAATGCTTGAAAAAGGGGCAGACGTCGCCGAGATTAAGTCATCGCCAGATAGCCCACCGATCTATGCCCCGGCTATCGAGATTCTGAACCGAAGAGGGGAAGTGAGCGCAACGCTGGGTTGCTATCCGCAACTCAAACCATACGCATCCATGCTTCCTGACCCGTTCTTCAGCCAGGGTCTGAAAGCTGTACAGAATCTCGCTGGGATTGCTATTGCTCGAGTCGAAAGCCGAGTTGAGAATCCTCCAGACGTGGACCGTAAGGATTTGCTTGCCCGGCTCATGGAAGGCAAAGACGACAATGGGCAACCTCTTGGTCGTGAAGAGTTGACTGCCGAAGCACTGACACAGCTGATTGCCGGAAGTGACACGACATCCAATTCCTCCTGCGCTCTTATGAACTACCTGATCCGCGACCCGCGTGTTTTACAGAAACTTCAAGCTGAGCTCGACGCCTCGATCCCCAAACATGTCGATGTTCCAACATATGACATGGTTCGTGATCTTCAGTATCTTGGATGGGTTATCGACGAAGCCTTGCGTCACCACAGTACGTCTGGCATTGGACTGCCGCGTCAAATTCCACCCGAGTCCCCCGGTGTTGTCATCCAGGGATATTTCTTCCCCAGTGGTACCGTTCTTAGCGTGCCCACCTACACCGTGCATCACTCCAAGGACATCTGGGGAGAAGATGCGGACGAGTATAAGCCTGAGAGATGGGAGAATGTCACAACCAGGCAAAAGAACGCCTTTATTCCTTTCAGCCACGGGCCGAGGTCTTGCGTGGGACGAAACGTGGCAGAGATGGAGATGAAGCTGATTTTGGCCACTTGGGCAAGACGCTACACGGTTACTCTCCGACAGGGACCAATGGAAACCAGAGAAGGATTTCTGAGGAAGCCTCTGGGCTTGGAGGTGGGCCTATCACGAAGGTAGTATCAATGTATTTTACTTTTTGTCAAGAAATTGGAAGGAACTTGAATGCTCAATTTCCGAGAATTGTATATGGTATTGGGTAGCGGAGTCTGTAAGAGCAGCCGGTAAGGGGTTACATGATATGCAAATGAAATCTATGCTTGAAACTGCAGCGACATGGTCAAATTTCTACCTCGGTATTTGCTCAACCGCTTAAAATCTACTCATCAGGCCCCTCCAAAGGCTCGTTAGAAGCTGGTATCCATCTTGCTTCCAAGTCGGGGTCCTTCTCAAACGCCTTGTCAAACGGCCACATGGGCCTCCGGATGCTATGATGACCCAGCCTCTCCAGATCCTGATCGACGCCACCAGGAGTCAAGGCCAGCATCCAGCCTTTGGCCATGTCATATAGCTCTGGCTCCAGATACCCAATCTTGACAATCACCACATCTGCCGCCCTCGGCCTGAGGCCCAACTCGGTAAAGTCTCGTTCCTTGTGATACGGCTTCCGCAACTTGGTAAGAATAGCATAGACGGAGCCCACCTGCAGCACAACTTCGGTCTCGGCATCCCGGTCCCCATGCTTGACGGCGCAGACTCTGCCGGTCATTGTGAGCGGCGGCGCGTGGATGCTGTCGACCTCGCCGCCGGCCGTGACCGTGACTGTCGCGCCGACGCCCGCCTCTGCCGCGGCGGCCACGGCCTCTGGCCCCGGCACGCTCGCGTATATGACGGTATACCCGGAGCCGGCGTCCTGGAACTCGGGGCGCTCCAGCAGCCGGGTCAAGCCCCAGGTTACGTCCCCGGAGCCCCCGGCCGTGGGGTTGTCTCCCGAATCCGAAATGAAATACGGCCTCTGCGAGGGTGGAGATGCGACTGCCGCATCGAGGCACTCTGCGTAGGACCCTGTGGGCGCGACGAATTCAAAAGCAGCGCGGGCGTCCCAGAATAGTCTCGCCAGCCGCTCTGCTCCCCTGGCCACGGTGTGCTTGTCCCAGCCTGTGACCATGACGACGGCACGATTCCGCGGCTCATCTGCCCAGGCGTACCCGACCCATATCGCTGCGTCGACGACGCCCTCGGTTGCTTCTACCTCTGGAACGGCGGCGTAGATGTGCTTTGCGGGTTCTGTCCGCGTGGAGGTTTGCTCCCCGGGCAGGAGGACGGGAATGGGAACCCAGGCCTTGAGCGGCCGCGCACCGGGAGGTTTCGACTTCAAGACGCCGACTAGGTTCCTACACGCGCGCTCCTTTGTCTCCATGGCGTCTTCGTGGGGGGCCATCCGGTAGCAGGTGATGAGGTCGCACATGTGGGCGAGGTCCCGGGACACGTTCCCATGGAGGTCCATTGACGCCGAGACGATGACGTGGGCGCCGGTGACGCGGCGAATCCGGCGGAGGAGCTCGGCTTCGCTGTCGTCGATGCCTTCTACCACCATGGCGCCGTGGATGTCGAGCCACAGCCCGTCGAGTTTGTGGAGGGCAGCAATGTCCCGGAGCCGGTGGAGGATCTCGGCGGCCAGTGTTTCGAAGGCGTCGCGGGTTACGACACCGCCGGGGAGGGCGTGGCCGATGAGGGCGCCTTTCCATTCTGCATCTTGGCCGAGTGGCTGGTCGGCGTGGAGGAACTGGTACCGTTGGATGATTTCGTCGCCTCGTTTGGGGTGAAATGCGGGGGCGAGAGTCCGTGATGGGGTGAAGGTTGATGTTTCGCAGGCGAGGCCGGCGATGGCGATGATGGGACGACGGACCATGGCTATTGAGGTTGGCTTTGGCTGACACGGCTGGGGTGATGACCTAGTTTTGGGAACTTGTAGCCTGAGAATGAGATGCTGCGTTGGCGAGAATCCTCCGCCCAAAATATCCCGCCCAACACGTAGAGTCATAGACTCTACTGTCGTCTCGGTAAGCCAAGTTCATGTTTGTCTTTTTCTAATACCCCGACGCCACATGCAAGCCTGGCGTAGAAGCGTTGCGGACCATCACCATCTTTTGAAGAGCCGTGGGTTGTACGGAACCATCTGCGAGGGGAAGGTGACGGTGAGACATGCCGCCAGTCCCAATAAGCATCCTTTGGTTATCTGGTCCCGCGTTTCGCTACGTATCGTGGTTTTAATTTCCCGTCTTCTGAGTTGCCGTTGCTGGCACATTCCAGCTGCTATCAGGGTTACATTTGCTAGCCGTGCTGCAGTGTCGTGGATAAACCCCATGACGCCTCCATTCCCTGCCCACCCGAGTCGACTTGGACGAGTTCAAGATGGAGATGGAACGCCTAACGAAGCTGATTCTCGAATGATGCTTGGCTATGTCTTGAGTCTCGACGGGGACCAACCAGACGTAGGCTCATCTTGTCCCTGCCGCAATTGCAAGGCACAAACCGTCGTCAGCTTGCCATGTTGCGATCAACACCATCGGGAACTTGGCTCCCCTCGTGGACTCCCGAGTCCACATCGACCTTGTCCGTCTTCCTGATGCTCTGCTCCGTGGTCCAGTCCACCACGGGCGGCTACGACGGATCCATGCTCAACGGACTCAACATCTTGCCTTCGTACACTGACTATTTCAAGCTCACACCCGCGACGCAGGGCCTCAACACGGCGTCCGTCTTCATCGGGGGTTTCTTCGGCCCCATGGTCGGGGGCGTCATGTCTGATAAACTCGGACGGCGACCAGCCCTGTTCTGGGCATCCATCATCACCATGGCTGGCATCGTCCTGCAGAGCGCGGCGCAGAACGTAGCCATGTTTGTCGTGGCTCGCGTCGTGCTCGGATTCGGGGGCGGCATCAGCAACGTTGCCGCCCCGGTGTATCTCAGCGAAACCTTTCCAAGTCGCTGGCGTGCCTGGGGCGTTGGTGTACGTATTCGCGACAAGTCGTCGACTCTGAGTCTCTAACACGCGGTCCAGCTGCTGAACAACTTCTATTACGTCGGTGCGCTGATGGCGGCGGGCGTTACCCTCGGCACGGGCAAGTGGGATTCCACGTGGGCGTGGCGATGCCCGTCTCTGTTGCAGGGTGTCTTCTCCCTTATTTGCATTCTGATTCTGCCTTTTGTTCCAGAATCTCCTCGATGGCTGATTCGCCAGGACCGATATGAGGATGCTCGGTTGGTCGTGGCGCAGACCAACGCCGATGGCAATTTGACCGATCCTGTTGCCATGACGGTCTATCAGGAGATCGTCGACACGCTGGAGTGGGAGAAGAAGCAAGGCCGGACGATGAGTCCCCTGGAGATTGTCCAGAACCCAGTGGCGAGGAAGAGGGTTCTAATTGGCGGTTCTGCTGGGCCGTTTTCATGCATCGCCGGCAATATCATTGCGTCGTACTATCTGGGCAACGAGCTGAGCACCGCGGGAGTGACGAGCTCCGATGACCAGCTGAAAGCGGCAAGTACTCTGCAATCACTACGGCAAAGTGTGCCTGACTAACGGTGGGAAGAATGTGGTTTTGAACGTCTGGTGTTTGGCGTGCTGCCTCGCCGGCACACAGCTCGCAGCTTCGTGGGGACGCAAATCTACCGCCCTGCTATCGCAAGGGCTGCTGATTGCCTGTCTGTTCATAATTGGCGGTCTTTCGAAGATCTATGCCGACAACCCTGGTGGAGCGTCAAAGGGCCTCATCTACGGCGATGTCGCAGTCATGTTCTTGTTCCAAGGATTCTATTCCATTGCCTGGACGCCCTTGCTTACTCTTTATCCCCCCGAAGTTATGGACTACCCAACTCGGGCCAACGGCGTTGCGTTTTCGCAATTCACCCTCAATGGTTTGGCGTGAGTATCCTCTTGCACGTCGCTCTCGTTCTTGCTGAGATGGGCTAACGGCTGTAGGATGTTGCTCGTTTTCGTCATGCCAATCGGTCTGGATAACATTGGTTGGAGACTGTACATGATTAACGGATCGTGGGACGTTATTACGTTTCTCCTCATTGTAAGTTAATGGGGGTAATTCTTTTCCATGGCGACAACGGTACTGATGTTGATTCTAGGCTGTATTTTGGGTCGAAACAAAAGGCAAGACTCTCGAAGAGATTGATGCTATTTTCGAGCGGGAGAGGCATTCATCCGCGCCTGGTGTAGAGGACGTGAGAAAAAGGAGAATAACTGTTGATGAGGTTCAGATGGAGAAGCAGTTGCAGCATCAGGATGTCCGAGTGCGTGAAACTCTTGGCCAGTGAACATTGCAACAGCAAAGAAATATGTCCATGATCCATAATGAATGATATCCCTGTTATGCGATGCTGGCTTCAGACTTGATTTGACCGTGTTTCAGTGTATTACCTTGATGTGTACCGCTTTCGATACTCCATAACACGCGCCAGTTCACAAGGAAAGACGAGCTGAATCCAACCTGGTCTATATGGGTATGATGAGAATGCCACACACTTGGACGCGAAGGGGAAGAAATCATCTTGAAGAGGGGCGTTCTGTCGCTACATGGCCCCCGGCGGCTGCATTTGTGGAAGCGAGTGAACATTGAAGATTGTGGCCGGGACTACCCTCTGAACCCATCTCATGACCGAAGGCTCTTATGCCCTCTTGACATATGTGAAACCAAGACAAGGTGTATGTCAAGGCGACGAGCTAGAACTGTTCTTCTGGCAGCAAAGTGGCCAGTTTCTGAAACCTCAATATTCTGATATTCATAACCCTATACTTGAGTCGTAGATTGACCGCCTATAAATAATTCTCCAGGTTTCCGAATCTGTATTGGACTTCAAATTCTGCGGATATATTCCCATAATTTGTAGTCTGGGATGGAAATTGTATTTAGCCGTCGCCATCTGTATACACCCGCACACCGCAAGACGTGACCATACACTACGAGCCATGCTGTTGCTGCACATTCGGCCGAATACTATTTGCCTGTCACCACGGTACCTTCGGTCGGGGCTGGGCCAGACGGCGCCTCCTTATGTTGAGTGACAGAAACAGACTCCGTTTTGTCGTTCGGCAGAGACTGATCTTCAGCAAACTGATACAACGGCGGGAATGGAGCAACGTCTCGTCCAAGGACGTGCTTGTTGAGGTACCAGGGCAGCTTGCGGAGGTAGTACCCGCCGTGCTCCCTGTTTTTCATACTAAAGACACTGTCGAGCTCTTCCAGCGTGAGGTTCTTGGTCTCGGGCAAGAAGAAGTAGGCAAAGACCCAGCCCAGCAAGTTCCAAGCGGCGTACCAGCAGAATGCGCCAGTGTTGCCGTAGGCCTCAACAAGAGACGGCCAGCTAAAGCTGATGATGAAGTTGAAGCCCCATGTCACTGCCGTGCTGGAGGACATGCCGATATCGCGGATATGCAGGGGAAACGCCTCGGCGCTGTATGTAAACGGCACCGGTCCCTCGCCTGGCGAATAGACAACCATGAAGAGGTACAAGCCCGTCGTGACACAAGCCAACTGAGCGCGACCGGGGATGTAGAAGGAGAAGCCGGTAAATAAGAGACACAAGGCCATCAGAGGAAACGTGGTGAGCAAGAGGTTGCGGCGACCAAACGTGTCGATGGTGTAGATGGCCGGAATGGCGAATATCCAATTGATCAACCCCCCTCCCATGGACGCCAGGAGAGCTTGAGAGCGATCGTAGCCGGCATTTTGGAAAATGCTGGTCGAGTAGTAGGCAATGACATTTACTAGAGATTTCCATTAGTTAGGCTTGCCGTGCTTCAGCGTATATATCGTGCCGCAATGAAAGTTCTTACCTCCGCAGAATTGTTGCATAAACTAGGGAACAAGCAAGTTAGCTTTCCCGAGTATAATTAAATGTCAACTTGAATTAGATTAGACATTTTACCCACCATCGTGAACCATGCGCTCTGAGCCGCACGGCGATTCCGCCTCACGGTGAAAAACTCCTTGAGAAGATTCCGTCCCTCCCTCTCCTTCTTCTCAATCTCAAGAAGCTTATACGCATAGTACATGTCCCGGGTCGCCTGCACAGGGTGATGCCGCAGACGCAGCAGCGACTTGAGCGCCTTGTCGTATTTGCCCTTCTCCATGTACCACCTCGGGCTTTCCGGACAGAAATACACCTGCAGCATGACAATCAGAGGCGGGATCGAGGTCGAGCCAAGCATCCACCTCCACTGGGAGTTTCGCCCCAGGAAATCGGTGTGCTGGAAGGCCACCGAGACCACGAAGCCGAGACAGATCCCAAACGCCGTCCACATCTGCCACATCATGGTGAGCGCTCCCCGTATCGTCTTGGGCGTGGATTCGGCAGAGTACACGGGCGTAGTGCTCGACTTTGCGCCCACGGCAAAGCCGAGCACGAATCGAGCCGCGAGCAAGTTGCCAAACCTTTTTCCTCCTCGTTAGTAACAACCAACGAGCGGCATGGTGTGGCGGCAGGGTTAAACACGTACGAATCGGCGACGGCCATCCAGAAGCCCGTGACAACCGACATGAAGCACGAGATGAAGATGGTGAATCTCCGGCCGCCGATTTTGTTCAGGATCGGGTTCGTCCAGCACCCGATGAGTGCGGAACAGAGGTACGGAGCGCCGTTCATCAGACCTTGCAACAGGGGGTCTCTCAAGCCAAACTCCTCGTAGTAGAATTCCTGACCAGGACCTATTATTTAGCAGCTACCAGACTTGGTACACCCGTTAGAAGGCCGTACCTGTGCGCCGTTTACGGCTGTTTGGTCCATTCCTTGCACAATGGCTGAACCGGCGCAGAGAGTGCAAAGAAAGTAGAGCATGAATGGCTGGCTCCATTTATTGGTGATTTCCCGTCGCAGCACCGTCTTTTCCTCCTCATTGAGAAGATGGACGTGCTCGAAGCCGCCGCTCGTGTTCATGACCTGAGCGATCAAGGCTCCCTTGCGAAAGGCCTCCCGATACTCGCCCAGGCCCTTTTCGTCCACGAAGGCGTCGGCATCGGCAATGAGTTGCTCCCTGGTCATCCCGATCAAGGGGTTGCGTAGGAGAGCCGCTGTCGATGGCTTCCGCTCATTGGTGAAGTTGGCCGAGTTGTCGCCATGGCTTGAGTTGCGACGGAGCACAGACTTTTCGTCGTGGTTGGGCGACTCTATGTCTGTTCGAGCGGGTGGCATTTTGTGTTTGAATCGGGGTTTCTCGAGGATCTGAGCGTGTAAGTCAATGGCCTGTATATACAAGATGTTTACAACGGCTTATGCAGACGACATGGACGCGGACTTGGTTGACCGGCCAAGACTGCCGCAAGGGGTGAAAGGGATGGATTTTGGAATTGGATCATGTTGCAGGAAACGGGGAGACGGCTCCAGTTATCTACTTGGCTTCATGTCACATACGACCATGGGACCGGAAGCTCTGCGGAGAGACCATGGCGATGGGCCGTGACAGACAGACCCATGTATTGCGCTCATCCGGTTAAGCATAATGTAAAAGCTGCTCGGCAAAGAAGGCTACGTGGAGAAAATAGCACCATGTGGATAAACCAAGTCTCGGCATCAGCATGGTGAAGCAACTTCCATGGCAGTGATGGTCGCCAAGAGTTGCCAGAAAGAGAACCTGACCATCATCACCAACACGTCCAGCGGCACAATGACGTAATGAGTCCGGCGTTATAGTTGACTTCTGATCTATACAGTAGCCCAAAGAAAGATTGAGAGTGCCTGCTATCGTTTCTTCAAGGTCAATCGGGGGCCGGGATAGCAGACACACTCTTGCAAAACGCTCGACGACGAACTAACTAATAAATTGTAACCACAATAATCAAGTCAGATCGGGCCACCCACTCCACACTCGGAGCGCAACTCATGCCGATCTCTTGAGCACCAGACCCCTTTGTTGATGAGCGCCAAGCTCAACTTCTCCAACATGCCAAGTACAACGGCCCACATGATACATCCGCCGAGAACAGCGGTATTATGAAACGGCGTTTTTAGAGCAGTTAGCTGTTAAAGAATTCTGCTGCCTGATCCCAAGCTTGCCGCATTAAGGTTATTCGTTGCACGGGGCTTTAATCTCCCCAGTGCCGAGAAGCTTGGCCAATCTTGCGTCGCTTGGCACGAGAACAGGCGGTATGCCACAACAAGCTTGATTCGACTACGGATCGAGGTTGTGAGTCGTGACGTTCAGGTGGCGGGAGGCCATTCATGATGTGGGCGTGGTATGATCCAGCCTCGTTGATCTTGATGGCTGGTTTAATATATCTAGGCCAGACATCGACGGATACACTTCGCTATGCCCCTGGACTAGATAGTCAATGGGCTGAATCTCCCTGACAAGTTCAAAAATGATTGACTTTGATGAAAGTTGTTATCCAGGTTATGCAGCGTTGCCTATAGCATATTATCCTCCGCCCCGGATATAGAAGCTATTGTCCGGACCTGCTATATTGAGTGACACTTTGGCAGGTCGCATCGCCCATGATCTCGCTGGCTGATGCATCTAGAATGTAGCTCATGTGCCCGTCTTGTATGTGTGATTTCCACAGGGTTGGGCAACCCAAGAAACCATATAGGCTTCCTCATTGCTTACAACTCCACGCAGGAAGCCGTCAACGTCTTGTCTTCATACCCAGATGATTCATCTACATAATTACTCATACAAGTGTTCCAATACATTATACTCTGTCCATATGTTTTGTTCCAGATGATTGAATATAGGCTATAGACAGAGAAAACACATTGCAAATACACACATGACTGTGTCTGTCCCAATATCTAGGATTTCCCGAGGACGATCACGCTTCGTTACACACAACTCTCCGTTTGTGTCAATCGTCATGAATATGAAACCCAGCTGATATATATCCCCAGGCCCTCAGCAAGGCGGGTTGCTTGGGTGAACAGATTGCACTCACTTATCTGGAGCACACGTTGACTGGGGATCGCGTCCCCGTTGGTAAGAAAACCGGTTGCAGATCTCGCCATGTTCATACCAGACACGTTGGGTGAAGATAAGATGAACATCTGGGGCCCAAATATAAGTGTCATTTCAAGGATTCCAGCCATAGAAGGAGTGTAGAGTCAAAAGAAGCACTGAAATAGAGCACAATAAGGGGGAAGAAGATCCTAAGAAGGTCGCACCGGTCAATATCTAGCGAGGTAGACGGAACGAATGGATGTCACACTCGTAAGTTCATTAGATACAGTAATACATACATATTCGGTATCTAATCAAGTAATACGCCTTGCTGTCCCTGAAGCACTCAGTGAGATGAAACAACAGCGATTGGCGTTATCAACTTGTGATGGAATTCGTCCCCGGGAAAAGTCACAGCATCTTCGGCCATGGCCTCCTCGCGGATTAAACCAATAGCGACTTCCATATTAGCACGCCTTGCTTGCTTCAGATGTTTCAACTTGAGCGACCAGCTTGGTGGACTTTGCGAACTGGGTGTATTCCACGCTCGGTTGAAGCCGCAATGCGTCCAGGGGCCGAAGAGTAATTTGGCAAACCGGCCATCCGATTGTCCAAAGTAATTCGTAGGCATCTTGTCATTTACACCTGCCCATCATCTCCCCCATTGTCCATATAATCCACGGGGCCACATCCTAATTTCACGACGCTGTCATGGTCCCTCGCCTCCTTTTGGGCCAGCCGTCACCAGTCATACTCATATCTGAACCTCTGAACAAATATGATTCACATGTAGTACTTTCCTCTTCCACGGGGGCAGCAGGGCACCCTCTTGAAAAGCAGTATGTAGGGGAATCGCCGCTGACGATACAGCTGCAGGCGTTGGAGAAAACCATAGACGACCAAAGAGCTTGGGGTTGGTGCCTTATGAAGAATATGAGGCGTATAATGAAGGAGGCAGTAAGGATGGGAAAGTGAGGCCCGAGAATTGCTGGCTTGGTACCGAAGCTTACTCGGTCTGCGAAGAAATGGTAATCGATTAGGACATGTGAGTTGTAATGTGCCAGAGACTCATGACTGAATATCGCCAACTGTACACAGTCACACACAGAAAAGGGGATGCTTGATTTGACTCCCGTGTACTTTCCTTGATCTCCCGCTCTTCGTGTTCCTTCCACCACATGTTTACGCTGCTGCGTTACTCATCCCAGCCTTGATTCACTGGGCCACAGAATCATCATGCTTCCAATTCACCAACATTTTGTGCACCGAGTATGCAGTCACAGAGAGCGCCAGAAGCAGCAGACAGTCGTTCCTCTTCACGGCTCGATTTGATACGTGGTCACTAATTACATGGCCAACTACAGCAATTACGCGCTGGCTCCGTTTGCCAGTCGTACCCGTGGTACACAAGCTCGACAATGTGCATTTGTTCAAAACAGCCTCCATCCGACATTCACTGCATGGACATACTCCTTTGGTCTCGGCTTCTCGCTACCTCACCTTTTGTTACGCTTGGGCTGCACATCACGGAATGACATTTCTTCGACACCGGAGCGATCCGAGTTCATCACATCCACAACGACATATATAAAGCCCTCGCCAAGCCCGTACGATAGCACCAACAGCTCTCTCATGCGAGGTGTTACAGCATACAGATAATGGCAGATTACCGTCTCCTCCAAACATGGAGCAGCAGGATCCTCATGACGACCTCAGCCCCCTAGCCGATCTAACCTCGGCTGCGCAAGAACGGCTGAGCTACGTGAGGGCCCAGGGATCTCGACGACTATCACGCCAGGCCGTTCTCAACAGGTCGCTGAGTTTTGGTCGCCCAAATTTCGAGCCCGTCGTACCGTCGCCCTTGGGTCAGCCGAGTTGGAATCAAGAGAGTGTGCCCTCGCCAGAGTCGCCGGTTGAGCAGAACAGCGACGATGACGGACCGCGTCTCGATCAAGGTTACGACAAGGAGCCAGTCGTATTGCATCCGGCCGGCCTAGAAAGAGTATCTCCCGAGGTTTGGGCCCGTTGGTATGTCGAGCAGAGAGATGATGGGTCAGCGCAGGCTGCCGGCGTTACGGAAAGGTCAGCGTCTCCGATACAGTTGCTTTCAGAATATTCAGATCCAGACTTTACAAATACCTCTTTTCCATTCTTCTCTCCACAGGAGCCTATAGGGCCGCCTTCACGGTCACCTGCTGCCTCGATATCATCCCGGCTGGATTCACTGCCGTTGGATGCCTCCAGTACCGATCCGCCGCGACCCCCTTCACCGTCTACCGCCACGTCTAATACCTCCGGCAGATGGACAAGTATTAACGCTCCATCGACGTCCATTGAGAGAGGTGCATCTTTGGGGAATAGTATTCGGCGACCAGTTTCACCAGCGCTAGACGGCAGCTCAGCAGACCTATCTTGGCTGTTGTAGCATCTGCCACAAGGCTCTGATTCAGTGTGGGTTCGTATTAAAAGGGCCCTGGGTAAACGGTAGAGAATGTTTTCTATATTTATGATAATGTCAGCGGCATAGACAAGGAAGCGCAAGCAAAAGAGGTGGTGGACAGTTGTTAAATCCGATCTAGACAGTTCTCAACTCGCCATCAAATAGCAGCAAATCAACCCGCCTCTCTTATAGTTCTCAAACAATTATCTCGGTGCCTCAGTTTATGTCAGTTAGGGGAAGAGGGAGACAAATCCTTTATCTTGCTCTGTCTTCGCATGCCCTATTGTTGCCAGTAACCCTAACGGTTGCCATTTCTTGCCATTCCACTGCTATGAGAGATGTACACAACAAGAACGAAAACGTACAGGTTTTCATAGAGTACACACAATTAATACGTCGTCTCCAGTGATATTTACCAAGCATGAGCACTTGGCAGCGGAACGATCATATCCAAAAACTGCACAAATGACGCCCACGACGCTCCCGTCTTTCATGGCAAGTGACGCAATTGCATCAGAATTGTAACTGCAAACTAAAACGCATAATGGCTCCAGTTTATACTTTTGCTTTCGAAGTTCTTGGCTCTTTGATGGCCGCCTTGTGCCGCCAACGCGGTGGCAACAAAGTCGAGTCAAATCCAAGTCGCATTTGATGATGCCGAGGGCACAACACAAACGATCCAGACAATCCGCCAAGGATCTGAACAGGCCCAGATACGGGATGTGGTAGCTACAGAATCGGATCGGGCGCTGTTATCACGTATTCACTCCATTTACGTCGAGATTCCATGTAAGTGGATTTGTATGCCAAACCACCAACCCGCATCTCGGTACAGACTGATTACCGAAGGTTTAAAAAAATGGTAGTAACAATGTCCTTGGATATCTTGGATGATAGAAATAAAGATTATTCGGATAAACCAGTCGCTCGCTCGTGGACGTGGAACTATGCAGATATTCTATAGTAATCAGTCTGCGATGGCGTCACGCATGTTCCACGAGAAAGCTCACCTTGAATACCAAGCTCCAAACCAAGTTCTACAAGACATCATCGTCTGCAAGCAACATGATGGTTTCTCGCTGTCCTGCTGAGAAATTACTCCGCCGGCCGCAAGCCATCATGTTAGTAGCATAGCATAACGCCGAATGCAGCATCACAACACTTGGAAGACCATGCCACATCAATAATGGCACACAGCTTTCCCCTACGCCGACATCCTTTGTACTCGGCCATTCTAGGTAAAAGTCCACTCCCCCCGTGCCAGTCTCATAACCCCGCACGTCGATCAGACGTCCACAACTCTGGGGAAGCATGGTTAATCCTAGATTCCGGGTAATCTCAAACTTCCCGAAATTAAGAGTTCAAACGGCATCCTCATTATCCTCGGAACTCCAACGGTCCCCGAGGACATCTCCGAACGCACTACGGAGTAGACGGCTAATATATCCCGCCGTGGCTGCCGCGTCCCTGGGACTACATCAAGCCACTTCGTCTCGCTCACCACGGTGTGAACCCGGGATGACCCGGCCTCGTCAGCCCCTTGAATAACAACGTTTCACAATCTTCCATCAAATTACCCCAACGGGGATAGTTACGTGGGGTGCGTGACTGATCATTGTTTGTGTGGGCGATGTGACGACGGATACTACCCCCATTTTGAATCTAGACATGGACCTATGGGTGGGAGATCAATTGTGGACTGATTTAAGCATAATGTGTTGGGGACAAGAAGATGGAGTTGGTGTTTCAACACGCGAATGAGAGAACTTGAAAATGCGGTATTGTATCAACTGTATTTGGGCGGTCAATGATTCGATCCCAGCGCCGCCAAGACATGTTCAACCGTTGTCAAGAATATTTTTGCCATGAAGTCGCAAAATGGTATTCAGCATGCAAATTCTTCAAATTATAACCAAGAAATCTAACCTAATGACGTGCTATCGTCAAAAAAAGGAGAGGAGGGTATCATAATCTATGCAACCGTCGTGGTCTTCCTCTCCTCAATGTGCTGTCCAGCGCCGTGTGTCTCTTCAGCAATACGCTGTTTCTCATTATAAGCCATGTCCTGCTGTTCAGCGTCCCGGTTGCCATGCAGACCAATCTTATACCAGGGGAGATCGAACAGGCGATCCATGCTCTCGAGGGTGCGGCCGCTGGTCTCAGGAACAGAGAACCAGACCCAGACGCCTCCCAGGATGGTGACCGCCGCAAAGCACCAGAAAGTGCCCATGGGTGAGATACCACCGTCAGAAGTGGGAAGCAGCATATTGGGGACAGCACGAGAGTTGCCGTACTGGTTGGCGAAGTGCAGGGTCATGGCCCACGAGGTAGCCAGAGCACGAATTCTCAGGGGGAACAACTCTGCAGTCAGCAAGTACTGCATCGAGTTCCACCCAAGAGCCCATCCGCAGCCTGAGACATAGATCATAGCAATGGCTCCACGGCTGGCGGGGACCTTTGAAGCAGGCAGGACATAGTGTTTGACAGTGCCCAGCTCAGGAACAGCCGTCAAGAAACTAGCGACATAGATCATGGAGATAGCTTGCAGGGTGATACCAGTGAGCAGCGCACGCTTTCGGCCAATGACATCCACCAGGAAGAGGGCGCAAAGCACCGCCGAAACAAGCTTCACAATACCAAAGACGGCAGTGACAAGAAGGCCCTCCTCGCTACCGGTGATGCCGAGAATCTCGAACAGATCAGGTGCGTAGAGGGTGATGGAGCCAGCGCCGGACCATTGAGACAGCAATTGGACCATGGTGGCGAGGTAGACACGGTAGAGGTTGCTCTTGTCCAGGAACATCTCTTTGAGCTTGCCAGCCCAGCCAACCCCCTTGGTGGCTTCGAGCTCATGGTCCAAGGCGGCCTGAATACTTGCGATTTCGCGCGTGACGTACTCGCCATCGGGCGCCTGCTTGCGCAAACGAGCCATGACATGAGTAGCCCTCTCATTCTTGCCCTGTTTGACGAGGAAGCGGGGAGATTCGTATTGCATAAAGGTCAAGATGAAAATGATGCCGGCCATCATGATGTGCAAACTTGTGGGGACAAGCCACTGATTGTGGCTTGAGCTGGGGATGTTGAGCCTGCAGCCATAGTTGGTGAAGTATGCCAAGACGATGCCGATGTAAACAGCTCCGGTGAAGAAACATGTGCAAAGGCCTCGAACGGAAGCGGGCGCGACTTCGGCAATATAAATAGGGCTATTTCACAAACCGTCAGCAAATTAATTCATACACATGAATCTCTTCCGACAGAGCTGCCCGGCGGAGGAGGCTGAGCACCTCAACACCACGAGCCCATCCATGACCAGGAAGAAAAGAAGGCGTTGTAACTTACCCCACGACAGGGGTCTGTCCCACGCCAAGGCCTGCAATAAATCTCCCCGCATAGATGGCGCCGAGATTGCCATTGACACCTCCGATCATGAAGATGATGATGCCGACGACCCAGAGGACGCAGAGGAACCGAGTGGCCATGATGCGGCCGATGCGATCGCACACAAGGAAAGCACTATGGTTTGTCAAAATGTCAGCCAATGCGCACCGCCAAATGGTCCACGCTCTTTTTCAAAAAAGCTGTCGCGTGGTGCAAACCAGACAGCTCACGCGCGCACATGACGCCACGGCTGCAGCGTCCTGCACAAACCATGCAAGCCAAAGGGAGACAGACGGATACTTACATCAAAGCACCGGCGACGGAACCAATTTGCACCATGGCCGACACATTGGCCTTGATGTTGGCTTGCTCGACAGAAGAGAAGGACTTGTAGTCGATGGTTGACTGGAAATCAGGCGAGTTGAAGGCCCCGGAGATGAGACCCTCGTCAATACCACGAGCAGCACCGAGAAGACCAAAGGACACCACGGCAAACCACAGGCGCCAATTGAAGACCCCGTCGGGTTCCCCAAGGTTCCCAAGGCGGAAGATGTTGACGGGTTTTTTCACACCGCCTGCCATGATGCTGCGGTGCTTTGGGTAGGCTCTTGGTTGATGAGACGAGTCGAAGACTGGGGTATAGGAGAAACTAGAATCAGAACCACAGAGACGCTTTCTTGACAAGACGCAACGAAGAACGGTGCACGCGGCGACAGGTAGGCGGGTGTTGTGACCTTCATATATGTATGCACTCCGTAAATTGGAGGAATTTTCTGGGGTCTGGGGTTTCGCGTTCTGGGGTCTGGGGAACGAAACAGGCCCGAATGACCGAAGTCGCAACCTCTTTCCCAAAGCATAACCTTAACCGTGGAGAAATGAACAAGCCGGACTGGACATATATACCCCGGTCTATTCTCTCATGCGGCAAACCAGTTCCAGAGGCTCACAAGACGGCCAGAGCCATGGTACTCCTAGCTTCTGCTCAATACCCGAGTCGGCAACTGGGCGCAGATTCAGCCACCGTAACAGGGCCGAATCAAAGGATGGGGGAAGCACACGAGACTATCCAGGGATGCAAAGGTAAACGGTGCACACGATCATGAGAGACGACCTGGAGGGGGCGGGCCATTGATGCACCGACACATGCTTGTTTGACTAGTAGTAGTACTAGCAGGCAAAGATCCAAGTGCTTTGGTCTGTCGGTGTGTCCATCGTATGCTGAGCATACATATGTACCGTAAGGCATTGCCTGCTTCGAGAACAAACTCTAATCATTCCTAGGGGCTGCAGATTTCGTGGCGGCGCCGCGCGCGATTTTGCCGGCATGGTTCATGGTCCGCCGGCATGAGGCCACAAATCCACCTCAAGTTCGCCAGCTGACTCAAAATAGGTCGGGGGCGAAATACCAACAATGGTATTCGCAGAGAGAGAGAGGCCACCACAACACCGGACATTTTCGAAACCCACACAGAACTCGGACAGCAGTCCGGGGCGCCACGCTGGTCTGGTGGGTCGAAGCATGGCGGGTTCCAAATGTCCAGCCGCATGAATTGAATGCATTAGTTGCTCGTCTTAGCAGGGCAGCCGAGGTCGGTGGCTGCTCGTCGCTTTTGTTCACCTTCACACCTGGGGTTGTGGGCTTCCACGAGGCGCGACACACTGCGATGTGACTCTGGTCCTGGTGACGATGTTTTACATTGGTCAACTTTGTTGTCTTCTCCAATTTTAGACATTAGCTCTGCAGTCAGATGTCAGATGAAAGGTGCCAGAAAGAAGAAAGAAGGGCAAAGCCCAGAGTCGGTGGTGATCTGCCGGTTGTCTCCAGAGGGCTTCCCATGGACATCTCTCATCATGTTTTTTTGTTGTTGACTGTCCCGACCGTCTCCGCACAATCCACCTCTTTACTCCAGGGATAATCCAACCCGGACAGCCAGACCGACGCCATTCTACACTAGACTGCTGCTTTCAAATAGCCGCATGGTTGCTCCCCACGTCGCCAAGAGACCCCCCCACGAAGAAGCCCTCCGATTTGGGGGTAGACACGAGGTGACGAGCCGCATCACCACCATCTAGGCCGTCAGGCATCGCAAGCCGCCATTGTTAAGAAACCTATATCTCGGCCAACGTCCGACATCCAGGTCTGTCGTTAGCCAGCAACTATTTTCTCAACAGCCCTCGTCCCATCTCCGCCACAGGGCGCGCAACGCAGCGCTTGCCCTGTCTCGTCAATGACGTTATTGGAAAGCGCCTGTGGGATGTGGGTTGCCGATGAGTTGTGTGACCAGTTTGCTGGTTCTGACCCCTGGCTCCAGGTGGGTGAGGGGAAGTTGGTTTGCCCACAATCCAACAATACCTGAACCCCTTTGAAAACCACCAATCACTTTAGAACAAAGGGTAAAAAGCCCTGGTGCTCGAGTGGTGCCACTGCCGGGTTTGGTGCATGATGGTGGTAAGTCCAGGGCAAGCATAACCAATGGTCCGTATCATCTTGACTCGCTGTCGTAACCTTCGAGGGTGGCAATGACTGCTTTCCATTTCATCAAGTTAAAAAAGCCAGAGTTGCAATTCTGCCGCAATAAGGTTATGGCACACATCAAAATTGCATCATACGGTACACAGAATCTTCCGATATGCTGCATTGCGATTCCTTGATGCCATTCATATTGTTGCTCCGGATGTATTGCCTGTATTTGCGATGACTTGTCATTAATGACTTGGACAGCATCGTTTCGTGTGCGGAATGAATACCTTCGTCAGTTATGAATAGTCAATTCGTATATCCAGCTATTAGACAGCGGTAGTTGCAAATATTGATGCTTAATGTGGATCGTGACGATCAACTGAGAAGCATCTGACCATGTACGCCCAGACTCGAGCCGCATCCATTGCCTGCAAGCCATCACGTAAGTGGGATTGATTCCGTCCGCCACCACAGATGCCGTCGGGCAAGCCGGCAATCCGCCAAGTTTTTCGGAGGCAGGCAGCGGACGGAACCGCTTTTGTCCCCTCTTGCTTACTGCCCCGTTGCGGTTCAACTTCAGTTCAAGTCTATCCGATTCATTTTCGCTAGTTGCAGGGTTCGTCGTTGCAAATAAACCTCGCCAATTCAGGGCAGTTTTAAGTCGGCATTCGTGTTATGTCTGGTAACCTGACCTTACCGCCATTTCATTACCAGACACTGCCAAGAGAGCCGCTGAACTGATTCTCGTGTATTGTCATACAAGATAAAATGGTTTCGCCAATCATGTGGTTCTGGAAGCAACGGATGCAAGGATCCCTATGCGTCAGACAATGACACATGACGCCCGTGGTTCACGTTCATCTCCCGAGCTTGCAGCTACGCCCAATATCGTGCCCAGATATCATGCTCCTTCTTCGTCCCAAGGAACTTGAACTCTAATTCTACTATGTCTTGAAACCCCTCCTTGATTTGTGGTGCTTTATATCTCGAGGCGAAGCCCGTGAAGGCTAGTTTTGGTAGGCGTTGCCTTGCTTCCGGATTTAACGACTGATTGTGAGCTCGAACTGCATCATTGTGCTCACAAATATGAAGCGGTGTCTTGAACCAAACGCATCGGATGGGGACCTTCGCTTTGGACGCAATATCCACCCACAACGCGCGTGTTTCAGGGTCAGCATTCGTATTATCTAGCACTTTGTCAGCTCTTTGTAGCATAACAATCGAGACCGTGATGCACACCCACCAACAGCGACGGAGCTTCCCTCAGACAATAACTCCCTGGCAGCCTGAAGACATTTATCCCGGCTTTTAAGAGAGTCCTGGTTGACTCTCTCATACCCTAATGGCCTGAGATACCTCCAAAAGAATGTGCTCTTTCCAGCTCCCGGTGGCCCGCAGAATAATACCACATCCTTTTCATTCTTCCTTTCAAACACTTTAGAAGGTCCCTCAGACGAAGATACCGCCTCGTCAAATGGAAATTGTGCGACGTCAAAATCTCGAGCAAAGTCCCTTGGCTTTTCCCCCAAAAAATATTCCTCTGGAGTTTTGTAAGTAATTCCCGCATTGTGGGCAAAGTTCCTATCCGAGCAGCTGAAGTCTTTGGCTTTTGCCACGAGACCCTCACTACCAGAACCGCTGAGACCAGCAACTCGACCGCCCGCATCGCCCACGAAGAAGCTGTGTTCCAAGTCGACCTCGTTTTCTGGGATGTCGTAGTCTTCGCAAACTTCCTTCCACATTCCTGTGTTAGGTTTCCTGTAAATATCCCTTTCGGTTGCGGCGTAAACACTTATCGGGATATCAAGACTGTTGAGAATAGCACTGCACTTTTGCTTGAATTCGGTAACTCGCTTCTGGACATTTGCCTTTGGGCCTTTATATGATGGATCGAAATGCAACGTCATTCCTCCCTGGTTGGATAAAATGACAACTTGATAGTCCTTCTCCTTGTATAATTTTTGGAGAATCCCGGGAACTTGTGGGTGCCACCACTTCCAATCTGTCGCATCACTCGCATGTTTCTTTCCAGAGCTGGTCGTGATCAAAGTAGAATCCAAGTCGAATGCTGCAATCTTTCTTCTGGGCTTCTGCCCGGAATTGTGTGCCTCAGGTACATATCGACCGACTAGCAATGTGGCAGGAACATCGTCATTCGGACCGCGTTCAGACCAAGTCGTTCGATCCTTAGGCTTTTGTGAAGTTGGAGTAAAAAAGTTGGCTACCGCTGACTCTGAGCAGTTCAGTCAGTGAATCTTTGTCACTGGACCTGCATGTATACGAATACCTACTAGTCGTTGTGCTCTGCAGAGACCGTTTGATAGGAGGGGGCGAAATGGGTGCTTCCCCAGCTTTCCGTTTGCTAGCAGAATGTGATGGCGCCATGCTATGAAAATCGCACTCTTGCAAAGTATCATATGGCTAAGCTTTACGCAAAATATAATTGCAGTCAATCAGTGGCATTAAACCAAGCCAATGTGGTACAAGATGAAGTTGCTGTCTAAAATTCAGGATGCGCGTGAGCAAAACGGCTGCACGCGAGACGCTTAACGCGCGATCACGTGCTAGGTGGGCAAGTAAATTGTCCCACAACAGCCTAGGGTCGTGGACCATTCACGATCTGATCTTGATAATGATCTAACGCAACAGAGGGCGAATTTATGCAAACCGAGAACATCTATGACATTTTCCCTGTTTTAGATGAGCGTTTGAGTTTCGAGCAGGCCTATTCCCAAATTGCCCGGCTCAGACGTGACTCTTTCGCCAAGGATACTCGCCTCGGTACTTGAGGCCGCCTGTTTGATAAATCGTCCTCGCGTATACCCAGCACATCGCCATCTCCTCATAATGTACGAACTATTCCTCACAGCCTTGGTTGAAGACAAGGACTTCAACGCAGCATGTGCTGTCCTAAGTGGCTTCTGTGCCATGTCACCCTGGGAGACTGTGAACAGAGTGCTCTACTTGCAAGGGCCTCCAAGACCTAGCGGCATCACAAACCAGTCATCCATTGATAAGCCCCTACGGAAAGACCTGGCATTACTATGGAAAGAGCTTCATCAAAGCCTCAGCCGCCAGTCATGTATCCTTCAGGTTAGATACGAGATTGTTAAAGACCGAGACATGGGCCCCTCTGCGGCACCTATGGATTTGGACAGCATGCCTGGTGTATTGCGATGGGCAGATTTCCCAGATCCTCCCCATGGAAGACCATTGCTTACTCAAAGAAAAATGGTGGAAATTTGGGAGCAGAAGAAGCTTCTGCCAATTATGCGAGATAATAATTATAGGTATGCAGGGTCTCAGATTAGGGGAGACTTCCGCCCAGCTGACATGCGCCAGGTTTAAAACCGAAATACTGGAGGAAAATTACAGGTTTTTTCGAGAAGAAATAGAGTTCTGTCTTACTCGACAGTATTTCCTGAGATCGATTGGCGATTATGCGCCATTAGAGTCCAGAGGTGGCCAGCAACCAAGTCCTCTCACATCACTACCGGCCTGGGATGCTGTAACTCCAGTCGACATGCAAAATCGCTGGATCCTCCTAGTCAAATCCCACGTTGTCCAAGACAATAAACCAGACGACATAAAACTAGCTCAAGATCAATTGTTGTCGATTCGGGGAGAGCTAGAGGGGGCATTTGACTTCAAGATAATTGACCGCAAGGTCCATGATACCCGGATAGCCCAACAGCAGCAAGGGATCCAAGCCTTGCCCCAGAAGGTTATGCTAGGCAAGGCTTAATACCAACTACGTGAGAACCCTGACTACAAGTAGTTCTTCGTGGCGCCTCGAAGGTGTAACAACAGCCGGTTGTGCTCATCAGATCAACATGTTGCATAAGCTGGACTTGCTCCATGCGATATGATTGATGCAGCCGCCCTTCAAATTACCTCGAACTAGAAGACATTATCAGGACAGCTACCTCGGTGGCCATCAAGATCACAAGGGGCTTCAAATAGCACCCCATCAATTATAACGTTGGTGGCAAAGCCTAATTGGCAGTTAAAAGGTAGATAGGATTTAAATAATTATCGTGTCAAACCATTTCAACTTACATCCCTCGCCCGTCCGACTTTTCAGTCATTCAATAACACAAGCACCAGAAATATACTTCGCAATAGTCCTAATCTTCACAAGAGTCGTGTATGCCTTGATTGGTGTCTTCTGGCTAGGTGAACTATTTTCGAGATTTCTACCAACAATTTGAACCAACGAATCCTCGGTGTGTGTCAGAGTCAGACTTTAATCTTCTTTACCATTTAGTACGAAGAAGATTTTAGCTTGTGTTCGGTTGGAGGCAAGAGCATTGACTAATATACAGCAACGCCCACATTGATGGTGTCGGGGCGTTTTTGAGAATTGATACGAGATTTCGATACTTCAGCTGTAAAGCTCCTTCAATATGCGCGAAATTACGGTTATTTACTTAACCTATCGCTATATTTGTGCTCTCAACAGGAGAGGTCATCCAAAGCTTTAGCTCAAATATCGATGCAAACAATGATCAGATAAAGTCCTCCATGAGGCAACCATCCTGGACAATGTACAAAGACTACCAAACATGGCCCTTGCTTTGCTTTATTCCAATCACATTAATGTCTCGCCAAATCATGACCGATACGAGGCCAACAACCCAAACCGACGTGCCTACAGCCAGCATCCTCATCTGAGCGTCTCCATACGCATGCTGAATTGCCAGGCGTGCCGGGGAGGCAACTGGATAAGACAGTTGGGTCGAGATATTGGCATATATTTTTTCCAGGTTAGGGAGCTCTTCAAGAGGAAGGTATTCCCTCAGCTTATTAGGAAAGACACTTTGCCAGATTGCAGAGGCAATGGTCAGGCCGACGGCACCGCCAATGTTACCAAACATCCCCAACACTGCGAGACAAACAGCGACATGTTGGTGCGAAGCGGCGGCCAGAATGGCGACTTCGTCACAGACCATAATAGTGCCGGCAGCAATAGAAATCAGTATCTGGCACATGATGATGTAGCCAACACTGCTTTCAATTTTGCAAAAGTACATCATCAAGCCCGAACCGAGGATGCTGAGCGGGATTCCAATATAAAGACAGACTGGTTTAAACCGTCCAGTGCAGTGAATCAAGGCGCCGACCATGATGCCGCACAGAACCGAGCAGACTGTGTAGGACTGTACGACGTAGCTAGCGTTTTCGACGTTGAGGTCATTAACAACTTGCAGGTACGAGCTGAAGAAGCTATTCCAGCACCAGAAACTAACGAATAGCGTAGCCGACAGAATACAAGCACCTAAAACAGTGCGGTCAAGGAGCAGGGGAAACGGTATAAAAGTGATGGAGGCATAATACCTCTCCCAGATGGCGAATGCAATGATGAGGAGAAGGCCAATAAACAGCATTGCGACGACAAGCGGGGAGTTCCAACCATGAAGCGCATATACGTTGAACGGCATAAGAAGCACCGCGACACCCGCCGATAGCAAAACGAGGCCCACGGCGTCGAACTGCCGAGAGTAGTAAATGAGGGATTCCCAGGCGGTGCGGTCACTCTCGCTGTCGCCTTTTGCCACAAGGCCCAGGTCCTTGGCTTTTCGAAAGTTGGTCCATAAAAGGCCGAAAAGCGGGAGCGTAATAGACGGCACGAGAATTGTGAACATTGCAAACGCCCAACGCCAGCTGGATCCGTTCAGGAACGCAGAGGATATCGGCCCAGCCAGCCAACAGGTAATCAAATTCGGAGAGCTCACGATGGCCTGCATGAGACCCCGATTGCGCAGTGAAGAGGTATCGGCGACGAAGACGGTCAGACTATAGAGAATGCCGTTGTTTCCAACTACTTGGAAGACCTGAGCGATGGCGTACGCCTGGATACTGCGGCATAGGGTCATCATAATAAGCCCAGCCACGGCGACAACTATGCAGAAGAGGTATCCCTGCGGCCGGCCAAAGACGTCGAGGACCTTGGCAAGAGTGAGATTGGTGACGCCGCCGATAACATTGCTCAGGATACCAACGGTTGGTGTGAGGGAGTGCCTGGCAAAATCAGACGTGACATAGGGCGTTAGGATAGCCGTGGTGCCAGTCAACATGCCCTCGACGAAGTAAGTGAGCCATATCATCACGTAGGCAAAGACCAGGGCGCTAGTGGTCCATGCCACCGTCATGGCCTCGACGTCCTGCACACCAGACTGAATGTCAGAAGCCCGAATGGCGTCTTCATTGCCATCATCGTTTCTATCGACATCGTGATCGCTGAGGAGACTTGAGCTTTCGTCGCTGTCGAGGGCAGCGTAGGCTCTGGGTTGTGTGCCAACTTGAGAATTGACGGCCGACACCATGCTCTTCTCGCTTTGCGCGGCAAAGCAGGCCTCGATTGAATAAACAGCACCAACAAGTGAGGTGGCCGGTCAAAGGCTCAAGGCTGTCAAATGTGAATCTGCTGGTGAGTGGAGAGGTGCCTGCGCGAGCAAGTTTATGCACGAGTGAGTGAGCAAGGGAGAAAAGGGGGGGGGGCTCAACAGACGCCAGGCACAGTAATAGCTATTGCTAGCCTCGCTAAAACTACGACTCTCCCCGATATTTTTGTTGACGCTGCCTGTTTTTTGTGAGTTGGGGGATGCAAAGGGCAGCTCAGCTCATGGCGTGGGGAGTGGGAATAGGAATGGCGGAGTAAAACTTGCTCACATCACCCAAGATAAGCATAACTTGCTCAAGCGGCATGGGTCGAGTCCGACTGTATACGGAATTGTATCACCGCAGCCACCGGAACGTTTGAGAGAAAATCTCACCACGGTCGGAGAAGACGGGGTGATTTACACAACATGTTGAAGACTACCTGGGAGCTCTACCCGGAAGACGATCTATACTGGTATAGTTGTCCATGACACCTTTTCAGTATTTCAAGTTTTTACTCGCCCGGAACCATACAGAATCTGTAACATGTTTATTTCACTTTTATTTGAATAAACTATAAAATATAAATTACGCCCAACAGTCTAGTCCCTCGCTCCGTGTATCGTGTACATGACCCAAACGTAGTTAGCAGCAAGTATCCACGAGATCCGCGTACTTTGTAAACTCCTCATCCGCATTCAGCATGTCCAACTCCTCCGGGTGCGTGCCCAAAACCAGCTCAACCCCCCCATCCTTCTTCATGGGAAAAATCACAAGAAACCTGAAGCGGCCGTTGCCACGCTCTATCTGCGGCCGCATAGACTCAGGGGAACCCTGGTTGGCGAAGAACCCGTCTCCAAAGCAAACCTCGCTCATTGGGAACAGCATCATGTTGGATATCATGGCGTGCATGTGCTCGAGGCCCATATTTGCAGTCGAGAATCTGCCATGGTCAGGGAGAGACTGCAAGAGCGTGAATGCATCATGCACGAGAGAAGGGGTGATGCGCGCGGCAGACTGACGCAACAGGTACGCAACTTGCCCGATACTTGTCTCCGGAGAGCACAGTTCTCGTATGGGCATGCTGGACCGATTCAAGATGAGAAGACTGCCCATATAAGTCGATGGTAGTAGTGAGGAAAAGTAGGGCCGGCCGTCGGTAGGCAGCTCGAGGATGGACATGTCTTCAGGACCAAAGGTTTGTCTACGAATTTCCGTAGCAACGCGGTATCGCGCCCGAATAGCTGCTCGCCAGAAAAAGGCTTGCAAGATGTCGCTGATGGACGTGATGACCCCCTTGGCCTCGGGGTCTGCCACGACGTCCTGCTTCATCTGCTCCAGCTTGTCGGGCCCGATCGAAAACAACGTAGTCTTCAGGCATCTCTCAGCGCGAGGAAGGGGCCATACGGAGTGCAGGGGGAATACAGGTCGAGGACTCAGAGTCCATTCGTTTGGCGCCTCCTGCCGAACGACGGGTTTGATAGCCATCGAGTTCTTCTCATCGGCCACGCGGGGAGACTCGTCCTCGGGGGGGAAGAATGGCAGAAAGCCCCATGTGCCCGGGTCGATTTCGTCAAGAGGCCGAGTCCAACCTTCCTGCTCGTGAATTATCTCGGGCAGGCTGTGGTTGAAACTCTCTGGGTCGTACCAATCGCACGTTGCCGACTTGTCGCCCTGGAGATATCGGCAGTTCTCGGCCCAAGCCTTGATGGCGACCATGACGCCGAGGCCGTCGAGACAGCAGTGATTTAGCTCGACGGCGATGATGCACCCCCCTGAAACGAAGTTGACCTGGCCGGCGAAGATGTCGGCGGGCATCTTGGGGAAGGGGTCGTCTCGCAAAACAAGACTGTCCTTGAAGGCGGACGGTGCAAATCCCGCTTCTCGCAGCTCTGCAAACGACGGAAGAACGCTGGAGAGATCCTTGTATTTCAGTCTGTTGCGGACAGACGCCGCCATGGGTAAAGAGGGAATGGTGACGCAGAGGTCTCCCTTGGTGTACCCGATTTCTTGCTCCGAGCGGTTCATCATCTTGCCGCTCAGAGCCGGGATCATATCGAATGTCCGGTTCAGACCTTCTTGCAAGTTTGTAAATACTTGCTCGCAGCTGACTCCTTCTTGTAATGAAAAGTAAAACACAAGGCCCATGCCGTGGTTTGGGTTAACATAGTCCAATGCGTTCAAGGGAAATGATTGTCGAGCTTTGTGCTTGGCAATCATGTTTCGCATCTTAAAGACCCCATCGTCATCATTGTGTGGGACAGACTCGTTTGCTGTCTTCACTGTATCCGCTATGCGTGCAATAGTAGCAGACAGGCTGGCGATTGTGGGATTGGCGTAGATATGGCGAGGAGCAACATGTTCTCCCAACCCCGTGGCAGCCCGAATAGTCTTGACGGCTGCAAAGACGCCCAGGGAGTCCAGCCCGAGATCAAACAGATTCCAATCTAACGGTACTTCCTGAATGTCGGGGAGTGACGATGTGAGAATCTCACGGAGACAAGTCTGAATTGATGTAGTTGATTCCAGGTCGACGAGGAAGTTGCCCGCAACATCTTCGTTGCGAGAATCGTAGAAACGCTCAATGTAGTCGGCGTAAAGGGCCAAGGTAGCAGTGCGCTTGACAGTGCCTTTATCCGTGAGAATAAAAGGCTTGCTGGGCTCTGAAAAAGTAACAAAGTCCTTCAGCAGCTGGTTTCTGTGTCTGGAGAGGGAGTTGGCCTTCTTGACCGTCTCCCAGATGCTGTCGAGAAGACTGTCGGGTTTCGACAAGGGGTCCTTCAACTCTACAAGCAGACCTGCCTGCGGCTTCCCGGTGCCGAAAATAAGACACCCGCTGATTGCAGGGTGAGTAGTAATAAGAGCTTCCGTTTCCAAGGGGGTAATCTTGTAGCCGTTGGACAAGACCACCAGGTCATCGCTTCGTCCCTTGAAAGCCCATAGATTCGGCTTGGTAGGATGTCTCGTGTACAAATCTTTCAAGTTTATCGAGTCCTTGTCCGGAAAAGTGTGGAAGATGCCCTGAAATAAGAGCCAGTGTTGGTTGCGATGCACCCAATGCTCATATGTGCCCTCCTCGACTTCTTTGAACTCAAACCCAGAGTAGGGATGGAAGCAGAACCAGAGCCAGTCCTCCCTCGAGGTCACGAGGTTTCCTATAAACAGACCCTCTGTTGTACCGGTCAAGTTCAGCACTCTTATGACGTCGTTTACCTTGCTGGCACTTATCGGACTGACGGGACCGCCGGATGCGCAGATGAATTTGGACGGCTTCAGCTTGCTCAAGACTTCGGGCGCTTCCCCAACCTCGTCAACAAGAGACGGAACCATGCTCCAGATGTCAATCTTGGCATGCTCTGCGAGAGTTTCGATGACATTGAGATTCGGCAAGACGCCCGCCGGTCCCAAGACACAGTGTAACTCGAACAAGGCGGGCATTAGAATGTCCATTATAATACCAGCACCCTGTATTTCATCGGTCAGTCACCAGGCATGTATCGTTTTAGAGTTAAGAAGAAAGGCGAACGGGTATACATACGTGGCTCATAGGGAATGACGAGTAGATGGTATCGCCTGACCTCCAGTCAGATGTCCATGGCAGCAAATTGTCATCACCATCAACAGGCGGCAGCAGTCGCACCGCATCCATGGTGCCGATCAAGCCATGAGACCACGGAATAGGCTTCGGCACCCCTGTACTCCCAGAGGTATGCAGGAAACAAAACGGCTCGTCGACAGCCTCCTCGAACGACTTGGTATAGGGAAACGGCGCAACCGAATCGACATCAAGCAGCTCATCGAGTAAAGGAAGCTGCAGCTCATCCATGGGACGTTGCCGCAGGATTTCTTTAACCAGGGGCACTGGTGAGACTTCGCCCGCGGTAGCCCAGATGCTGCATTTTGTTGCCTCAAGGACCGCCAATGCTCCCTCGGTATTGTTCTTGGGTGATAGAAACAAGGCCTGTGGTTGACGAGAGTTAGCCGGGCGATTCTATGTTTTGATAGCAAAACTTACTGCGTAGCCAACTTTGACGCAAGCATAGGTCAACAAAATATGTCGCAGGTCATCTTTGAAAGTTAGAGAGTTGGGCTATGGCTGCAACGCAAGACCAGTATCGGGGAAAATCTGGCTCAACTTACGTGGTCCGATATATCCTATAGGTAGGACAGACTCGGGCTTGCCAACACGGTTGTGAAGCCACCATGCGGTCTTGTCAACAGCCTTGGTGAACGTGAGAGCAGATATTTGCTTGAATTCAGGTGAGCCGCCGGACAATGTCGTCAGCGAGAATACAGTACGGTCCGGCTCGGCAACAGCCAAGCTGTCCATGATCTGAGGAATGAGCCTCTTTCCGTATGGAATCGAAGCAGCTCCATTATTGCTTTCCAATAACAAATCACTATTCAACTCATCCTCGGCAGCGGCGTCCCGACTGCAAGATGAAAGTGTCCGAGGAGACGGCGTCTTGGGCGTGGTGGCCGCACTGCTCTTTTCGGTTGCTGGAGGTGTGAGAGAAAGACGACCAGGCGAAGTCTTAATGGGCGTAGATGCTCCGGTGAGATAGCCACTTGCGCTGAGAGGCCTGGCTTCTTGGAGATAGCTTGCTGTCGCCTCACTGATGCCGAGGGCGTCTGGCTCCCGGGGCTTCTCCTTGAAGTAGCTGGGCTGGCCATCCATGTACATGAGCTCCAGCCTATCATCCTTGATGAACTCACCCATGGGGGCGCTGATCCATTCCCCATCGGCTAGCTGAGCAACACTGCAGTGCCATGGGGTCGTGAACCCGGTCTTGGTGTTGAGTAGGCAGATGGAAACCTTGTTGCCAGCCACCGACTCGTGGATTGAGAGCCGTAAATGATTGGGGTAGGCGTTCTTGACAGCACCCGCGAAGGCCTGTGAGGGGCAACTATTTAGTGACGTGCTGAAAGGGATGATGATGCGGCTTCACTTACATGGCCTCGGATCAACATCTGCTTGGCGAGATACTTGCAATCCCTTCTGTAACTATTTGCAGTCCTATCCGCCCCCCTGGGGAAGATGTACTTTAAATCAGATTCCAAAAACCTCTTGTACCCGAGGTAGGTTAGCTTCGTATCGGGATTCGTGGCAATCTCATGGTCAATATCGAGGTCAGCTTTGCCGTACTTGTTCAGCAGCAAGCGGCGGAAAGTAGTGCAGTTGGCAACATAAGTAATCTCGGTCATCTTTTGGGGCAAGGGAAAGTCAAGGAGGTCTTTCATCCTGGAAAAGTTGATAAAGCTGAACTTGTTCTGGGCCGCCAACTTTCGCAGAGCCTCTCCATAAGCCCACGTGTCTTGGTCCGATATACACAACAAATCTAATTACGAGACATAATGTCACTGTATCAGCATTGTTCCTCGTTCCTCAAATGGATTTGTACGTGTTTCTGCGCATTGTAGACTCACCATTGTATGTGATGCCATCCGATATAATGGTGACTTGCGCGCCAGGCTGGTACACCTCCTTTATGCGTGTACACATGGTGTTCAACCGGCAGAGAGCCAGCTCTTCAGCCTTGTCCGGCAGGTTACCAAGAACCTTGTACACCTTGTTGGCAGACTTGAAGGGAAATGCGGGGAGACATGCTTCTACCCGGGTCCCTGCAGCAACAAAGTGGTGTATAGACGACAGGAACGTGTCTGCGCCCTTGGCCAGTCGCTCCTTTGAGTCGTCGAATTTGTTCAGGGCATACTCGACGATGATATCCAAGATTTGGCGAGATATCTCTTCCGATTCAGCGTTGGGCTTTGAAGAGTTGATGGGAAAGGAGCCCTGATCGTTCCCAACAAGGTCTTGTTTGGGAAGATCGTCTCTACGCCTCATGTTGACGACGGCCAATTGCGATGTTGTACTAGAAGAATTGAGTAATGATCCACTGCTTTGACTCAGTTTAGGTTGTATTGTCCAACATCAGTGCACTGCTGATTGGCAAAGCGGTGGGTAGGCAAAGTCCTGGTTTATGCAGATGTGACAGCAGTCACAGGCAGATGTGCGGCCGGACAGTTAAATGGGACTGAAACGGGAACTCTCCATAGTATATGCAAAAAGGCAAAGATGTTTCGGTACTTGTTTTTTATAAGACAGTCCGTCCTGAGGGAGAAAGGCCGACCAAGGAATAGCGAGAGGTCTTTAAGCGAGCCGGGCAAGCCGTGTCCGATGATGACTGACATGGCTGAGCAAGAAACCCTTACAATGGAGCACCTAGGTGTGACACATGGGCCATCGTGAGACATAACGATTTAACTGTGGTGAGCCTCGGGGCCATCTGACACATGGCGAGTTGGTCGGATTCGGCTGAGCACGTTTGAGGCAAATGATAGTAGGAGACTAGGAGTAGCCCCGGCAGAGGAAGGATATACATGCAGCCCTGGGATTTCTAAAACAAAATGAGCTTAATATCCCTCCGGCAGGGCGACCAGCCATTCTTGGCATTAGTAATTCGCCGCCATTGGGCTTCGAACCCGATGTAAGACGGGCTTGGGCTGAAAGTCGTCAAAAATCTCTGGTATATCACAAACACCATTCACCATGTTTTCAGAGCAGCCATTCGTAGCACAACCCTGACGTTGTATCCGACTATTAAAATTCAGAAATCAAGCTTCTCTCGCGCGGTCGCAGTCCTCGCTGACCACGATGCGGCATCTGGAAAAGCTACGCCCTTTGGGTATGTTGATACCCCCGAGTAGATCTGCGACGTAATGCCAAACTTCCCAAGTTAATGCGGCTCTACAGGCAAACTTGAGCAAGTCTCGGCATCTTGCCACCACCTGGGTTTCTTCAACAACATCGGACTCTCAGCTCACTACGCTCTATCCGGGTCTACTTGTCCGGCTGGATTTGACCTGCGCCGTGTAATCTACTCGGCGGCAAGAGATGTGATCCGCAAACACGGCATACTATTTGCCATTCCTGTCAACGAGGACACCCCAGATACTAGTTACTTTGCGTCTCTTTCTTCGATTGATCTCGACCAGAGCATTCACTTCCTCCAACGCTCTCTCCCCCTGGCTGCCGGTACAGACGGCGACGACAAGGAACTAGATGCCATCCTGGAGGACCAGCACAATACCAACTTCAAGTCCGACTATGGCACCTTGCCGTTCTGGCGCCTCGTCATCTTACAAGCACCCGGGGCGGAGACAGAGTTCACAGCCAGCTTCATCTACCATCACGCACTCGGGGACGGAGTTTCTGGCCTCGTCTTCCACAAGGCGTTCCAGACCGCCCTGGAAGCCGCGTGTTCCTCCTCGTCATCACAGTCCGAGGCCGAGTCCAGGGTCACGGCGGACGAGAAAGTCTCGGTCCTCCCACCGGTCGAAGACCTGCACCCTCAACCACTTCCACCTCATCATCCCAACCCCCCTGGCCCTGGAAGCAAGACCCGGAAAGAGTGGACCGCCAATTCCATCCGCATGCCTTGCAGGTCTCGCTGGGCGTCGTTTTGCCTCTCGCCGGGCGTGTCTCGAGCCTTCTTCCAGGAGTGCAAGGGGCAAGAGACATCGGTGACGGCCGCGCTGTCGTCCATCGTGGCGTCGGTCCTGTTCACGACGCTCCCAGAGCCCGAGGACGCACTCACTTGTATCATCCCCGTCAGCTTACGGCCGTGGCTGAGCCTGCCTGGCGACGCTGCTCGTGATGCCATCGGGACGTACTTTGACGCCACCAGGGTGTCGTTTACGCGGCCGCATCAGAGCAGCAGCAGCAGTAGCCCTTCCGGCTCGTCAACGGACATTTGGCCAGGGGCCCGGGAGGTATCCGGGGCCTTGGGAGACTATCTCGGCAATGTATCGCCCACGGGTGAGCCCTATACCGCCATTGCCGTCCTCAAAACCATCCCAGACTTCTCCGTCGTCTGCAGATCCATGCTCGGGAAGCCGCGCGACGCCGCCTTTGAGGTGACCAACATTGGCGTCTTCTCGTCCTCTCCTCAGACGGGTGCTCCTCTTTGGCAGGTAGGGAGGGTGATGCTTAGTCGAAGTGCTCTTGCTTCTGGGGCCGCAGTCACCGTTAGCATCGCCACCGGGGGGGACGGCTCGATGACGGTAGGCTTTAGCTGGCAGGACGGTGTTGTTGAGGATGGTGTTCTAGACGGTATCCTGCGAGGAACCAAGAAGTACTTTGACAGGTATCAATGACTCATGTCGTAGTATAAGCACCAGTTGCCACATTTGTTTGCTAGGGGAGGTTGTACAAGTTCAACAAAGGGCGTCAGCTTTCTTTGTTGGGTGTCAGACGACGGAGTATTAGAGATTTGGCTGACGGCCGCCATGGCCATTTTCCCGCAATGTATCACAACGATGGGATACGGAGTACTCACATGGACACTTGCCAAGATGTGACGGGGTTGTACAGGCGTGGGCTTGGTCATGTTGAGGCGTCTGGGTTCCCGGGAGCCCGGTCTGGATGTCAGACGGAAATCCCATGTGTACGGAGTAGCAGCCCAAGTCCTAAATTGCGGTTAACACCCATGCTCAACATGCTTATATCTCATACTGGCGAGTACCAATGGGGAAGCGGCCAGGGTTGCTTAAGCGCAGGGCCTGGCCGAGAATCTCCAAGTTGGCATGTCGATGGTATTCACCAACAAAGAAACGGCACCCACGATGCCTGGCACGCGGTACGCACGTAGTCTCTTGCACAGCATCATAGGCATGCCAGGATAGTCCGGTACACGTATCCACATGGATATTGACGCAAAAATGCGCACCTTACTCGGCAACCCATCTCACGCCTCCACACGTCGACCAGATAACTATTACTTTGCTGCAACCGCCCATCGGATGCCTGGCCAGCGCAGCACAACGCCCACCGACTTTTCCACCGTTTCTAGAAGTGGCCATGAAACTACCGGAATACCCCTACGGCTACTCGCAGGCGGCGGAGCTGGACTCTAGAATCCGGATGCCACGCCCGCCCATCGACCCGACGCTCGCACCCATCATCGACTCATACCTGCTCCCCGAGGAACTGGATCTCGGCTTCATGCGCGGCCTGCCATCCTCGGACGGAGATGACCAAGCCCCGTCGTACAATGCTGGCACCATTACAGACGGGCGGCCACACCTCAAGCACACGGAGCATCGCGTCCCCGGGCCCGACGGCAACACAGTCATCGTGTCCGCGTTCGCGCCCAAGGAGCCCACGTCGGGCGCGCTACCAGCCGTGTACTACATGCACGGGGGAGGCATGGTGTCGGGCGACCGCTTCGCCGGAGTCGACGAGCTGCTCCATCTCCTCGCGGGCATCGAGTGCGTCGTCCTGTCGGTCGAGTACCGCCTCGCGCCCGAGACGCGCGCCCCAGGCCCAGCCGAGGACTGCCACGCCGGGCTCGCGTGGGCGTCGGGCCACTCGTCACAGCTGGGCATCGACCCGGCGGCCATGGTGGTCGTCGGCGTGTCCGGCGGCGCGGCCCTGGCGGCGGCGACGTGTCTCATGGCCCGGGACAGGCAGTCTCCCGCGACGCCCGTCCGCGCGCAGATGCTGCTGTCGCCCATGCTGGACGACCGCTGCCGGAGCGTCTCGGACCAGCAGTTCGAGTACGGCAGCCCGTGGTGCGGCGTCACGAACCGCGCGGCCTGGGCGCACGTTGTCGGCGACGAGGCCCGGGGGTCCGCCGGCGTCTCGCCGTATCAGTCGCCGGCCCGCGAGCGCGACCTGTCCCGTCTGCCCCAGACCTACGTGGACGTTGGTGAGTGCGAGGTATTTCGCGATCCGGCTGTGAGGTTTGCCGCGGACATGTGGCGGTGCGGCTCGACGTGCGAACTGCATGTCTGGCCGGGGGCGTTTCACCTGTTTGATGGCATGGATAACCCTGGCGTGGCGCTTATCCGCGCCGCCATTGCGTCGAAGCAGGCCTGGCTGAGGAGGATTGTGCAGCAATGAGGGTGTGGAGCGGGCTTCGGCTTCGGGATGGTGAGGTTGTATTGTAACTTGATTTGTAGAGGCATCTGGCAGGTCTTGGTGTTTGTGTTGGTTGACAACTTGACAACTTGACTTGACTTGACACAATCAATGTTCCGAGCACCTAAGCTCATGGGGCGTATCCACCCTCCAATCAATACCCTGGAATGTCACAGCAAGGGCCGAGTGAGTTAGATTGAGCTAATTAATATTCGGTGAGATCGAGCGGGAACGCGCTTACAGATCGTCCCTGTGCCTCCAACTTGACGCCCAACGTTCCGCTGGGGTTCGGATATAGCCAGCCATAGACGGGATGATCCTCGACGTTTCATCCTTTCAAGATGCTATCGATGTTATACAGGCATTGCGTCCTAAACGTGCTCGAAACCGGCATCAGTAGGCCCCCTATTTCGGTTGTCCTTCCTTGGCAGTCGTCCGGGTAAAAAGGCTGGGGAATTGGGCCAAGACCAGATGGCGTATCAACAAGATGCAAGGTTGCTCGAGTTGAGCAAGATACTTGCTTATCCAGTGCCGTTCATCCACCCTCACTGGTGTGGGAATGCTCGAGTTTATTGCTTATTTGCTCAACACTATCTTTGCGCAGCTCGGGCCAGCGTCCTCGAGGGAGATGGCCCCCCAAGGTCGTACATAACCAAGCACGCATGGAACTATCATGTACATAGTCCTCTAGATGGTTGAATTTGAAAGTGTCTTCACTCCCCAGCCCTCGTCTTTGTCTATGCCACAAGTCGTCTTGCCTGCTCCCATCATCATACCATGAGTGAGACTCAACACCCGCGGCCCATGCCGGCCCACGCCGACGAATATATGGAAAAGGGCCGCGACGGAGTCGTCCACGATGTCAGCAATGCCTTCGACAAGCCGGAGCACGGTGCGGGCGCAACATCCGACAGGGAGGCCCAAGCCGGCGTCCTCGAGGTCGAGGCCATCGCCACGGTCTGGTCCAAGACCAGCCTCATAGTCGCCTACGTGCTGATCTGGATCGTCTACTTCATCATGCTGACGCAGCAGGCCGCCGAGGCCGCGCTGAACCCCTTCGTGACGTCGGCCTTCCAGCAGCACTCCCTCACGCCCACCGTCGGCATCCTCAGCAGCATCTTTGGCGGCGCGTGCAACCTGACCGTCGCCAAGGTGCTCGACGTCTTCGGCCGGCCGCAGGGCTACATGGCGTCCCTGGTCGTCGTCACCGTCGGCCTGGTCATGATGGCGGCGACGACGAGCGTGGAAATGTACGCCGCCGCCCAGGTCTTCTGGACCGTCGGCACGGCCGCCCTGCTCTACAGCGTCAACATCTTTGTCGCCGACACGACGGCCCTGCGCAACCGCGCGCTCATGACGGCCCTGACGGCGTCGCCCAACATCGTCACCACGTGGCTGGGCGGCCCGATCTCGCAGGGCTTCCTCGAGGGCCCCGGGTGGCGGTGGTGCTTCGGCGCCCTGGCCATCATCGTGCCCGTCCTGTGTCTCCCCCTGTTCGTCCTGCTGATGATGAACTACTTCAAGGCGAAGAGGCAGGGCGTCATCAAGCCGAGGGCCGGGTCGAGGGCGCCCTGGCAGTCTCTCCTCTACTACTGTCGCGAGTTTGACGCCGTGGGCCTCTTGTTGATCACGGCCGGCCTGGCGCTGTTCCTCTTGCCCTTTAACCTGTATACGCAGCAGGCCCTGGGGTGGCGGTCGCCGCTGATTATTTGCCTGCTCGTCTTTGGCGTCGTCCTGCTGGCCCTGTTTGCCGTGTGGGAGAGGTTCTTTGCCCCCGTCACCTTTATCCCCTACGCGCTGCTGCTCGACCGCAACATGGTCGGCGCGTGCGTGCTTGGCTCCGTGCTTTTTATCAGTTTCTGGTGCTGGAATAGCTTCTTCAGCTCGTACCTCCAGGTTGTCCAGGACCTCAGCGTCACCGAGGCCAGCTACGTTGTCCAGATATATGGCCTCGGCAGCAGTCTGTTTTCCATTGCCGCCGGCGTCGCCATTCGGTATACCGGCCGCTTCAAGGCCATGACGCTCTACGTCGCCATCCCCGTTTACACGCTGTTCATGGGGCTCATGATTTACTTCCGGGACCCAAGCATGAGCGTGGGCTATCTCATCATGTGTCAGATATTCATCTCCTTTGCCGCTGGCATCATCATCATGACGCCGCAGATTGCCGCCATGTCCGCCGCAGACCACCAGCACATTGCCGTTGTCATGGCCATCCTGTCCATGTTTTCATCCATTGGCGGCGCCATCGGCCTCACCGTTGCCGGTGCTATCTGGCAGGCTGTTTTCCCCGTCAAGCTTGCTGAGTATTTGCCGCCGGAAGATCTGCCGAATCTCGTCAGCATCTATGCCGCGCTCGATGTTCAGCTTAGTTACCCGATAGGAACGCCTACACGCACTGCGATTCAGCACGCCTACTCAGACGCCCAGTCCATGATGTTGACTGCTGGTACGGCTATCTGGGCTGTTGGCTTTGCTGCGGTTGCCATCTGGCGAAACACTGACGTGAAGAACTTGAAGCAGGTCAAGGGACAGGTCATTTAGGCTTGAGATCTTTGTGTTTTTTATGGGCGCATAGCGAGTACGAGTTTTGGCATCTGTACGGGTACTTGTATCAGAGATGCAGACTTGTGGCAGCAGCTTGAACTTGTTGAAAGTAAAAGTCTTGCTCGGCGCAAATAAAGCGACAAGTGTGAGTATATGTATTCAATAAATAGAGAGCATCAATAATACATGACAATTCAGTCAGCTTATCAAGCCCGAGTAGTAACGAGTGGTTGATATAGTAGTTTTCGCGGATAATTACACCGCAAGCTTTAGGGTAGCATGTATATACTGCAGAGAAGAACTCCAAAGAGAAAAACAACTCCATTACTCAATTTTCTTCGACTGACGACTTTTGATTTCTTCACATGATAAAAGTTCATCTTTACAGATCAATTCCCTTTTGTAAATCATTGTATTGTACACTCAAGATGGAGTAGTTCCCCGAGGATTATTTTCCCGCAAGGTGTATCCCACTGCAATCGGCACAATAAAGACTCAAGCAGACACATGATAGCACTGTGTCATGTGCTAGAGTCCCTCCATCTTTCACATGAGCATGCCTCTGACGTTTGTAGTGACCTAGGTATCGCATTCACATGAAATTGCACAGCAAGCAAGGTCCAAGGCTGTGCAAGGGCTGTTGCAGTGGTATATATATATATATATATATATGTAGTATACATGCAACTATAGCACCGTCCCCAACAGAATCAAACTCATTCAACATATCTGACATGGAAACACAATCCACTCATTATTATGCACCGCTTTACACGTGTCGCAATCCTTCACGGTTCCTCGCTTACACGGAGCCGACCAACCCGCTCACCAAGCCGGTGACGCCGGTCAGGCCGCCGACCAAATCACTGGCGCCAAGAGTGTTCTCGAGATTTGCAACAGCGCCGCCGGTAGCCTTGTTGAGATAGGCATTGACAGCGTCGATCGGGAGGCCAGACTGGACCATGGCGAGGGCCTGGCCGATGGCCTGGGCAGCAGCAGGCTTGAGGCCGCCGTGGATCAGATCCAGGAGCTTGTTGGCCAGAGGAACGCCGCCAAGGGCCTTTTCCACCTACCGACGGCATCAATGTGTTAGTCTAGATTCCTTCTACCAGTGTTATAGAATGCATGTCGAGCTTACCTGAGCAAACGAACCTCCAAACACGCCCTGGAGCTGGCTCTCGAGCTGACTGGCACCGGTTTTGGCAGTAACACCGCTCAGGACGTTGGTCACCTCACCGAGGACGGATCTCTTGTAGGGGGCGGCAAAGGCAGTGCCGGCAAGGGCAGCAACGAGCATGGTGATGAACTTCATTTTGATAAGATTAAGTAAGGCTTGGTTATTAGACGCGAGGTAAGAAACGGGGTGGCTTGTTTAAGCAAAAGAGATGGCGTAAGGCTATGCAAGTGACTTGAAGGAGTGACTGGCTAAGGAGTGACTGTAGTTTATGTGAAGATGCGAGAGAAGATGGTTTGTGTCTTTGAGAGGAGGGATACTGGGCACTTATACTGTTGAGCCGGACGGTCCAAGTGGCCCATGTATGGTCCGAGGCCACCGGTATCCCTTTCATGATATGACGGATCAATGGAGACGAAACATTGAACCTATTCAGGTTTTCCAGTGATGGACAGGAAATTTCCCATGGCTGCAGAAGTTACCAAGTGTGTATTGGTAGCCTTGGTTGCCACCAATCTTGAGAGTGGAAATGCTCAGACGTCCTTGACGTGTTGGACGGCTTTGAACCAACAACGACGGCCCGAAGTTCAGACCCGCATAGACCTCAATGCGACCATATATGGCAGGGGATGAGTTGTCGGTCAGATGAGCATGCTGTTCGTAGTACCTGAATTGGCCTGTTGGACGATAATCTACCGCGGGAGTTTCGCTCCCAAGCGTGAGGGAGCATCTTGCTGCTCTGCAACTTTGGCTCCTAGAAGGACATGTCAAGGTCCTTTACCTATTCAACACCACGGTAGAACATCAAAACTACAAGGTATACGAACCGGTGAAATACATGGGTGGTGACGCCCATCCTGTGGGTGTTTGCTCGCAATGCTGCAAGTTCTGGGCAAGACGACAAACACAAGACCAACATCCATGTCAACATTGATGGACCCCGCGCCAAGTGCGTAGTTGGTCAAGCGTAATTACCATTCTGCTGTCCTCTTTGTTTGAATCGCCCAGTTTTGTCCAGTTTGGGAACGCCAGACTTGTCTCCGGACAGATCTGGGGTTGGCAGCAATTCAACCGCCGCATTGACCCTCTGATCTTGTCAACTCAAGATACCAGGTACAATAGGCCCATGTGCCATTTGTCTGATAATTAAGTTACGATTGGCATCTCAATGGAGTAGTGATCGCCAGCGGCCCCCGCCTTCGAGATGATGATGGGACGGTCTGGATCCGCGGTCAGGGAAACTTGACATTTAGGCTAGAAGCACTGACTGGTTCCGCATTCCAACATGTCCTGTGGAGAAGTTTGCAACTTGGAAACTTCAATGTTGTTATCCGGATTGGGTGTGTTGATGGCAGTACTGCGAGTCTGTCAACAGGACAGCCAAGATGGGACGAAAGAGACGTCATGACGTAGCGCCAGATACAACGCGTGTTGGATTTATCGCAGCCCCAAGTAGTCGGTATATACTATTGTCTCATGTCCATAATTTCGTGAAAGTCCCCTGCCGTGATCGCCCAGTGCTGTTGACTGGTACGCCCAAACTCACACATCAAGTTCTACCAGACATCACCAGTCCCCATCCGACAATGTTCAATGTTGCGACTTTCGGCGTAGCCTCACTGCAAGGTTTGCATCTGGAAAATGAAGCCAAGTCTTGAAGCCCAAGAAACGGATCCGGCTCTCCGCACGTCCGCCGACAGGCCATGACAAATTTTCGAAACGTCTGGTCTAACCAACAAGTGAACAACCGTGACATTCACGACGACAAGGCGCCGACAATGGAATGGAGAAATCTCATTTCACCGGCCGCATACTCATTACAGGTAATTTTCCTTGCCCGCCCCATTGGCAAATTTCACCACAATCTGAGAGTTTCGGAACTGCATCCCGTTTTTGGAACATGAATCAAGAACAATGTATGTAGCTTGTGCGCCACGCCGGGGCAAAGCATGGACGATGTACCGAGTCAGACAATGCTGATCAGTTACGGCCCTCACGCCGTTGGTCTCAAGACATGTGAGAAACCGAGACAAGTTGGAATGCCCAACGCCTGCTGGCTCTCCGAGTTGAGCGCTGCCGTGCCAATGGTCCGTTGACTCTGGAACCGCGGTGTGAATCCGGGCGTCTCTGCCTCCGACATTTCGTGGCAACCATCCCTTCTCATGCACAAGCACCAGTGTCTCAAGCATTACTATGTATCATGATACATCATCTACGGCGTGTAGGCTCCGTCTCTCACGTTTATTTTTATTCATCATGGCCATGAGTACACCAACACACTGCCATGAACCATGAGATGTGCGAGAGAAGCAGAACAGCTCATCTGGCAAAAATACCATTTGCATCACGGTATATTGTTTCCCAAGTCTACCGAGTATCTTTTGCGGCAACTCGGCCGGCGCGGCAGACTCAACTGCTCGTTCAGACGATATCATCAGATACCACAGCAACAGCCTCGAGGCCAGCAGGAGAAGTCAATCACAGTCAATCATTACGGGCACATCCCTCATCATCCCGGGCACGCAACTACTCCGGTCTCAAACACGGCCGGCGGCAACAGCACCGTCGCGCCCATCTCATCGCGTCCGAAAGCATCTGTCCCACCAACGAACATGAGAGTGTAGGAAACAAGGCTCCGTCCCAAGTTGGTTGGTCGAGACACGGCGCACGCAAAGGAAGCAGCGAAACGGAATGTTGCCGTCCATGCTCCGGAGGCGCGACATGCAGTTTGGGGGGGGGAGGGAAAAAATAGCAATGCATATCCCGAGCATCCGCTGCAGCTTCACTTTGCTTGCATGACACAGAGAGCAGGGTTACGTAGATGATTTTTCAACCAAGCTTCATGATTGGTGACGGCGATGCATTTGCTTTTTTTCGTTTGTGCCAGGGTGAGACCATCACGTGGCGGTTATCGAGCTGCTGCCCGTCCATATATCCTCGAAGAATTTTTTTCGATTCTTTTCAATGTCTCGAGGTCAATCCTCAAGGTCAGACAGAGATAGCCCGTGGCTCGGGAGCCCAGGTGAGGTCAACCGGTCAATTCAAATGGCGGCCGTCACTACGCTGGTTGCATTCTGGTAAGTCAAGCACCGAGGACGGCATGTTTTCATGCACCCCCCCCGGGTGACCCGTGACCCGTCCGAGTCGAAAGTCGAGGCCTCGGATCAACTGACGGCAGCTACAGGCTCTGGGGGTACATTGACAACAGGATCCTGTCGGGCGCGTCCAAGAGGTACCGGCCGGTGCAGCGGCAGGTCGGCAGCCCGGGCTTCGAGCTGGCCGCGTCGGACGTCAGCGTCATCGTGCCGACGGTCAGCACCAAGGCGTCGTTCCCCGGGTGCCTCCGGACGTGGGCCGCCAACAAGCCGCGCGAGATTGTCATCATCGGCGTCGAGGAGGAGCGCGAGCAGGTCGCGGGCCTGGTCCGGGAGGCGGCGCTGCCCCCCGACGCGGCGACGCAGGTCCGGCTGCTGTTTGCGCCGGCGGCGAGCAAGCGCGAGCAGTTCCGGCTGGGCGTCGAGGCGGCCACGGGCAGCATCATCGTCAACGTCGACGACCACATCCTCTGGCCCGAGGCGTTCCTCGACAGCGCGCTGCCCTGCTTCCACGACAAGTCGGTCGGGGCGGTCGGGCCGGCGCTCGGCGTGCACATCCCGCCGCAGCGCCGCAACAGCAGGGACGTGACGCCCTGGGAGGCGGCCATGACGAGGGCCCTCTGGCGGAGGAACAGCGGCCTCGCGGCCGTGTACGCCGCGGCCGGGTGGTGCTGGGTGCTGGCCGGGTCGACGGTCCTGTTCCGCGGCGAGATCCTCCGCGACGCCCGGTTCCTGCACGGCCTCACCAACGACTACTGGCTCGGGCGGTTCAAGCTGGACACGGGCGACGACACCTTCTCGTCGAGGTGGCTCCAGCAGCACGACTGGAACATTGCCATCCAGGCCATGCCCGAGACGAGGGTGAGCCGGACCACGGTCAAGAGCGGGCGCGCGTTTTTCGACCAGGCCTTTCGCTGGGAGCGAAGCACCATCCAGTCGTTCCTCCGCACCCTGCGGGACGTCCCCCAGATCTGGAAGAGCCCATACGTGGCCCGCAAGACCATCGAGAGGGTGTTGCGGCCCGTTCTCACGGCGGTTCATATTCTCGCGTGGATCGTGTCCTTTTCGACATATCCCAGACTCGCGTAAGCAGCCCCTCGACTTCTTTCCCCCGTGTGTGTGTGTTTCCCTCTCTAAAGAGCCAGCGAGCCACGCAGGTCATTGCTACTTGTGTATTATCTCTGGGACGCCGTCTTGAGCTACGCCGCGTTTCTCAAGGAGTATCCTTACATGTGGCGCCAGCTGGGGGCGGTGGTGCTGATGGACCATTTCTACATTGTCCAAGATGTTTGGAGTTGGTTGACGCTCGACAATGTAAGTCCAGGTCGCCTGATTGACAGAATGCCCTCCTCCGTGTCTAACTGTGGAAACGCGCAAGACTTCATGGCACCGGTGAGGGTTGCCGGGCGCAGTGCTCGAGACATGGAGACATGAACTCGAACTGGGCGTTTTCGCGGAACTAAGCCAAGGTTTCAAGCAACATCTAATACTGGGCGGTTTTCTGTTTTCCTCTTGCCTTTTTTTTTTTTTTTAATTTTTTAATTTTTATCAAAGGGAGAACCATTGTATAATTATAGGAATGCCAACTAATCCAAGTATGCGGTACATTTACACTCCAGTCGAGCTGGTCCAAGTGAACAAATTGACCTCAGTCACGGCCCGCCCACCACCGTGACCATCATTGATCGCATCAATCCCATGGCCGCTTTGCGTCGCTCACATCAACACCAGGACACTCCATCGCAGCGTGGTCAATTTTGATCCCCCGCGCCCAGTCTCTTACCATGTCCCATTGACCCCACGCAGATCGATGTCATCAATGCCAGGCTGGGCCCATTGAATGCCTCCCCGCACACTGGTGGCATCGCCAAGCCCCCCGTCTGGCTGCCACGCGACAAGTGGACCAGCTCGGCCGGCATTGACCAGACAGTCAATGACCCCAGTGCCAGTGCCAGTGCCAGTGGTGCCATCCCCGGCGCCAAACCCACCGCCAGTCACGGATCGCGCCGCCCACCAGCATACACAAGCGTCAATGCCAGACAAGAAACAAGACTGGAGAGTCCAGATGTCCGGGCCACGCTGGTTTTGAGTTTCACCCCAGAAGCCGCCCGCCGCCGCCATTGGCTGCGCCATGCGACGCCCGTCCAAACGGAAAGTCTAAGCGAACTTGGAAACACTGAACCTGACATCTGGACAAGATTCGACACCAGTCGATTGACGGAACCGAGCGCCCTCTTCCCCGTCTTCTGTCCAACCGCGATTGAACCCCTCAAGATTGCACCATCTCTTCACTGTTCGGCGGCGGCATTTACTTCAACGCGGCCAGCAACCAGCGTGCCACTCGACAAGACGCAGTGCCACCAGCGTGTGCCACTCCGGCTGGGTGCCTCGTTCCTTTTTTCCCCAGGTGCCGTGCCCCCCTTCTCGCCGTCAACTGGTCTGCCAAACCTCGTCCGTCCCATCGACTCACTGGCTGCCGAGTCCCTACGGTACCAGTTGACATGTAGGTGCTCAACTTGTGCTCGTGCTCGTGCTCGTGCTCGTGCTCGTGCTTGTGCATCCCCCCCTCCCCCGTCTTTTGTCCCACGGGGCATTGAATCACCCATTGACAGTGCGTCTTCTTCAGCAGACGCCCGGTGCTTTCGCACTGCCCGCCTGTAACGCGTGTAGACTCGGTGCAACAGCACGCATGGCCCATCAATGACCGGCTGGGGTCAAAAAGCATCACATCACATCAAGTCCCTCCCCCGCCCTGGGATAAGGGGCTGGTGAGACTTGACGATGGACGCATCGTCGACTCGGCGCCCCGTCTGGTCTGGTCTCTCCCGCGCCATGCACCGTTGCACGGCGTACCCGCCGACTAGTATCTACCCGTGCGTCGACTCTTGCTCCTCAATCAAATCGACTGCCGTCTGCGTCACCGGGTGTCAGATGAAACGTCAACTCGGTCCCTGGACTTGTTCAATCTTGTTCCTGTGCCCCGGGCCCCGGGCCTCGACGTCTTTTTACTTCGTGTCCCCTGCCACGTGGCTCTGTATACCCAGCCCCCAGGGTTGATTCCTCTTCTCTTCTCTTGTCTTGTCCTCGTTGTTTCAAGTCCTACGCGGAGCCAAGGGAGAAAGAAAGTACGCAATAGGCGCCGGGAACCACGCCGGGTATTACATACCAAGTAGGTAGTTTGTCGCGTAGGCGTGTGGTAAAGGCCCGGATGCTTTGAGAAGCCGTCGCCCACAGCCAAGTCATTCATTCATGTGGTACTTGACCCGTGCGAGTTGCTGCTTCGCTGTATTACCCGCCCCTTGCCGTGCCTGCTGGTTGGACTGTCCATGGCATGATAACCATGATACCCACCTTGAACATGATGCCGTTGCTTTTCACGTCGTCTACATCTAGACCCCAGCCATGTGTCCCCAAGAATCAACACCAAGTGCCATCAGTCCAATCTAGGCGGCGAGCATCACCATCGTTTGGCCATCCGCCCTGAGCCGGGGAGGCCTGCCCAGCTTCCATGCAACACAATCAACCCAGGTCAATAGTGGTCAAGGCAGTACAGTAGTCAAAGTTCATTCATTTTTTATTGCTCTTCACTTGACGACCCTGAGGGTCATCCGGGAGCTGAATCCATGTCCCCAGTCTCCCACCTCCTTCCTGATTCCGCTGCCACTTCATCGTCATTCTTCCCCCGCCTCATGATAGTTTGAAAACATTACTCTGACATTACATGATTCCGTCTTGTGGCAACGTCTAAAAATTTTTGGTTCCCTTGTGGCACACTCCTCTTAAGTTGAACGCCTTCCTTTTTTTCCTTCCATATACAAAATCTCACACACAGGTAATTAACACGAAAGGAACCCTTCCTTTGGGTTGTCCATCTAAATAATTTCTTTTCGGCGCCAGTGGGGTCGCTCAAGCTGTTGTTATACGATTAAAAAAAAAAGGAATGACTGTAGTGGGGGTATCTCTTTGTGTCGCTTCATAAAACAAAGGGGAAAAAAAGGCCGGGCTGCAATAAAAGACGCAAAAAGATTCGCTTGGTCGCAATTTCGCCTTCAACAAGGCTGTTGAGGGCACCAATTCAAATCGCAATGACGGCGGTGGCTTGACGGCATATGCAGCCGTGAGGCACGCTATTTGCGCAGTCCTACCCGATCTGCTAGGGTCTTCCAGAACCGACCCTTTGCATCTTCGCTTCTTGCACGCACCATTACCGCATCCCGTTGCATGGGTCCAACAATGTCTTCGTCACCCCGGCCGGGGAACTTGCCGTCCGCGTCAAGTGACTTCAACATTTGCGGCACGGCGCTCGGAAGGCAGTCCTCCAGACGTCTCCACTCGAGCTCGGCAACAAGATCGTCATGCGCTGGCAGTCGCGCGAGCGCCGCGGCATTGGAGCTGCTAGAACGGCCACGTCCCCGGCCCCGGCTCTGGTTTCGGGACTCGCTGACGGATCCAGCGGTTGAATGGCTAGTGTTTTTCACAATGTCTCCAAACGTTGTCTGCCAGCGAAGTTCCACCTCGGCCCATTTCCGCTCGGTGAGATTGTAGATTTTGCTCGTCTGTCCATAATTTTCGCCAGTCCTGACCAAGTGCTTCGTGTAATTTATGCGAGCCAGATCCCAGTCATTCCGGAATTTGGCAATCGTTTCTGGGTTGATGGTTTCCAGCTCGTACGGCTGTGGTGAGATGGTGAAATTGGCGTGTCCAAGTTTGTCCGACCACTCGTCATGCTCCTGCAAAATCGCGGGAAGCGGAAGTGGCGGCTCTGTGCTGCTGGACACATTTCGCAGAGAGGACATGGATGGGCGAGTGCTCAGCGGTGGTCGGGAGAACTGCGCCGGCGCACCAAACACAGGCGACAGCGGAGCATCCGGGGTTGGGCTTGTTTCAACTTTGGGTGACTGCAGCGGCGACTCTCGCGGAGGCGAAGCGAGCGGGTTGATGAGGAGGGGAGGGAGGAGAGGAGTAGTAGCCATGGCGCGATCGCGTTCCAGATTAGAGTGATCTTCGGGAGTAATGTCTATGCCAAGTCCAGTTCCCGCGCCATCGCTGAGGCTGTAGAAAGACATGCTTGGGTTGGACGGGACCGGTGGCATCGACTCGGCAGCACGCTCGGGAAGGTAATGGGTTGACGAGGACATGGACGATGAACGGCTGCTCATCGACTCACGAGCCAACACGTTCTCCAGGGTTAGCCCAGTGGTGGGCGACGCTCTGGGAGCTGCACGCTTACTCGACCGCCATCGCTTGAGAGTAGGCATTCGAGCGCCCAGCCGTGATGTGAACTCGGATAAAGCAGCTTCAGTAGTAGTGCGCTTTTTTCGAGGGTAGCGAGGGTCCGTGGTGAAGTCGGTGTCGCTCAAAAAGCCCATGTCGTAGTCGATGTCACACTCCGAGACGAAATCAGAAGGGAATATTGCCTCTGAGCTGTTGCGGTGGGAACAAGGCTGGTCACCTGCAGAAGAATATATTGGTCAGTACGATTCTCGTGCTCAAGTGGCCAACACGACCAGGATACAGTGACGGCACATACACAGGCAGCTGTACAGGCCAAAGTGCTGACCGGAAAGAGTAGCTGTGTCCTCCCCGCGGTCTAGCGGTTCCTCTTCAACATCAGGCAGCTGTCGCAAGCTAGACATGGTGCTCGAGGCCTGTGATGGTGAGGTTGGGCATTCCTGCGCCAGCTGCATGGGCAGTTCCAGCGACGAGGTGGAGCTCGAGCATCTCTGGTGGCCCTTGGGCGAGAAGATGGGTGTTACGGGGGAGGTGATGTCGGATGCTGAGGAATTGGTAGTGTAGTAGACGAATGATTGATCGCCATAGTCGGGAGTTGCCATGGCGGGCGGTCCCTTGACTTGTTGCTGATCAGTCCGTAGTCCAAATCGCTGTTCGACCAGCGGCGGTAGGAGCAGAGGCTTGAGTTTGGGCGTCATGCCTGCACAGCGTCGGGGCTGTGAGAACACAGCGGTGGCTGGCGGCTTTGCGAACTGGTCAACTATCGTGCGGGCGGTGTCGATATGTCGTGAGGTACTAGTAGTATAGAGTTGACGTGGAGGAGAGGAGGCAACTCTGGGAGGGCAGGCGAGCGAAGA